ATATTCTGAAAGCGCTATCGAAATTAAATTGGAAATTTAATTTCCTTTTGCCTTAGTGAGAATTTGTTGCGCAGACGGTTTCATCGGTAGATTCTTCATTCAAATTGACTGCAACTGGGTTGATCTCTTTAGTTCAAGCAGCAGATGTAGAAAATTAACATGACTATTGGTCTATCCTGATTGTTTCCTTCAAATTAACTCTTATCAATGGGTGGGTCGATACAGTGGGTCAACTTATAGATGAATCTTTTCGTTCCGATAGCCGACTGGGTCAGCCGACCCCTCGATGACCTCTTATTACTCATTTGCTCCTGTCAAATCTTTCGATAAGTTTAAGCCTTTTTAACTACTCAAATGAATTAAATTACAAATTACAAGGAAACGGTTTGGTTTTAGTGCTAAAAATACCTTAAGTATTGCAATCAATTATCCAGTGATTCGATTTGAAGGACGACTTCATTAATAACTCGGTCGCCTTTGGACTGGGAGGAATTTTTATCGTCTTTGCCTTTTTAGTTCCATTAGTTTGCACGTTAGGATTCACTTCTGGCAGAAATATGGTCTAAATTTTATCAAAATATTGGCTACCTTTCTGAATTTCCTCAATTTTCTATAACTTATAAAAATTTGATATATGAAAAATCTGAGTTATGCTTTGTTCAAATCTCACTAAATTTCGGAAACTTTCAAATTAAAAATCTCTTTTGGCAGTCTCTTCTTTGCCAGTATATAATCGTTTCCAGTAGCTCAACCATTATTTTAGCAGAAAGTTCTTTGTTAAGGAATAAATTTTTCTATCTTTAATATTATCCTTAATCAAAACGAATTACTCCAAAATCGATTGTTATAATGTTTTTCATTTTTTTTTTCTGACAGTGCTTGGCCTTTCTGGCTAGGCTTGCTCTGCTGACTCGCACCAAACAAATTCTGAAGGATGGGTCGCCAGTATCATGCAGATTTTTCAAGGATAGGTTTATTTCTATCATGAGTAACCATAACAACGATTTCCGAAATGAGCAACAACCCACTGAATCGTTCTAATCTTTTTTTCCACAAGTAAAATGTAAATATTTCGGAGAAAATGGTGACTAACTACGTTATGACCAGTTTCATTCAGAATATCAGCTAAATTACCAAAGAACATCACATGGCTGTATCCCAATTCAGGATGGACGATCAAAATTTTATAGCCTCCAGTAAAATACTTAAAATTATAATGGTCGCAATTTCTTTTAAATCCTGAAATTTTGAAAATTTTATGGCTTGGTCTCCATAAATCAAAAATACTTCCATAAATGTAAAAATTCTCTTTAAAAAATCTGAAAAATCTAAATGGGTACAGTGAAAGCAGTGAAAACGTCTATAGAAATGGTGGCGGTAGTTAGTCGTTTTTCGTTTTAATACATCAAATCCAGCTTTTTTCATTACAAAAAGTTTGGGAAACAAACAAATTTTTTCGAAGTTATTTACCTGTGAAGTGTACAAAACTTTAATTTAATGGAATTTTAGGTGTTACAAGAAATGTGGAAATGAGAGGAAGGGAGGTGTAATAATGTGGGAGAAGGATGAGATGTCGAATCCTGCCGAATTTTCTTGTTAATGTAGTGCTTTTGATAATTAGCTGTCATAATTAGCTGCCACGACCATTTCTAAACTCATTTTGTCCAACTGAAGATCGTTCCATTTTGTCATGATCTATGATCAGATTGATCGAAGCTATTTTCCATTGAAAATGGAAATATATTGTAAGAGCTTATTATTCAAGTTATTCCTAACAGCAGTTCGGTCTCTCAAATAAAATTGAATAAATTGAAAACCTGAAAAAATTGAATAAGTAATTTCTTGATAAACGGTGGTACTCTGATATTAAAATAACAATTATATATATAACGCCATCACAGGGGTGATAAATCGTTATGATGATAAATGATAGGCTTATTGAGCTTTATGGTTTTATATAAAGGAATACAAAAATAGACAAGTTAGAGCCTGTTACCCTTCAATTATATTGATGCTATCATCATTCTTTTTCTTACTATCAGTTAGAAAATTTTTCGTACGATTTTTTCGACAATCACTTATAAATTTTCTTTAACAATTTTATCAATGTTTAGCACTTTTTCCTTTATAAATAATAGGCCCATTATGAAGCTTTCTGAAGAAAGAAAACGTCAGACACTTGTTTTCATAGTAAAGGCAAGTCTTGAACTAATTTGATCGCTAACGCGATCGTCTTCTATCTCACTGATTATTTGAGTTATGGATTCTTCTTTAAACAGCATTTATTTCTGATTTGAATGACTCCATTATAAAGATGAAACCAAAGTAATTAAAAAATTTGATCCAGTATTCTCAATTCAAAGTTAACTTTTTATTGATGACAAAATGGACAGGACAAAATAAATTAACAACAGCCAATTGCGAGGCAAACAAAATCACTGCGTTGAAAGAACATGTGGTAGTGTTTGAATTTCTCATCCACTATTATAAACTATTACATATAAACTATTATATATAACTATTATATATATTATATATAAACTATTATTGTATTTCATTACCTCTCTTCCTCCCATCCCTACCACACCATCACACTTTTTTATTGCTTTCTAAAATCCCATTACAATAGCCTGGAATGTTGAAAACTCCATCCACCGCTTACAAAACTCATAAAACTTTAAAAAGCACATACTTCTTTATCGTCGGCCAGCTTTTAATGCGTAGATAAAGATAAACAAGGAACAACAATAATTTTATTTTACAAAAAAAAACGTTGCCCATCCCCGAAAAATTTACGATGAATTTTGATCAACTATAAATAAATAAATATAAACAACAAGCTTACAAAAATAAAAAACTTAATGGAACAAAAAACTGTATGGATAGCCTTGATATTTACTTCGAAATATCGAAAGCAATAAACTGAAAAAGAACACAACCAATCCGAGACCAATGTACACCATTACTGCAATAATGAATAATTAATTACGAATAAAAATAGGATACAATAAATACAATAACCTCATCTGATAAATATCAAAAATACAAAAAAAATTCATGAATATGACTTACTTCTACGACGGCCAGAATCACCCTTGCCATCGGCCGCGTCATTTAAAAGGATAAAGCCAGCAGAAATAGCTCCATATAAAAGAGCAACCAAGTAAGTTTCAGCAACAAGCTACAAAGAACTTTATCAAAATAAAGTATTTATGACATTTATGGGGAATTTAAGCGATGAAACAGAAATCTTTCTGAAAAAAATCTTTTAATTAATATTTGGTAAAACCAAATTATAAACTGGTTTACCACCACTAGTGCAGGAAAATAACAGAAAAGTCGATTATATAACTAACTAATGAAATGAAATGTAGACAAAAACTAAAAATGTAGATAAAAACTATTCCAAAATACATTGATATTCGAAAACCAAAACCAACTAGAAAAAAAAATCACCTGATATTGTGTGGAACGATGAACAAAACTCGTCTCACGAGTACTTGGATTAGTCATAACAAAAGGTGGACCACGAATGTGATTCCACATTTGACCACTCATAAATGCAAAAACAATGCATAATGATACAAATGCCCAGCTCGTACGATTATACAAGAATTCAAGATTATTTCGACGCATATATAGCAAACCAAGTACAAGCATTGCCAACAATAATACCACAGCAGGCGCTGCATAATTGGGTGGTTGCAAGATGCGAATCTAGATCAATATTCATACTTTTGCAATCATCAATATAGGATTATGCTGCATTTTCCACTTAGTTATTTAATACCTCTGGCTTGGACTGTTACATAAATATCTTGGCAAATTTCAGCGAAACTTTAATATTTTGTATGAAATAAAGCTAACGATAAAAACGATATAAAGAAATAAGACTACCTGAATATCGGTCCTATCTTTGATAAATCTTGCCATACTATCAGCACCTAGTCCCTGTCTTTGAAAATCCATCTCATCTATTTTCTTTTTGGCACCTTTTGCAGGAAAATGAAGTATGGCTGGCACAGTCATCAGCTTTAGCTGCGAGAATATTTGTGGAGCGTCCTCATAATCGACAACAGCAAAATAGAGTGCTTTTAACTCTGGATAAGCATACCGATAGGAATTCGCCACAATATGGAATTCTTCAAAAGCAGGCCTGTAATTATGCTTCCGTGTAAATAATAATCCGTTTAAATTTAATTCTCTCTTTCAACTTTTATTATTAGATTTTGTTAGATTTCAAACAGTATGAAAGCTAGGCGAACAATGTTCTTTCTCATACACGCAGCATGACATGGTTAATCCACTCATTCGAAAAAATGAATGAAAATATAAAAGGACCGAGAAATATAAATAATATACTTGCAAACAGCACAACCGATTGATAGCGCAGTAAACATCACAACCATGGAATAATTCCTCGGTGAACTACGAACAAATGTATTCCAACGGTCCATATTCATATTAATAATTGGCTTTTTATACAACCATTCCTAAAAAAAACTAAAAAACGCGTAATTTCAAAGATTTGAATTGTTCCTCAAAGCAAATTAGTATAAAAATGATTTTTTTTATTCTAAACAGGACAATAAAATTTTTTGCAAAATTAAAAACTAAAAATCAAAGATGACGAAATCCGAAAAATTAAAATATCAAAAAAAATTTGTTTCGTAAAAAATATTTCTTGCAAAAAAGCCTTACCTGAAGAGATTTAACTTTTTCTTCTAACGACAGTCCTTTATCACAATGAATAACACCGATGAACGAAAAAATAAAGGAAATTTTAATCGGTGTAATCATGGCTGAGCTGAAATCAAAAAAATTTCTCCAAGTTGCACTTCAATTTTCTCGGATCTTATGCCTTTAAAAAGGTTAACAAAATTATGCCTTCGTCTATGCATTACAAACCTATGCAAACCATAAATTGCAAATTCCAAAAAAATCTGAAATCGGATAATAAATCAAATAATCAGATGAATTATAGAATATAACCTTATCTATCAAAGATAAATGTTGAATGTTTTGCGAAAAAATTTAAATATTCCACGGTTTTAGTTCCATTTTTGACTGGGACCTTTCTGCCACCACTAGCCGTCTGAACCCCCACTATCCACCCTCCCAGCCTACTTCCCAACTCCCTCCCCCACCCCCCTCCCCGAACACTTTGCTTCACGATTTGTTATTGAAAAAGTTCAAATGACGATCATGTAACAATCGAAGGTGATAATTTCGTACCAACTCGAGCACAATAAAATTCGGCTTTTGAACGGCTCCCAGTTGTTGCGATTCTGCGGTGTCCACAGTTTTCTTTTAGGTAGCCGACGGGATTAGCGGTCGGCCGCGTTGGCTCTTACCTTCCACTTATCCACATGTCTCCCACTTTAGCTGGCGTGTATTTGGTTAAACGAATTTTTCTTTTGATGGTGATATTTCGACAGTTCCATTTTTACCTGCCAGGAATTTCCCACACGGGCACTTGGCAAGAGAAACAAGGAAGGAAATGACGATCAGTCGAAAGATAAAGCACAGGTCATAATTTAAAAAAAACCAAAGAGAACTTTCACGCAAAACTGAGACAAATGCCACATATCGACAATAAAACCAAACCTAGGTGGCTCATATAGGGAATGCGTTTTTACAGAGGGCAGCACCAGAGCGAAATCTGCGAAAACGTGAAGAAAACAACCTATCGCGATAGAATTCAAGTGGTGAGAAGCAATGAGTTGTGTTTCAAATGAGCTGTGTCTCAAGCAACAGGCACATATCAAAGGACTACAGTTATAAAGCGAGGTGTGTTTTCATTTACTCCGCAGTTTTGCCGAACGGCGAAAACAAAAAGGTATAGAATAGCTCAATGAGTTATTCCTCGGTTCAACAGTGAGATATGTCCAGAAGAAATAAACCCGCCCTTTAGAGATGATGCTGGCGAATTATTTGCATTTCTGTCGTTGATTCCTTGGTGTCCGACAAAAATAAAGGAGAGCGCCTAATCACCAAGCGTTTTTCGCAAAAAACATTCTGTTCCTGAAGTGATCTAAACCATAGCGAATGCACATTTCTTACATACAAATTATAGCTATAATCTACGTCATACTATAGGGAAAAAACCCACCCACATCTAATTTGAAATGATGTGTCAATTTCCCCAATTTCCCCTAAATTTTTTTTTAAGGAGTTCTCACCATTACTGGCAAAACTCGCTCCGCTGGCTTATCGCACTAGATAAATGTGGCAAAGAAATCCATAGGCGACAGAAATACAGGTGGGTCGCCAGCACCACTTGGATTTTTCGATAGGTTTAATCCAGTGTAGAATAGAATCAACTACAATTAACAATAAATAATTATTTAAATTAGAAAATTTAATAATAACTTGACTATTAATTTCAACCTTAATATAAATTTTTTCTTTCCTTAAATACAGCTTTATGGTCCAAATTTTTATGAATTTCAAAATATATTCCTAAACAGGAGAAGATATTTTCATTTATTTCAATTAAGAACTTTCCATCTGCTCATAAAGATATTTCCATCATTTAAGATATACAAATATTTATAAATATAATAACAAAAAAATCAATCCTCTGCTATTTACACATTGTATTTACATATTCATATTCACTCTAATTTCAATTCCAAGAGATTTGGTGAAATTTTACAAAAAAATAAATATACTGACTCACTGTCAACCAACTTTGTAGAAAAAAATAATTGGCATTGGTAGCGATAAAGAAATTGTTCGAAGCATGAAATCACAAAATTATATGATAAACATATGATATGATAAAATCGACTAAATATTAATTCGGTTTCTTACTGCTACCAAATCCGCCAAAACCCATAGCTGCTGCAACTTCATCATCCTCTTCCAACGGTTCATTTTCAACACCCCTTTTTCTTTTCCTTTGTTCCTGTCGTTTTGCCCTTTTATAATCCGCCATGCGTGCCTTAAAAATAATTTTATAAATGAAAAAATGAAAATAAAATAATCAACCACGTAAATTAAATCAGTAAAAAAAAAGTCCAAAGAAATTTGTTGTAAAGATAATTTCATTTCATTAATAATTTCATTATTAATCATATTTATAGTCATGCAAGAAATTTTTATAAAAATTTACAAAAATTTTGAAATTCTTAAGACTACCTCTTCTTCTTTCAATTCTTCCATTCTCTCCTGTAAATCGTATTCCTTCTTAATCATTTCCTCTGAAATTAATTTGGTCATGCATTTATTGATTTGCAATTTAGATCCTTTAAAATATTCAAATAAATCTTCAATAAAGACCTAAAAATATGTTAAATTAATTTGGTTCGGCAGAAAAGCTGTCTCATTAGAAACAGACTGAAATTTTACCTAAGAAATTCAATCATCGCATGAAAAAAAGCAATATATAAAATATAAAATTATGAAATATAAAATTTTTCATTTTTCACAGTAGTTCAACAAAATTAGAATTTTCGAAATTTTTTAGAGATGAAAATCGTTATGAATTTTAAAGTAAATAGAAATGCTATAAATGTTATAAACTATGGTCTCCCTTAATTTAATTCACTAAATTATTAATAATAGAAAGTTTAATAGAAGTAATAGACATCAGAAATGAACTCAAAATATATTTTTATTTTGTTTTCTCTTGAAAAAAAAACAAACTTTCAGATTTCTTAAACGCGAATCTCTGTCGAACTTCATCCACTGTACTGCGCTTAATTTTCATACTCATTCCCATATTTCGTTGGTGATTTTTTCCATTAATATGATCCAAAAAATTAATGGAGTCCTTGACTACACAATCGCATACATCGCAATAATAGCCACCTGTTTCAGCGGATGGCGTGGTTTTGTTTATCACAACTGTTCGCCCAACTTTCGATTCTAAATCGACCTGGAATTTAAATTTCATTTGAAACAAAACTTTTTGAAAATACCAGATAAAACCCTTACAAAAATAAAAAAACTACTTAATTTTGGAGTAAAATGAATTCTTCTGTGACAAAAAGACAATAAATGAATATATAAACAAATAATTTTAATAATAATTTATTTTAAATAATTTTAAATAATTTTAAAAATTAGCAACGAAAATGGATTTAAAAATTTAAAATTTAAAATTTATGATTCAATATTATAATTAGGAAAATTTGCAAGAAAGGAAATTTAACCTTATATTCTCTCGCTTTAAGCAGTTCTCTTTTAACTTTTCCTTCGTCCGGGAAGCGAGGGAATTTCCTTTTCACTTTTTCTTCGTCTCTTTCCTGTATTAAACGTTCTTTCGCTTTCCTTTCAAATTCGTCCTTATCCCATTTTCTTCGATGATCGATTGCAGACGTCGCTAAATCATATGACATTTTCAGAAAAACTTCTGAAACGAATTGTAATCATAAATTTATAAATTGAAATTATTAAAAATCGAAGACAGGAAAACGACCTAAATAACTTTGTTTGAGTGGGGATAGAATGGGTTGTTGCACATTTGGAGCGCCGGTGCTAAAGTCCTACTCCCGCGAGAGTAAACCTGTCCAAAAATTCGGGTGATGCTGGCACTTATACTTCTATCGCAAAGAGACTTTCTGACATATTTGTCCAATGCGACAAGCCAGCAGAGCGAGTTAAACCAGAAATGGTAAGGAGTTTTTGAAAAAAAACTTCGCTTAAGGAATGAACTTCGAATAATGAAAGTGAAAATAAGAAAAACAGTATAACAGAAATGATAAATCAATTAAGCGAAGGAATTAACTCTTAATCGATCTAAAAACACATAAATGAAAATTTTGTGGATTTAGAAAAGAAAACCACTGAAAAAGAAAAATGAATGAGACATGACAACCCTCCCTCCTCACCCTTCCTCCACCAATATGAACCAAAATTTGCAAACGCAAAAACAAAAAAACAAAGGAACAATCGAATATTCGAGGAGAAAACACGGCCACGGTCGAGACCTTTGGTGGCTCGCTCCACTGCTTAACTACTAGTGCAAGTCGTTCTTAAGGCCACTTCTATCGCTTAAGTCATGTCGTTCCAAGTTTTTATTCGCCCTGCTTTTGACGCCATGCATCTCAGGAGTTTATCAAGCAACGATATGTACGAGAATTCTAGTGGTGGGCGAAGAAGAACGTGAGCAAACTACCGCAGATGATTCTGTGACAGTATTCTTAATGCAGTTGGCATTCGGGCAAGATGGATGCAGTCATGTGAGATCCTGTCCACTTTGGAAGTGCGCAGGATATATCTTAGGCAGGGACAGTCGAAGATGGATATCTTTCTACCATCTTCCATTCGCATCGGCTGAGTTTCTCATAATCGCATGTACCATACATACAAAGAAGTTTCGTCACACGTAAGAAGGCAGCTCCGGCTGCAGCCATCCGAGCTGAAACTTCATCTGTCACCTGGCCGTTAAGTATAAGAATGGATCAGATTTAAAGTCTGGTGATGAATTAATTACTGCGGTCTTATAAGATGAAAAGCATCTTTTGTCCATTGATTTCCACCCGGTCTAGCATCTCTCGCAGTCTTTAACAAAAAGGACAATAGGAGATAAGTGTATTCAAAAGGTCTATGATGCCGTGATCTGGCCTGACTTAATTCACCTCTTGAGTGCCAGCAGACGGTCTCTATAATCTATTACTTTTTGTCATAACCTTGAAATCTCCGTAAATATCTATTAACATCCGCAGCTCGAACTGTCTGCCCATCTTAAACCTTTTCATTTTTTTACTCTTTCACCACCCACTCCATTACCAACTTATCAACTTATCATCGAATCTCGCAGAACTAATGGAAAACAATTGAAAATAACAGAAACTTTGTGAGTACGAAACCACGATTTCGCGTTCGACTTGAGGGATTCAAATTTGGTTAAACCGTGAATGCAGTGAATTAGAAGCATAAGAAACAAGCTTCAGGACATCAAGAGGCTTAACTTCTTTTCTAGGTCGAATCTTTCGATTAAAAGTAATCAGGCAAATAATCAAGTTTTTGAACAAAAACTCGAGTAATTGATTAAATCTTTTTATTTCCAAAATTACACTAAAATTACGGATAGAAAAAAATTATTGCAGATAAGTAATCACTGATAAATTTTCCAAATACAATTCTCGAAATTTCCGGAAAGAAAACATTTACATAAAATATAAAAATAATGAATATGCGATTATTCAAACATTCATCCCATAAATACTTTGCTTCCGAGAATCATAAATGCGATATTTTCGAATAATTCTTCTCCCAGCCAAGAACGTTAACGGTCACTTAGAGTCGTCTTCAAGTTCAAACAGATGAAACAGGTCATTGTGTTGTCGTTGTTACATCTTCATTTGTTCTCCATTAAAATTGGAAAAAATGACTGGGTTTTCTGATAAATTGGAGGTAGATTTAATTTTTTTGGCAGCCGTTGACCTTTTTTTAAAACTTTTCGCTTTTTCCATATATTGCTTCAAAGTCATGAAGAAGTGGAAATATAACCTGGCCAATATAACAACCGATCAAAATCAACAAGGCACTAGTCTCTTTTTTTTTAGGCGTTTAAACCACCACTAAAAATCCTTGGTGGAAAAGCTTCAGTTAAAAAGGGAAATCGTACCGATGTCCCACACTTTTAAATAAAGCGCTAATCGGTCTCACTGATACTTGCAAAAAAGCGTTTATTGCTAATTCAATAAACTATTTCAATCCAACGTCAAAATATATTAAAATTGAAACAAAATTCTACATAAATGAAATAAAATTCGAAAATAGGGACGGTTTAATAGGCAGATTATTTTTATTTTTCATAAATGACGAATCCCACCGCTTCGACGTCGATTTTTTTTAAGGTCCCTCACCATTACTGATTAAACCCGCTCAATTGGCTCGTCGCACGAGATAAATATGGCAGGGAGTCTCGGAAATAAAAATACAAGTGAGTCACCAAAATCATCTAGATTTTTGGACAGGTTCGCTCCTGCAGGGAGTAGAACCTCAATATCTGCACTCTGAATTGAGCAACAACCTATTGAGCTATTCTATCCTTTGGATTCGAATAAGAAGATATACATTTTCCTCCTAATTAGAACCATAGCAGTTTTTGGGAAGAAAATCGGAAACAAAAAACACACCAAACACCAAGCTAACTTTACTCTGCTACAGCAATTAAAGACAAAAATATTACAGATTTCCTTATCGGAATCATGAATTTACCACAGACTAAAAATGAAAATAAAGAATCAGCATTCGAGATGAAAATGAAAACGACACGTATTCCATAATATGGCCTTGGAAAATATTCAAGCCAAACCAAACCAATTCAAGCCAAAAATTGCTTCAAACTTCGGCCTAACATATCTCTACTTTCACATGGAGGGAAATCCGTGAAGATGGAAATTTATTAAAGCAGTACAACATTATTCATGTTTCTAATATCGAAATCGCACCACAATATTCTTTTATTTCCTCCCTCATTTACCAGTTATTACCTAATAAAAACGTAACAGCAGTATGTCTATTATGTGATGCATAAATCAGTCGTTTCGAAAAAAAATAAATCAATATTCAACTGCACAACGAGCCAATGTTACCACAACTTAGAATTCCCCGACTTTAAAAAACAATTATTATATTTCCAAATACTGAAAGCAAACGGCAATTTATCAAAATCAAAGAGATTATTTCGATTGAAAGATAGTTTGACGGACGATTCGCTAATGAAAGCAAATGCTTTAACAGCCGAACTGTTTTTATGTGTCATTCCATTTAATTTCATTCATCTGAAAAGGCCCATTCCGCTTTAAATGGAAAGCGACCGTATGGCCTACACCCGTTTTAAAGGTAAGTTCTGCAATATCTCGGTCAGCGTCCATGATCCAACTTTGTCGGCAGATGACCGTGATACGTTCTATGCGAAATTTCAACTATTAACAACGTTTCTACAGAAATATCACATGGTCATAATCGGGGGAGACTGGAATGCTCGAGTAGGGCATAATACTGCTGCCATGACCTCGGCATTTCACAAACATGGCATTGACCGATGCGCCAATGAGGTTATGCCTTCTTCGCTTAACGGAAGAGCATGGAATTACTAATACTTGCTTCCGGCATCATAGAAGACATCTAGTCACGTGTAACTCCCCGGATAACCAACACTTAACCGTCAAGGACCAGACCATGTTATTGCTGGAACAAAGATTCGTATAAAACTGACAAGTCGTAAGAAACAACGTATCCCAAGATCCTTCAACTATCTCAAATTAAAGGAATCGGAAACAATAAGCACATTTCAAACCGGTTTATTGAACCACTTCAACGAAATGAATATCAATAACATCTCTGGAATGGCGGATGAATACTGCTCCCAACTAAAGACATGTCGAATCAGCCATTCCATACTAGAAAATGCTAATAAGAAATGTGCTAAATGGATGTCGCAACAATCCAACTATCCGAGAAGCTGCCAAAGAATGTCAGGCGACCCTTACTATCGAACGCTTCGAAGAATTACCACGACAGGAACTCAACGGGATAGAAAAATCGTTATTGGAGTGATATAATCTTGAAAATGGAGACGGTGGCTCATTAGATGATGACAGGAAAATATTCCACCTTCTTCACGAACCATAACTAGGGTAGCAATCAGTAAAAGCTATTAATGATCACTCGTAATATGGAATTATTTGAGACCAAAATTAACCATGATATGCCATATGTTGTCGCGTTGTTGAAGTACTGTGACAATTATCGAGGAATCAGCCTATCAGACATCTCCTGCTAAATAGACTCATACCAATACAAGACAGCAGGATGCGCCCTATCAAAGCTACATTCAGACCAAGACAAGGTTGTACTGACTAGGTACTCGCACTAACAAGAGTGCTGGAACATCGTTTTAAACATTAACAATCCACAAGCAACATCTTGCTTCAGAGATTTTACAGCAGCTATCTTTGATTAAATTGCAGAGCACCGGTAAGGCTGATGGAATATGGCGATGTTTCAGAGAAGATCAATTGATTCATAAAGGCATTTTATCAACATACAAGAGATCTTCCTTTGCATATGGGGAATTAAAAAAAATCCTTCGAAATAAAAACTGGTACATCAAGCTGCATGCTTTCCTCTATAATATCCAACTATGCGACAGACTGGAGATCGCTTGTAGGCACAAGAGATGTGCAAACCAGTCCAGAGCATTGCATCACAATTCTTGAATATGCTCATGATGTATTCCTTATTGCTGACAATTACGATGAAATGCAAATAATGTTAAACAATATGTCGGCAACTGTAGCGAAAGCCGGATTCACGATCATATAAATAAATAAAAAGAAAGCCCTTTCCGTCTAATAAGAAGCTGATAAAATGCCTATTTTTATCAATTCACTGGTTGAGGAAGTGAAAAAAACTTTAAATGTTTTGGATCCATTTCAATCCTAAACGGCTAAACCAAAAATGAAAATTTTCATCCCCGATATTCGTTCCTTCTATTTTTATGCAGCCGTCTCAAAATCACCATCAAAACGAAAGATTGCATCTATACGATTTCGATTTTCTAGATAATGCTATATGCCTATGAGATATGGCCAATGATAGTGGAGGGTATTAAGAAGCTATCTGTCTCTAACCACTCATATCTAAGATACTGGTCTCCTATCGGATAAAATCTTAAAATTTTATATGCTTGCATCCATCTTCGCTCAAATGCCAATTGCATTACACCATCACAAAGCACAGTTTTCGCTGTTTAGGGCGCTATTCTTTCTTTCGTCATCCACCACAGGAGTTGATATATTTTATTTATTATATATTTCGCTACATTTCCTGTGGCGAGAAAAGCGAGGTGGATCAATCATGGACTGCCATAATCAGAATTTTAAATATGTATAGATGGACTAGCAATACAATGACTTGGACGAAGGAAAAATGAATGGCTTCTATCACTCGATAACATCGGATCGAACAGCTTGGAAGTGCCTGTGCCTTATCCTTGTAACCAGCCTAACCAATAATTATGAGAACTGAAAAGGTCTTGCGATCTTTTTTGCCCAAAAATTCCTGGTTTGGCCAGTTCTACTCGTCACTATCGTAAGGCTATATCCACACGCGATTTAGATATTATAAGTGGCTATCGCCAACTTCTACAGTTCTGACAGACACGATCAAAACTTTGTTTAATCGCTGGCTAACGGTCATCCTTGATTTCTTCCGATTTCCACAATAGAGCAGTTCATCCGATTTGAGAATTTATACCATCACCATTCACCTTTGCCAGGTCAAATTCCCATAGGGGATGTAACGCACAATGGAATGCAAAAAAACTGTCTGAGAAAAACTGACACGACTCTTTCAACATCGAGTTACTACACAAACATCTCATATAGCCAAACTGATTTCAGTTTTAATAATAGATTTAAAATAAAAGATTCCATTAAGAAGATTCCATTATGCAATTTTTTTACACTTTATATTTATTTATTATGTTATATCTAGAAATTTGAACTTATTCCTTTACTTCGCTTTTATTATGTTCAATCCAGCGAATTGTTGAGAAACGTAGGAACATTATACGTCTTCCGCTGAAGCAACATACGACTGAAAAATTGATATTCATAATTTAAAAAAATTTCATAAGAAATCTTTGTCTCATTATTGCTGTAATCAACGGAAAATTTCTGAAACTTTTTAATCGAAATATGAAAAAAAATAAGATCTAAATTATGAAATAAGCCTTATATAAAAATATTTTTTTTTCACTTTCTTCATTTTTCTTGTCCAACACTTACCATTCCTCGCTTTACTCTTACTTGGACGATACAATTTAGCCAGAAAATCAATCTGAGAATAGAAATACCTCCGAAAGAGCGAAACAAAAATATTTTTTAAGATTACTTCCTTTTTTTCCGTTTCTTTTTTCGATTCTTATACTTTTTTCTATTTTCTTCTTTCAATTCCCAATCCCTATATTTTTTCCAATTGTTACATTTCCTTCTGTTAATCTTTCCTTTCCTTCCAATTCGCCTTCTCTTAACATATCTATAATATTTCTTAAATAATTTTCAATTCTTGAAACATATTCAAATAAAACCTCTACATTGAAAGAATTACACATAATCTGTTTCTGTTTCGTTACCTTCATATGGTTTCGTTAATTTACTGTTCAGTAACCTTGTGCATTTTATTTTTCGGGATAACATTTTGTTTGTTTTTAGAGACTTTTTCTTTCTGAGTCTTTTCTATGCGCGCTGTTTTTTTTTGCTTGAATATAATACAAATATATTAGTCTGATTTGGTAATTTTTTAAAAGATTTTTTAAGAATAATATTTTATCATATTTCTGGGCGTTTCATTCTTTCTTCACTATTTTTTTTCTACTTTATGAGTGTTTATTTTTATTTAAAATACTTTAAAAATTACTGCTGTTTTTTTAATGTGCTGCAATTTCTTTTTCTGTGGGTTTATTGTTTTTGGTATACGAAGATCGCTAGTGTAATTACGAATTTGAAGGTGTGGAAAATATTTTGCATTTCAAATTTCAAATTATTTATTTTTGATTTGCGTTTCACTTCATTAACAATAATTATACTGGGCGACAATTTGGGATAATAAAAATAATAATAGTTCTTCTATATAATAAATTCTAACAAATTTCCATAGAGATCATTTCTTCTTTTGAAGCCTATCAGAAAAAAGAGGATATATATATATATATATATGCAAACTTGATCTGGTAAAATGATTCAAATTTAGGGATAAAATGAACTCCAAGGCCAGAACAACTATCCGTAGGTTCTATTTACTGCACCGAGGTCCTGGTTGTAGCAACTTGGAAGATCAAAAGACTCATGGAAAAGGTTCAGACGATAACCGTTACTTGTCTATATGTCTTACTTGTATGTCTTGCACACCTATGAAAAAGTTCTAGCTGTTGCAATTCGAATAATTCGGGACAAAATGGCGTAGCGATTGGCATTTGATTTTAAAAAATTCGATTCGTTCTCATCGCGTGGAAGTGAAGTGGTTCCGTGAGGATCTTAAGGCTAACGCCTGATTTAAACAAAGAAAACAAAAAAAGTTATGCAATGTCTCAGTCATCAGTGCATATGCCCATACGCTACTCGAAGACTACGAAAAAGATAGGTTCTGAGCGCAATTTCAACTATTAACTAACATCTATTCCAAAACATGATATGGTTATAACTGGGCGAGAGGAAAGCTCTCTAGATTATGATGTTGTCACAATGGATTCAGTGGTTGAAATATGGCGTCATCCGATGCGCAAAAGTCTTTGAGATTTCTATACTTTTTGCTGATTTTCTTCATCGGAAAAGACATTTGATCATATGTACTGATTCTCTGGACAACATTCCAATTAAATCGGTATCTTGGTCAATCGTAGTTAGAAGAATTCCATATGACTAGATGCCTCTGTATTAGATAATCATTTAGATAATCATCTCAGTGCAGAACAGCATCCTCTAAATTTTTTACTTAATAAAATTAATAATTAATTTTAATAAATAAATAAAAATTAATTTTTTACTTAAAAAAATTAATACTTAATAAAATTTTTTAAAATTTCAATTAACTACAAGATCTGAGAATAAACGAATTTCAAGCTGAATTATCAAAGTATCTTAATGATATAATGTTAATATTATCTATGGAATATTAGGTCCCAACCAAAGATGTGTCTGAAAGCTGGCAATTCACGGTAGGATAAGCCAATCGGAAATGCATTTGTTGACAGCATCAGAAGCAACAGTAAAACTGCGGAAAATATTACCAGAGTATGTCAAGAGAATCCTAACTATCGGAAAAACTGGAGGCTTTGTTGGAGTGATATGGCTTTGATAAAGAAACTTGTAAGAACTCGAGCATATAAGATTATATGTACAGGCTAAGAAGGATATTGGAATTCCCTTCAAATATCCTTCACCGTTTGCTTTATTAATTCTGCCGCTGCTTTGGAACTAGTTAATAGACTAGCGCTCTGGATATTGGAATGCGACGACTCCAAAGAATCATTCGATTCATAAAGCATTTTTTCAATGAACCTCGGCAAAGGCTTATGTGAAGAGAAGAGAAGGGAAATAATAGATCTTTTCAAAAAATATTGGAGTCAAACTTGCAACCCTATGTCAACAATTGATTAAATTATGGACATCTCTTGTGATGACTTTATGATGCTCAAGATAAAAATCAGTCTAGAGTGATGATGAAGTTGTCTTTTTTGCCAAGAATTATGAAGGAGGTAGGAATGTAAAAGGTGCTAGATAATATATCGAAATCTGTTCAAAAATTAGAAGATAACTTTTTTTGTTTTATATATTTTATAAATTTTATATTTTATATATTTTATCTATTTTTATCAATTCATCACGGGAATTATCTTGGAACCATATCAAATGATCAACTGAAAGACGAAATCGCACCCTGGAAAATCACAGCATTTTTAATCTATCGAATCATCGCAAAATCACCATCAAAACGAAAGTTCGCATTTATCTGGCTGCAGTGCGCAACCTATAATAAAGTTGCGAAACCAATGACAATAGAAGACAGTTAAGAAGCTACCTAAATCTTATGTCTAAGACATATTTCTCTTGTTCGCCAAGCGATATCTCACATGATCAAATACTGGCTATATTCAAAATATTGCAGTACGGCGTCACCAACGCTGGTTAGGCCATCGCTGCAAATTGCAGGAACTGATCTCGATATATGCTAAACCCATTATGGAATGGATGGCGCAAAAGCGAGGAAAACCAATCAATGTGTATAAATGGACCAACTATATATGGGGTTTCGACGATGGCGAAAAGAAATCTTCTAATATCATCTCGCAAAATTGAGGGATATCTTGTATGCGGAGTAGCCGGTCTAATCAACAATGGTGCCAGAAGAAGAAAATAACTTAACTTACCTCCACATCCCCATGCCCGCTACCACACATTTTTCGAGGCGACAATGGCGACACCTCGTGCGCGTTTCATGGGTGATCACAATAGGGCCATTTTTGCAACGCAGCCTCTTCTTACTTTGCCGATTTCTGCGAAAGAAGCACTAAATCAAAAAAAAGTCAGAAGAAAAACCAGTAGAGACGAAAAGTGGATATAAGGTGGATTTATATAAAATTTTTCAAGCAATGGTGGGAAATAAGAAATAAAAAATAAAAATAAAAGGACAATTTAAAAACTGAATTTTTGTCAGAACATCATTCTTTGGAAATGTGTTTGATGAAAACTGACTGACTACTATTATTTGAAAAGGGCATCCTATAGTCCAGCAAATCCAGAAAAGAGGCTACAAACTTGCCTTGCAAGATTCACAAGAAAGAACACCATAATGATGACCTGTTGCATGGTCACCACATACAGCGCAAATAGGATCGTTTTCACCAGCGTTAGGAGCTAAAGTTAGTCGTTGGTGAATTATTATTCAAGAAAATTAAAGAAATATAAAGTATGTTACGAAGAATGCTTAATCTCCAAACTAAGAACATAATTTTCGTAGCGCGAAAACATAATTTTGGAAGATCTAATGTTGTGGATTTTCGTTAGGCTAAAATACCACTAAGTCTGAAAGAAAAGAATGGAAGTGCAATGAAGTTTCCCTTAGTAAGAAAACAAAAAGAAAAAATTGCTATCCAAACGAAAAATGACTGTCAGTAAATTTCTAAGCGCCACAGAATGCATATAAAAAGGTATGTGAACCAAATAAAATTTGTAATTTTTGAAATAAATTTGAAAACTAAAAAATAAAAAATTAGCGAAAAAATCAAATCAATCAAAATTAATGAGAAAGAGAACCACTGCATTGCTCATCAGTTAGAGTACAAACACCAGCATACAATTCATTCATGATTTCATCCAAATCGTACTCGGCCAATTCACGCATTAATTCAGCCATGTGATCCTCACCAAGCGAAATTTCGAAATCGCCAGATGACATGGTAAAGAAAACCCTGAGGAAAAAAAATCACAGACGATAAACAGAAAAAATTATAAGAAAAAAAAGAGAAACACGCAAAAATCGTTGTCCCTGTTTCTCTGCGTTCTATTCCGACCAAAATCTTCCATGAATTTATGCTAGCCGAAACAGCTGCCAAGACGTGTTAAGGTTTATTTTCAGTTAAATAAAATTACAATCGCCTGGGCAGTCACCTACTTTTCGAAATCTTTTTAGCTAACAGATCTGCTAATATTTTTTGGAAGGCGAAATGGTACAGTTGTACAAAAAATAAAAGATGAATGACAGGATGTTTTTTAAAAAGAAAACGAAATTCTAGTGGAAAAAAGCCAATAAAGGTAAGGTCAGTGAAGAACGGATGCAAGTTGATTTTATTTATAAATTAAATAAGTTAAAAGGTTAAGCATCACTCTGTTTAAGCACAAAAGGCTTTTTTGATGTGAAATGCCTTTATATATTTCAAATTTACCGATAACATTGACAACTGCGATTTAAGGTGTGAAACGCTATATAATATAAATCATAACAATCAACACATTCAAATGAATCCACAAGATTTCCGCAAATTTTTTGAAGAAAAGCAATAAACTAACCTTTGATTTATCCAAACTACATATGTTTCAATTTAGAACTTAAAAGAGTCAAAAGGCAATTATAATTACCTTATTGTATTGGCTAAGAAAGATGATCAATCGGAGAATATTTCAAAAAGCTACCTTTGATCACCAAAGACATATTTATTCGTACTTGGGGTGTACAAGGATTCGCTCAACCATACCCATCTGAATACCACTTGTACCGCAACCACTGAACAATCAGATCAAATTCTTTGACGATTTTCACAGGAGTTGATAGAATAATATTTCGCTGTGCACAGCATTGATAGGTCGACAGAAAATTTGAACTTATAAATAGAATTCTGCGATACATGGGCTTATAAGGGATAAAACGGCTCAACGGGTTGGTCAATTCGGAGCGCAGATGCTGAGGTTCTATTCTCCGCAGGAGTAAACCTGTCCAATAATGCGAGTGATGCTGGCGACTCACTTGTACTTCTATTACCAAAGGACTTTACAGCATTTCTCCAATTCGACAAGCCAGCGGAGAGAATTTAACCAGTAATGGTGAGGAACTCTTTAAAAAAAAGAACAAGAAATTATATCGTAGAAGGAATAGCTTTAATTGATTTTGGATTTTGAATCTTCTGATAGACATTTTTCATCATGTTAAGCCACATTATTAAACTAAACAAAGAAAATAAATTATTTTCCATGAATTTGAACTATAATTTAACATACTTTTCATCGTTTCTGATTATTTCGAAAACCATCTGATTATTAGTCTTCCAATCTGTTTGTTTGTTGTAAGGCTGCAGTGAGAGATCAGATTTTACTGGATATTCCTAAGACATGCACCGATCATTATATCTATGAGCTGGAACTAGGCCAGGATGCGATGATGACCAAATGTTCATGCTAAGAACCTGTTGCAAATATTCCAGTTGGCATCATAATTTCAACTTGTTTTATTAATTTCTCTGCATTCAATTCATTAGGTAGGTGGGCGCTATGGATACTGACAGAATGCCGCATTGTTCCTCAAAAAATACTATTTAAGGTATTTTACCAATGAACATCACCTTACGCCTATTCGGAACCGGCACATCCTTTGGAAAACAAATGATGTGACTTAGGGCTATGCTCTCTCTCCTACAGTATATTCAATTATGAGATAGACTAATTCAAGAACGCGCTTACCGGCATTCCAGTCAGTTCATAGCATTTATCATAGTATTACCAGCATATTATTTGAAAAAAATTAAATTCTTTTCATTTACCTTTTTTCTGTGGATTTCTGATTCCTGCAGAGAATCATCTGACGACAGAAGTACAGATGGATCGCCAACAGCGATCGAATTTATTTACTGGGAATTCCTGCACTGATGGTTCAAAATGACAAAAAGAAAATTTTTCATCATTCTGTCCCATTTGCTAATGATTACAAAAATATTAATAAAAATTTATCACGAGCAAAATTGTGAAATTTAGATATTTTAAATCTATTCGAATGCCAAATGGCCAAATGAAAAACGAAATTTCAGCCCGGAATATTGCTGATAGAACTGTCTGGCGAAACATCTGTGAAATCACCGCGAAATCAACTTCTAATCGACCTCTTTGATTGCATTGCGAATCCTTCTTCAGCCATATTAGTATTGAAGTGATTAGGGTTTTAACTTTTAATTTTTATTTTTTAGAATTTGTTTAGTTTTAATTCTTAATTTTTATTTCCTTTTTCTTTGTTTATCTGGATAGAACTAAATAACGTATTATTTCGTATAATTGAAATCTATGGCTGAAAATCCACCTGTACTTCCATCCTCATTTCCTGAAGAAATGATTTATGAGGAAAGAACCAAGCAAATATTAAAGATATATTCCGATGCGCATGGTATCCGTAAGCCGATGGGGTACGCTTTAAATACACGAACTGGCCTTGGACATAGTAACTGAAGAAAGCCTCTTGAGCTAAAAGCGCTGCTTTGATCCAGTTAATGAAATGGGGCAAATTTAAGTATTCCGCAAATGAACCGGCTTAAGAAATAATCAGTGCAATGACCCAAAGGATGGAAACATAAGACCATCAAATATCGTCTCTAACGATGGAGAAAATTTGACTATGACAATCCGATCATGACTGTGAACTACCAGTCGAGCGGCAAATAATTTTTTAATTCACAAAGACCAATAAAGTCGGCGGAGAAGACTGTCTGCGACAACTCTTCAAATGGTGCACACCCATAGTTCATTTAAAGTTTCCACCGGTATGGCAAAAACAAATAAAATATGACTGGAAAAGACAATGCTTCCAATTCTCAAAAAAAGATAGGCCGCATTAGGATAATTATCGACGAATCAGCTTGCAAGATAGTTCTACGCAAATTTTTGCTTCCCTTTTGCTAAACAGACTCGTATAATGCATGAAAATAGGAAGCATCCCAACCAAGCCGGATTTAAGCCAGAGTTTGGTTGCTGACCGAACCGGCAATCTACCTTTATATACTCCATTACTATTGTTTTTGATTGGAGTGATGGGGCTCTGGCAAGTTCCAGAGAAATCAAAGCATTTAATGGAATATGCCAGCGCAGGTTGTGTATATGGGTAATTAAAGCAATCTTTTGAAATACGCATCGGAGTGCATTAGGATGGTGTTCTCTTTAAAATTTTCAACCATATGATAGATTATAGAAATATTACTTGCAGAAACTTAACATGTATAAAAATTAGTCATAGCATCATGGATTCAGAATGCTCATGATGTGGTTTTTTTCGCTAACAGCTATAAATAACCGCTTTAGACCGATTGTCGGCATTAGCAGTGAATGAACTGGCTTTTGGCTTTGGCTTGGCTTTTTGGCTTTGGCTTTTAAATCAGTGTAATCAGAAAATATAAAATAAAAAAAAAAATACTTTTTTCATGTTATATTTTACACCATTTTATAGTTGAAGCTGATAAGCTGATAAGTCGCAGTTTATAACAATTCACAAGCGGTTCAAGGAGTAAACGATTTTAAATGAACGATTTTAAATTCTCAGATCCACTCTAATGGCTAGGTTGAAATTCCAACTCGGACAGAGGTATAGGTGCTCTTTTTCGTCTACAGAAACCCTTTCGGAATCGCTGCGATATCAGCCTCAAAATAAAGTTCATATCTACCTGTGCTCTCATTCCCGTTATATGGCGAGAAAAATTGCACTGAAAGTGGAAGAAATCAGGAAGCTATCTACCTCTGATCATTCATTCTCGTCTAAGGTACTCGTTCCTTCGTACTCGTTCAAATATTTGAATATATCTGAGTCAAGAACATTGTGATAAAGCGTCAGCGCTGATTCGGCCATGTTTTTCGTCGCTCAATATAGAAATTAAAACAAATCTCCCTATATGATAAATCTTGTGATGGTTGGATATTAGATGTTTCGAAAGCCAAGAAAGCCAATTAAAACCCAGGCTGATAGGTCAGAGAAGTTCATGAACGTCCAGCCATACGAGGATCTGCACTTTAAAAAAGAACTGGCTTCATTTACTATTAGGGATGGCATCAGATAGGCAGGTCTGATAATTCAGTTCTCGAACAGCCCAGATCATACAAAAATTTACTGATGACTTATATACGCTTTAAAGATCTGTAGTATTATATTTATGTTCTCATTCTGTAGAAATGAAAAATTTTATCTCACGTGCAGAAGGAAACCTTCTCAAAAGGAGACGTACCTGTAGTCTACGAAACCTGCTGGTGGTCCCCGAAACCGATAAGCCGACTATTATATGGCTGTAAGGACGACTGGGCAACTCCAACTTTTATTTACGGCAGAACGCGAAAATACAATAGAAATACAATTACCAGAAAGTAACAATAAAAAGCCAAAAAATCTGAAATATCGCCCACTCGTTCGACTCGAATTTCACCGCTGTTTTACCTTTCTGACAAAACTGTTTTCATCTTTTTTTAAAAAGATAACCCTTTTTACCGAATAAAAAACAAATAAATCGCGAAAAACCGCGCATTTCCGAAAAAAAGTTTTCAGACAAATTTGTTGTAAATCAGTTGTATCAGAGCGTGCGGGGAAGAATGCATCTTGCATCGCACCGAGAAATCCTTGGGATTTGGGAACAGACGCACAGTGGATTTCCGTGGATATTGCTTGGTGAATATCGACTGGATAAAAGAGCGATTAAAGTAAAATCGCCAACGAAAGGCAGAAATTTGTCACCGAACACTGTTCGCCGATTAAAAAGTCGGAACGTTGGAACAGTTCAGCGAAAACCCCCACCACTCCTCGAACTCTTCTGCCATTTACTATAAAAGAAAAAATAAAGGGCCTAAAAAGTAGAGATTATGAAAGTTTGCTGGCTGACTGCCAAGAATTTGAAATTTAACATTCGTTTTAAGAAATAATAACAATTTTATCTGTTGAAATTTTGCAGATCTCGGGGCTTTACTAGACGCGAGATGTTATTCAAGTATTGCATTTCAGGCTTTTGCTTGGAGAAGTACCATAGGCGGAGGAGAAGGTCGTAGAGTTGCAGGTCATGGGGGTCCCCGTAAGAGAGAGAGGCTATGGGAGAAGAAGAAAGAGAGGATTGGCGAAATTGATTCGGGAAAAAAATAGTGGAGATTCTTCGAATTATTAATATTTACTACCATTAACAGCAACCAAAAGATTTCGATTTAAAAAGATTTCTAGTTTTTTGGAAATTTTCTGAATATTATTTCTTGGGTCCTTTCTATTTTCTCTAAAACTTTTCCTTATTCCCGCGAATTACGCGATTTCTGCTAGTTTTGCTGTTTACGCGAATATTTTGCACATAAAAATTTCATATTCCTGTCAGTTTAGAGACAACCCACAGGAAAGTGTCGTTCTTCCTTTTCTCCCTTCTTTCTTCCTTTCACGAATTATGTGCTCGAGAATTATCACCTACTCCTACTTTAGGTTCAAATATTTCGTAATAATCGTTCACATTATTCATTTGTCACCAGTTTAGTTACCAATAAGCTGTATTTCTTCCGTCGTGAATTTCTCCATCAGTAGTTTATCATTTTTTATTCTAAATGCATTTATAGTAATAATCCTTTTCAATAATCCATTCTGTATCTTCTTTTATGACATTGTAAGTACCACCAACTTTCATATCACATATTTTGCTTATTTCATTGAATAATGCGGTTATTGTTTTGCTGATTTCGTCCCACTGACCGGGGGAAAACTCTTAAAGTCTTTTAAATGCCAGAAATTCAGTTGGAGATGGAGATAATTCGCAATATGCACTCGTATACTTATACGATAGGATTAGCAGTAACAACCAAACCATCAGATAAGTAACGTACCATTTGACGGTCGTATCTCGCTCAGTTATAAAATTTTTACCTTAGCTCTGTTTAAATATTTCCACCTTAATTATAGTGTTTGAGATACAATGGCGTTATGGTGGATTCACTGTAATAAATGTTTTCTTCTAACAAATAATTCAAAAGAAAATCAGCTGCAATATTTTATAACCAAATGCGCTCATGTTGTCTGCGAAACATGTTATAAAAAATCTGGTAAATTTTTTTTTTCTTTGAAATACTGATGGAGATAGCGCAGTTGAATTTTAAGCCTTGAGAAGAGATTTATGAGTGGTGTTATTACAGCATCAGAGACAAAATGCGTAGTTTGTCAACATTTTCCATTCTCTGCGGTGCCTATAAATAGTTCACTTAGCCGTAATATGCAAAAATTCTTCAAGGTAACTTTGATAAATTTCAAAAATTTTTCAGGAAAGTTATTTTATTCCTCAATTTTTGATTTTTTTCATATTTTTTATCTCCGTGAGATTAGTTATAAGACGCATTATTTTAGTCACCGGCTGATTTGCTCGATAAAACATGGCGCAAAGTGAATAATGTAATTGCTTTTCAGCGAATCCATGCTGACATTATGCAAACTAAATTCAATGAAACTGTATATTTTTCTTTAATTATTATTCTGCAGAATTCAGTCAGCTCATTAAATCATATTGGAATCAACTATAGGAATTTTCTATTTCTTTATAATCTTCGAGGAAACCTATTGATATGCATTTTTCTTAACGTTGCCTATCATTTATCAGTTTAACTATATGACCTTAGATTGCAGAAGAATTTTTCTCAAAAAATTTATCAGAAATGCAAGGATATCTCTGCCGACAATTTGTCTTTGAAAAGGTATTGTAATGGTTTTATGATCATCGAATGATAGATAGAAATTCTCCCATGGTTGGTCACTGAATTATTAGGGTTGGACTTTTTCATCATATTATTCAAAGATAAAAGTACCAGTTTACGTTCAGCGCGATCCGATTTATTCCCAAAGGACATGGATCGGACCTATGGTGTTTGGCTTTTTTCAAAGCAATAGGTCACTCGATTATGCCCTCCTGATATCGAAAGTATCGGAGGAATAGTTTTAAATTTCCCAATTTTTTTCTCACCCTCATTAATTTTTTCCATCATATATGGAATAATCGACCTCAGTCCACTCAGCTGATAGTGGAAAAAAATACAACTTCATGATGCTTTTTTGACTATCAATTATTTCTTTTCTCCAGCAAAATTGATGCGATGAACATTTCTTTAAAGTACCACAGTGAAGCTTTATCTAAGATTCAGTCAGCTTGCTCAGTATTCAGTCAGCAGATTCAACTTTTGAAAGAGGAAGAAGGTTGATTTCAACAGTATTTTTCGATTTCACTCTATTGCTTCAATGTTTAAAGAAAACAATAAATATATAAATAAATATATAATATAAATAATAATATAATAATATATAGTATATAATATATTACATTAAATAACTGTAAATATAAATATATAAATATAAAACAGTGAAAAATAAAAAATAAAAATACTAATACTATAAAAATAAAAATAATAGTAAATAAAGAAAATATCCTTTTCTATCCTTACGGTTTTAAGCAAATTTGATTCATTGTTTTTTTAAAGCAGCGAAAGGTCAGTCCATTATCGACTGCAATGACAATACAACTGGAAGTACTTTGTTCAGTGTAAGTTTTACTTGCTTGCATATTTAATGGTAAGATTCTTTATGAACTAAAAAAAATTATTTCTTCGATAGAAATTTTGACAAAATAAAATTCTTTCTAGTCGTTTGCTTCTTATGGTGCTCCTCAAACGTCAATGAAAAAATCAGCGTCTAGTGTGTTCGACATGAATAATTTCAGTTCTTCAAATCGATCATCAGTTAATAAAACAGCTTCTGACAAACATTCACAAGGATGTCAAAAAAGGTTAAAATTTATTTCGCCCTAGTGAATTCATTATTCACTTTGGGTTACTTCGTGCCTTTTTTTCAATGATACACTTTTTTAACGATACTTTTTGCAGGAAACCTAATGTGTATATTGAATTTTTAAAAAAAACTCAACGTCATCCAGTAGTACGAACTGGAATTAAAAATACGATACCCACTCAGTCATCTTCAGCCGCGATATTTCCGAACCCCAATGATGTTGCAGCTGAGTTATATAATGTATCAGTTGGGGGTGCGACTTCCATTAATTATTTTAACCAAAGAAAATCAGCTCCACCAGTGGAGAATTCATCAAAAATGCACCTACCCAGCAAAGACTCATCGATATGCCAAGATTTTTTCTCGTTCACAAATGATCCTTCTTTCGATATTTATTGAATATATTGAAAAATTTTACCATTATTTTATCATATTTAACATTTTTTCTTTATTGTATTCTTCATATTTAATTTTTATATTAAAAGTATTAAAAGCCTAACTCGATATCTCATAAATTTCATTGATTTTGTTTGGACCATAATACTTCGCTTTTTCCTCAAATCTTTTTATAGATAATGTTAAATTTTTTTATTGATAGTGATTTGTTAAATACTTGAATGCTTATTCTGAAATTATCAGAACAAATTAACTGGATATTAATTATTTTAAATGGTTTATTATATTTTTGATACAAGGGGAAATGTTAATTTTTTTTCGATTCATTTCTACATGTTGCTTCTTGTATGTTCAAAAAAATAGTCAGATAAACAAGTTGTGATAAACAATGTTTTTAAACAATTTTATTTGTTATAAGCTAATTGAAAAGTGAATTGATAAAATAACTTTAAAAATTTTCAAATTACCAAAAAAATTAAAAACTGCGGAACATTGCTGGTTTAAATAGATTCAAATTTGGAGCGTAACTTTTGTTTGATAATTTCTCGTTTCACCTAAAGTTTCGTGTAATTGAAGACGATGGATGATATCTCCGATAATCTAACAGAATTCGACATAAATGCAATAAATAAACACCGAAAGAGAAATGTGAACGAAGAGATTTCGGCCAAAGGAGATACGCTAAAAGTTTTCAAAATTTGATTCGTTCAATTTTTTCGTGCAACTTTTTCTGGAAAAACTTCGCAAAACAAATGCGCAGCTTGAGTCGTCGAAATTTTATTGGACAGAATTTCTAAAATTTTAACAAATTTATGTATAGAAAACTTTGATTCTGTTTGTTTTCTTTGATGGATTTTAATTTAAAACAAAAAAATTACACAGTAAAAAACCTTACGAAGTATAAAATAATTGAAAGCCAACGAGGGAGAACGAGAACACCAAAGGTGGTTTTGTTTTCGCCATTCCGAGACACCTATAGCGCTTTTTCTAGTGCACAGAATTTCAAGCTGCAGTGAGGAGACCGAGTCAGTTGGAACGAAGAATTGACTCAGCTGAGATCCTTTCTTCACCTTTTGGAACTGCACCAATTCTTCAGCAATCTACGGGATGAATGGCAAGGGAAATCACCATGCACTCAAAATCGGGCAATATTAGCCTTCTAAATAATGTGAAAACTGTGAAAGCTGTTTGATCATCAAGTCGAGCAGCCGCTGCTGTCGCTTTTGATTTGAAAATCAGCAAACCTGGATAAAAACAAATTTTTCTCGCATGAGAATGGGAAGGACGGTTGTGGACTTTCTCTTCATTCATGATTTCATCCAAATCGATGGCCGAACATCTTGGAGAGCGCTACTCTTGCGGCCAGCCCAACCAGTGACTCCGAGACCCCTAATAAAAGAAGAATGAGCGCTCGCCATTTCTTGCTAGAACCCCATCCAATTTCTGAAAGAATGCTTTTCCCACCGCGGGTAGAATCACAATACTGGCGTTCAGAAATGAAAATAATAACCATTTCGAACATTTCTCTCGCTATATTGAATTTACGATTGAGTAAATTTAAATTTTTCAGTAAAAGTGATTTGAAATAAATTTCTCGAGAGAATTCAGCTCTTCGAGTTAGCGACATTGTAGCAATAAAATACAATTTCTTCCTTATTCCAAAAAACCACATGTAGAGAAACAAAAATATTAGTAGAAGGAATCACTTTATTGCTTTGACTAAGACCAAGATTAAGGACCGTAGGTTCCGACTTTAGTTATTATAGAAGAGTAATTATAGAAGAAATGGGTAATGCATAAGGACCGTTTTAAATAAATGAGTGAACCCGCTAAAGTTCACTGGGCCGCCTGTGCAGACTCTCATAATCTAATATTCATCGTGTCTATACAAGTCTTAATTGGATACTTTTGACTATCACAGAGTTTATGTGAAAAGACATGTTGGATCTCTCTGATGAAGAACAGATGGATTCTGTCATATCCGCGAATGCAAAAGCTACTGAAGTCACAAATCAAAAATGGATTCGAAATGTGAACTCAACTCATATCATCAAAACAATTTAACCAAATCAATCAACTCCGATTCAACTTCACCTAACCTGTGTGGTAGACTAAGACAAAAGTTCGACTTCAATCTTTTACATTTGCCGCTCGTTGACAAATGATGTGCTCAATAATGATGGTATTTGAGAGAAGGTGCTATCATAAGATCTTGCCCACATGCCTTAGGATCAAAAATAGATAGCTTCCTTATATCTTCCATTTTCGTTGGACATATTTCACATTCATAAAGCATTGCACATGCAACACCCAATCAAGACCTCGACTGACAGTCAAGAAAGATTTTGAACGTATAGGTAAACCCGCGATATATAGACTTAAACGATGGAAAAAGGAATGGCTTCTATCACTGCTAGTGATGGCATGGCATAGAGCAGCTTGCAGCACCTTACCTTGCAGCTAGCCGAGCCGGCCTAACCAAAAATGGTGGGAGCTGTTAGAAGAAGTACGTGTAACATATAAAAGATATAAAAGATGCGAAAGAGACTAATTTCGCGATAACTGCAAGCAGCTTTCAGCAAAAGAAAGAAAGGTTCTAAATGCAGCCACCCCGACTTGCTAATTTTTGCCTGACCAGTGGGATATATTCCAAGTATCTTGAATCAATATCCTTTATTCTTGAATCAATAAAGAATTTATATACACTGGTATTTTATCGTCTTACCCCATATTTTATTCATTGATATGAAAGCTGATTTTTGTTGCTTACCGATACGTCAAATGTCTGATGCACTTCTGTAGTTAGTTACCAGCAAAAAGAATAAAACGTATTCAAAACCTCTGATATTTTGGTCTGGAATGATCTGTACATACACTTCTTGAGTGCTAACAAGCGGTGTTCAACCTAGTCTATCACATAGCTGTAAACTATACAGAACTGTACAGAAAAGAACCATGACACTTCACTATATAAAAAGTATCCGAATATAACAGCTCGACCAATCTATAATGGCTTATTTTATAAAACACCAAATATGTATTATGTATATTCTAATCTACTGAATTAGAGCCCAAACATCCAAAGCATTTTATAACAAGCATTAGGTTGAGGATTACATTTCAATAAAAACAAAATATTGTTTTTACAAAAAAAAATATTTCGGAAAATATATAAAAAGAATAAAACAGTAAATGTCAAAACTAAAGGCAAAAATTTAAAAAGCAGAAAAAAAACAATATAAAGGAAAAGCCATGTGAATGAAAATTTTTCTCTTACCCAAATCATAACTACAACCATGCCAGTATTCGTTGAATGAAATTTATCAAATTTCGGCAAAGAAAAAAATTGAAAAAAAAAATTTTTTTCCATCCATTTCGTCCTAAGAAACTGATATTTTATTTCTTTAAAACATATATGAGGCTATTCTCTAAAGAATTCTGAAGTACCAGCCTACAAACACCGTGAAATAAAAAAAATTAAAAAAAAATTAGAATTAAAAACTTAAAAAATTAAAAACAGATTAAAAAGAATTTACAATCAATACAATCGAATCGACTGTTAACTGATACAATCAGATCTAGAATGAAATAACGAAAAAAATTAAGGCGAAAAGTTTGGTGCCTACTTCGATTTGTTTTTCCACTTCTCTAACGTATATGTATTTATAGATAATGCATGTATGTGATCAAATTTATCACCTAACGCTTTTTGTACCAATCTGAAAAGGAAATTTCAATAGCAAATAATTTCATAAAATATTCAGTAAATGAACGAGTAAAAATTAAAGGATCTTAAGGAAATATGTTAAAAAGATTAAAATTAATTAAAATTAAAAATTAAAATTAATCTAAAAAAATAAACCTGTGGGATTCGAGAGTTGAAAGACCATCAAATTTTTCTGAAACAACGAGTATATTGTATTTATTACCACAGCCATCAGAAAAATCTGTAATTTCCTGCAAAACCATTTCTAATATTTTTATTATGGCAATTATAAAGCAGTCAGTGGTAGAATAGAAAGGAAGAAGTAAATCACTACTGCTTTCCACTCACCGAAGAAAAGAAAAATGAGCCTTGCTATTTTCCTTTGCACCGAAACGACAAAATTAAAATGTTGACAAACACAAAATAACTTTAATTCTTTCTGTCCAAAATTTGCTAAATTTTACTGAATGAAAACTAACATCTTTTGAGACTAAAAGATTGAAAACATTTACCAAGTGTGATGGTTTCAACGCTTCATTTAAGCATTTACGAACAGATTCTTCGGATACCACTCCCATCTACAAATCATTAATCAAAATATACAAAATGTAACGCAAAATTGATGGGCACAATGCAACCATCAGAACATTAATAAACAAATACTAAAAAATTGGTTCGAAACCTTCAATATATAAGAATACGAACATAAAACAATAAAATTTATTTCGATGAATCCAGTTGGAACTAGAGAATTGAAGAAAAGTTAGAACAAAAGATAAAAGATCCTAAGAACCTGGGACATGAAAAAAGGAATACAACTTGGCACTGAGGACAAAAAGTAATCAATCACAAAAAAATGAAAGCCAATAGAAAAAAATTAAACAAAATATTGTTCATTAGCATGCCATACATTATCATTAATATAACTGGTTTTACAGGTTTTTCTCCTAGTGATTTCTGAATTTAGATTTCAATTTATGCGGGATTATTGCTTGTAAATACAGCCATAACATTAAATTCATGGAAATTTTCTTCAAAACAATACCTTTCCATGAATTTAGCGTCTGGAAAGCAACAATTCAATTAGATTCAAAAAAAAAAAAAAAACTGTGAGCATTAAGAAAACGGAAAAATATTGAAGCAAAGAAATAAGAGATTTAAATAATTGAATCGAAATTTAAAACATATGAACAAATTCAACCTATTTCACATATTCGACCTTTCATTTGAAAGAGATCTATTTTTTGCCATAAGAATATATTAATATTGTACAAAACAAATTAAACCAATAAATAGAAAATAAAACTATTTCCACATGCCACGGACTGAAATTCATCGTAAATCTTTTCGGCTTAAAGTAAACAAAGAAAAATATAGGCATACAAGCTATGGACAAAATTTCCACACATTTGATCTAGAAAACAATTCCCCATAACGTGAGAGACATCAACAAAACGCTATTCTTTCAGACCAAAAATGTGGGCCTGCCGCCGTTTCGTTTCCTCTTCATCTTTTTTTCTACGCCTTTCTAATTCTTCCGGATCTGTTATTGGCGGCTGCAAATTCAGCCTTGGACGCGTGGGATCTAAAATATTAAAATAATCGAAAAAATTATTCGTTAAAATTTCAAAACTGATTTGGAATAAAATAAAAGAACAGAATCCACCATTAGGATGAGCAATAAATTCTGAATCGGCGTTGCTTCGACGACCTCTAAAAGCTCGCCTTCCTCTTATGAAATTTCCTCTGTTACCGCCACGATAGGAATCATTATCAAAATTGCCGCGCCCACTTCTGAATGATTCTCCTCCCGAACTTCCACGATTGTATGCACCTGCAAAACAATTTTAAATTCGAGTACAAGGTCACGAGTAAACAAAATAAACCTCTAGAACCCCTCGGACCAACTCGACTACCACGACCATCTCGACTGCGTGGTGCATCAGCTATATCGACGCGTAATGCTTGCCCACCATAAAGCTATAAAAAATAAGAAATGACTAAAAATAAAATGTATAAGGTTATTTCTTAGATAGTAACAGATAATAATAAATTTATAGTTTTCAACGTTTTCGACACGAACCGTTCCATTCAATTCAAGTGCGGTTTGTAGATCTGATTTTGTGCCAAATTCAACATAAGCAAAGCCTTTAAAGCGATCTGATTCATGATCTCGCATCATTCTAACTTCTCTTATCTAAACGAATAGAATTATAACCACAATTCCTTCCGCTCAAATTATTTCCAAAAAAAAAGAAATTAAGCATTTAAAAATTTTTCAGTTTAGGTGCTATTGCGGACCAACCTATATATTTATCCCCAAGTATGGCGAAGCGGTCTTTTAGCACCCAATAGATCCCGACGAACTGGTAAATGCTGTTAGAAGAAACAGTGAATGGCAATCAATTAATAACATACGCTTAGGTGTTTAAAAAGATCATCGATTTCACTAGGAACACAATCATACGGCAAATTGCCAACGAAAGCTTTATAAGGTCCTTCTTCTGGTATTACTTTAGGCCCTCGATCGAACCTAAATTATGTCGTCTTACTATCCAGAACAGATAAACAAAAAATCAGAACTTTAATTCTACTTCTATTAAAATCTCCTATAAGTTTAGACAGGAACATATCCAAAGATTTTATTCAAAAAAACAAAATACCAACCGACGGCTCATCGGATTTTTGTGAAAGAAAATATTTTTCCTGCAAAAAAATCTGAAAATCTGCAAAACTGACGATTATTAAAGCCGAATATTTGAAACACGTTTTACACGTAAAACGAGTAAAAAACATTTCAAAATAAAACGAAATTTGTAAGTTAAAAAATAATTGAAAAAATAAAATCGAATCGCAATGCTTAAATAGAAATTAAATAAGTTGATATTTCTGAGTAACCGTCTGAATAAAAATTTTAAACAATTAAACAATATTTCTGATAAAAATAAATTAAATGCAATTAAGCATAAATGCAAAAATTTAATTGAATGAAACACTAAAAATTGTAAATTAAGAAAATTTTCGACGTCACATTACTGCGTGTGTTTCTTTTGCGATCTAAATAAATTTCATTGGAACAGTACTTTAGCTAAGGCCAAACACCATGAAGTGGAGTTCTCGCCTTTTGGTTGGAGCGAACCTATAATTAAAAGTAAAACCCGAATGGTGCTGGAGCTTATACTTGTAATTATTATTATAAATATAACTACAGGTTTTTGATGAAGCTGAGTCCTCGTAAATCATTTTTTTTAGGACTGGACCAGTCTTATTCCTTCTTGCTTGTTGTGTTTAGTATTCCTAAATTTGAATTCTCTTAAAGCATCAATCAAAAATTGCCACTCGAGCAATGGAGATGCAAGCCTTTCTTATTTTTTTATTCCTAATTTTTTAAACAATAAAATGGATGCACAACATAAAAATAATGAACGAATTTTATAAGTCGATAGATGTAATATATAACCTATCTAAAATCCATTTAACAACAAATTTGTAATAATTAATACAAATAAATAAATAACGATGACAACAAAACCAGAGACACGTATGGCGACTGAGGTGTGCTTTAATTTCGATAGATGTCGTCAAATCACGAGCCGATTTCAGCTTCCTAACGGGAATAAGCTATCATAATAATTGAAGTGCAGATCACGCTGGGAATGCTTTTATACTTAAAACACTTTCCCGTAAGAGTCGCACACTAGTAACGGAAATAGCGAAAGCAGAGCGTGCAGTTACACGACGAGAAAAAACAGCAGCAAAAATAGGAATGCCAGAAATGATTTCCTTTTTCGCATATTTTTCCCAATATTTGATATATTTGATATATGTGAATTTTAAAAATTTTCGATATTTCGATAAATTCGATATTTAAAGGAAAAGTGCGCGAAGCGATAATCGCTTATATGCCTTTCTGTCTCAAATTAATTCTCCGATGAAAAACTCTTCCTCGCCTTGCATAAAATAAAATCAACCAAACCAGAAATTCGCTGGAACTAATTTTTTTCAAAAAACACCTGAAACATCGCTGAAAATACGGAACTTACATACCGATGGGCCTTTAAATCAAATATTTGCGAGAAAAATCTCAATCTCTTGCGAAAATATTTCACAGAATTACACTCTTCGGTTAGATGGGCGCTCAAATGTCAACGCACTTGTCTTTTCCCTTGTGCCCTTTTCGTTCCCTTCAACGTTCATACATTCATATTCAGTTCTCTTCTACTGGCGTACTGCTTTCATTTAAGCAATCGAACTTACCACGAACTTCATTATTTATCCACTTAGCACTTGTAACCTTAAAATTTTCCATCGCTCTACTGCTGCCTATGTAACCGAAAAGAATCGCAATTTAATATTCTTGAAAAATTATGCCTCGTTGCCCAGAAAAAAATTAATATTTAACCACTAAAACTGAATGATCTCAGCGCAAAATTAGCCAAAAATGACCCGAAAACCTCGCATTGCAACGACATATTAGCCTTTAATATTATATGAGCGACAAAAAAGTCCTCCTAAAAATAGACAGAATGCCGAAAATGTGTTCAATTTCAACCAAAAGCAAACTTCAGCTCCAGAAATATCGCCACCTATAATCGACCCATGATGAAACGAAATGATGAAAAGAGGGGTGGCATCAGTTACTTCCAGATATGGCATTTGAGAGCAAGACTTGGAATCGCCTTACCCTCGCAGTTTTTCCAATCAGCCAAATCAGAAATGCTTGGTGCCATCAGTGAAGGGAGGACAGAAAAAATGAGATCTTACGCTTCGCGCTGAAGGTTTATGTATGTAGCATTAGCCTCCGACTTCAGACTCCAGCTGAATATGTTGAAAAAATTTTGGAAGTAGAAACTTGACTACTTAATTTTTATTTTTTATTTTTAATATTTTTCTAATTTTTTATCGAAAACAAAATTTTGAAAAGGTTTTATGTAAGCACAAACAATTTTTCAAATTTTACAACGATATTTCCGCTGCAGCAATATCAAATGCAACAAAGAATGAGAATAATAAAATACATAAATATAAAATCGAGAGATGAAAATGAAAATCCCTGAACTGCTTTCTTATATAAGAAATGAAGTGATTTCGAAAATGAATAAGCTTGAAATATTTCATTGGCAAACGCTACAGGGAAATCCATAAACAATAACATATGCCATATTTATACGGATACTTTCGTCCAGCATTTACCAGACATCTTAAAAAAAATTTGAAACTTTTAGCATTAAAAACAGATAAACATTTAATAAATTCTGGGAGACTTCAGCACTTTAATAGAAATTGGTGCCAGACTGAGTCCAGCATTGTTTTGGTTGACAATAGTTGACAATAGTGTGCGCTTGATTAGCCCCATTATATTATTTATATAATTATATTATATCATTTAAAAATTAATTCCATACGCTGGAGACCAATGTGTACCTCCATCTACACGTAATCCTCTGCTAAAAATCCCATTTTCTGATTTGGGAATTTTCTAATCTGATTACACAAATCAAAAATTATTGATGATGCTAATCAAGATATTTAAGAGAATTTATTTGATGAAAACCACCAAAATTTCAAACAATTTATTTATAACTGAAACTGCAAAACTTGATTCGTTCTATTATTAAAGTATGGTTCTATAATAATATTAATGCTATAACGAAATGCCTTATATGGAATTCTAGCGAAATCCCTGGTCTAGCAAATATATTCTGAAGGGATTTAAAATCTAGCATTCAAAATGAAATAAAGATAATAATAAGAATATGCCCAAATGACTCTGACATCTTACAAAAAATATAGCAAGCCAAATCAGAAGTGGTACGCACTGTTAAATGGACAGTTCATGAGAAATCAAATTTATTTAGTTAAAAAAAAAATTAACAAGAACACACCTAAAATTTAAACTCTTTGTATTTCTTTTGCTGCTGAGTGCTTTTCTTTTGTTCCTGCACCTTTCGTTTACGATTTTGCTTAGCTGAATGTTCAGCTACCATATCCGAAAAATCTTCTTCATCTCGACCTTTGTTCTGCTTTCTCAGTTGTTCTTCATATTTTTTTTCAAGACCCTTTTGATCTGCCAAATCAAGGTCTTCTGGATTCAACGAAACTTCAATACCAATATCCGGACCTTGTGCTGCAGGAGCCAAATTCACTTTCTTTGCTAAATCGTATACATGGGTACTAGCCATCATTTGACCACTTATTCTTTCTACTTTACGTTCTTGCAAAACAGTATAAAGTTGAGGCGCTGGAGTATCACCTCCCGCAATACTTTCTTCAGCACGCTTTCCTTTTCGCAACTCAATTGTATCCGGTGTGTCGACTCCAGTAGGTACTCCAGAGGCAATACCCGATGGCGTTGTGAAACCTTCCGTAGTTCCTGGTGTAATAAAACCAGTTTCAACTGCTGCATTTTCCATTTCTTCCTCTTCTTCACTTTCTTCACTAGAATCTTCATCACTTCCAATTTCACCCCAGTGTCGTCGTTCAATTCTCGATTCATCGTCGATTTCTGGCAAGGATTGCATCTCCATTCCAAAAACATCACCATAAAGTGGTTTACCCATTTCATCAACAGGTGGCTTACCCCAACCACCAGCATGATAACCAAATGCGCAACCTTCTGGTATTGGACAATTCAAACCAGGAATTTTAAGATTCGGATACGACGGTGGTGGCCCATAACGCTGCATAGCGATTAACCATGGTGGTGGAAATTTATGTGCATTTGGTCCAACTGGCATACCTAATGCAATCCGTAAATCATCACTTAGCTCACCCGGCTTCTTTTCACGCATTATCGTTTCCAATTCTTTTCCTTCATAATATAATTCACCCATCTGTGTCATAACCGGTTTCGTCTGCCATTTAAAAAATGCATCATGTAATTTTTGATAATCTATATCGATACGGCCTAATTTTGGTCGTGCACGTTCACGCATTTTTGCTTTTAACGATTGCGCATCTTCTTTTTCCCACATCGTTTCTCGCATTTCCATAATACCTGTTCGTTTAATAAAATCGGGTAAATCAAATGGTGGTCGTTCAAAACCACGTTTACCAGCCAAATATTTTCGTTTGGCATTCCAGTGTCGTGGAACTGGCACTGTATTGCGGTAAGCTTTTAATGTAACAAGTAGTTGAGGATCTCGTGATGTAACGTCAGCCCACTCAACAACATCCGGACGTGATGTACATTCTTTCAGTTCCGCAATTGTTGGTTGCATTGCTAAACGCATTTTTCGCTTACTCATCGTTTGTGCTTGACCAGATTCTTCTTGTTCACGACGTTTTTCACTAATTTCTTCTTGCAATATTTTTTCTGATATTGATGCTTTCGTTGGAATTTCTTCTTTTTTAAATTCGCTTTGTGTTGACGTTATCGTTTGCATTACATTACCTTCTAAGTTATTTGACCTTTCTCCTTCGGTAATTTTAAAATTTTCGAAAATTTTTGCAAAATATTGGTAATTTGGATCGTTCTGATCTAATTCTGGTGCACCACTAATATATTCGACATCAATTCCAAGATTATCAATCAACTGAGCATCACTTTCAAATAAATGTTTTGGATCTGAACCGTTCAAAATCTCAAACTGTTGGTTGTCATTGTTGTTGATACGTTTCTTCTTTTTTGATTCTTTTTTCTTCTTATTCTTATTTTTTCGTCGTTCAATTTCCTTTAACTCTTTCTTATTAAGAATTTTTTCTTCACTTTCATTTTCGTTCTCATTTTCAATACCACTATCAATGTCAATTTCGACCATTTTCCTTAAAAGCTTTCCTTCTTTCCTTTTGCACAAATATTTCGACAAATCTGAAATATTTAAGATTAAAAACCAAACAAACCAATCGAAAATTAATTTATCTGATTTCGGTGAGAGGAAACACTGTTTTAAATTAGTGATTTAAATGTTCATGGTGATGCGAGTTGCACTAAAAATCAGCCAATCAAAGTCGAACTATCTCCCGGAAACAAAAAAAATAAAATAAATAAGAAAAAGACAAAATAAACAAATAAAAAACGAAAATCGGGCACTTTTCTCCTTTGCTTATGGTCAAGATATGCTTGCTTATCCTCTCTTTTTCATTTCGACCTCCACCAATTTCGCACCAATAAATTAGCTATCAGTCAAAATCGTTAAAATCTCAGCTAGCGTTTTCAACCATTCCCTACCAATAATGAGATAAATTTGCCGCAATTTTCCCTTCTTTTTTACGATCTTATCTGAATTTTTCACCGAAAATTAAAATAAAATACAATAGAAGAGTAAATATAATCCTATGAATATTTTAAATAGATCAAAATTCACGGAAATAAAAATTACAAAACCCTTCTTCTTCATTTTCCTAAAATTTCCTAAAAAAGTTAGAATTTCTCGTTTGGCTGGCTCTACTGATTAAATAGACTGAGATCGCTCGGCCACAGTGAAGAGACAGTAAGAGACGGAAGAGATACAACTCGATCCACACGTTTATTCTTTGCATTGCCGGTATTTTAGATTTTATCGCAGGAAAATTAATATTATTATTTACATTATATTATCTATAAAAATAAAGAAAAAAAGAATTGGTGGTGGAGGGAAATCACTTGCAGAATCGGACCCACGATTTTCGAACCCCTTCTGCATCACCGCCATGTCCCGATAAAGCCTAAACACTCGACCACTACTACGGCCCTCCAGTGTCAGCCAACAGCAAACGAGTCGGACAAATAAACGAAAATGCCAGACCAACACTTCACCCAAAATTCTGGCCAGGGTAAAAGAAAAACCTAGCGCGCAAGAGAAGATAATATCCATAGAACCATCGATGCATCAATAAAACGTAGAGGGTCGAATTCCACTTACGCTAAACTTCGGCTCCGCTCGATGGTACGAAAGGATTTTTTTTATTGAGAAGTGTGCAAAAGCCTTTGCTTCCAATAAAGGGTTTCATAAATTTCAACAGCGAATTAATAATTATTAAGCATTTATTGAATTATTTTATTGCAAATTTAGTTACTCCGAATTTCGTTATATTCCCAGTAGGCAAAAATAATCCTTTTATTTTTTATTCTCGCAGCCTTCAAAAAATTCGGCATTTACTGGCAAAACACTATTTTATTCTCGTCCGTCCAACAGCTTAGCCAATATGAAGGCAGATAAATAAAGGCAGATCACGAGGCGAGGACCCCTCCCGCCAGCAGCGTAGTGCTTAAGAGCGTAGCGCAATCAGCAAAGAGTAGGAGTTGAACTGGAGCTCTTTTTTGGTGGGGTCTTTGGGCAAAGACCGACTAAAGGCTTATCTGCTCCACCTCAAATATGGCAGCGTTAGAACCAAGCAGGCTGGGACGTCGGATCAACAAAGTCCGCGTCAGATGTTGAGGAACATGCATTCTGACGTTAAAAGTACCACTGGAACAAATCTTATGAAAGAATCTGTAACGATCCATCACATTATTCATATTGAACCATCTTGTGGCTGAACATAGAAAAAAAGCAAGCTGCTCTTTCAATTCGAGATCGATCAACTCTGTACTTCTGCACATTTCAGACAGTCTCACACTAAATCGTCTCCCCAAGATGATCTGAAAGGAGAAAAGCCCCATTTATGTGCTCCTAACAAACCAGAAAGCTGGAAATTCCTTTCCAACATCACCGATGTAAAGCAGAGCAGTTGGGACAAAAAAATATGGATGGCTGTAATTAACCCTCGAAAGCGACCACCGCTCAGTGAAGTACCAGCAGTGAAGAAATATATTTGAAGGCACGAGAGAGAAAACCCTCACTACTATAACCAAAAGCATTGAATTAATGCATGCCTCTGTGCTTGGAAATAGAATCGAGCAGAACAGCAATAAGGATAGCAAAGCATATCGCCCTTAGAAAATGAGGCTGGAGATAAAGCAGAGGATGAGATCAGAAGATCAGAAGACAACGTGGAAAAGTTAACCAGAAAGAAGTTGAAAAACCCGGCCATTGGAAAAATTAAAATACATTGAAACCCTAAGAATTACTAAACACTAAAGCAATGGACACCAAGTTAACATTAGAAAGTAAAGGCCAAAAAAATGAATGCAGGTCCAAGTTTACTCTCAACCTCAATATGGTAGCAGCAAAGCCATAAAATTGATTAATGCTGGAAGAATATATGAGAGCACACGGTTCATAGGACATCATACCGGAGCAGGAACCAGTTATCATCACAGACATCCAATAAAAGTCGTATAGTGCCTGCTCCAGAGGTGATTTAGAGATCTCATCATTATTGGTTATGCTAGTTCCACTGGTTGGGAGACTTAATTCCAAGTTTTCTTCTTTTTTTTCTTTTATTTTCTAATTAATTGCCATGTCTGGTGATGAAATTAAACCTAAAGCTAAAACTCAAGTTAATGCCTTAAAAGGCTCGCCAGCTCGCAAGAGATCCTAATTGTTTTTTCAACGTATCAAGCTATGATTATTTGCTCTCAAGCTACTGTGGTTACATAGTTGCTCAGTTACTTACCGAAGAATGCTGCTGCTAAACTTCAGGCATTATTCTCTTGTCTCTAGCCTTATTAAACTGAGAAAGATGCTTTAAACGCACTACTGAATCGGAGAGACAACGCTTACAAAGATTTTTCGTTGAAGAAGAACCTGTTGGTAGAAGATTGTCAAAGCTCTTTAAAAATTAGCACTGCTTGGTGACAAATTGTCGAATTTTGATAAAATTCCAGTTCAGCAACGGTTCTTTCTGCCTTCCGCCAACATATAGGAATTATTGGCTTCGACCATTGACATCTTAACATTAGATGCATCGCTCAACTCGCACTGGAACATCGGTCTCCTCTATAAGTATTTTTCCTTCGTGTGATATTGATGTCCTTGAGTAGGGAAATAACTCGAACATTCACTTCAAAAAGACAACGGCGTCGTTTGTTTCCACGCTTCAGACAAGAATGTGGTATCATGAACGTTTCCGAAACATGGCGAAGAATTGTACACCACCCTATAATAAACAGAAACAAATCGACTCCCTCCACCTTGTAACAAACGAAAACAAGTAAAAAGACCAGACTAGCACCTAATGACGACGTTGTTGGTCTTCACTTTCGATGTCATCACTGATAAAAATAAAGCACACCAGGGGACGTTGGTGCCGAAATCAGCACCTCCCCTACGTTTAAAAAAGATTGCGAAATTCTCCACTGGGACAAATTTAATCATTGGAGTATAGCACAAATCAGTGGATTATAAATCTATTCATTACAACATCTATGTATTACCTTGGCTTTCGATGGACATTTCGTCAGATTTTTACTGTCGCGAATATTAATTGGAAACGGCTTTTTGCAACCTTGCATCCTTTCAACCGTCGTTTGATATTAAGTTTTATTTTTTTGGAATAGTATGGATATTATGAGCATCTTGAGCCCAAGTGCTGATCGATTAAACGAAGCAGAACAAGTCTAATCATGCTTAATCTAGGAATCATTTGATATAATTGACTATCTATCTAATAATATTGACTATCTACTATCTATCGATCAAGGATGATAGAATGGCTCAATGGGCTGTTGGTCAATTTGGAGCGCCGCTGCTGATTCTATTTCCGCAAGAGTAAACCTGTCCAAAATTCCGGGTAATGCTGGCGACTCACCTGTATTTCTATCGCCAAGGGACTCTGGACTCTCTGGCATATTTATCCAATGCGACAAGCCAGCGGAGTGAGTTTAACCAGTAATGGTGAGGACTCTTAAAAAAACTAATAATTGGTCAAAATCTAAGATGTACATTGTCCAAATAAACTTCAGAAAAAAAGAGTCCAAGACAAGAATACAATTGACAGCAACAGCACTGAAAGGGATAATCAAGAATCAAGATAACTGGTATTATCTGCAGAAACTTCTCAATTTCCCAATCCAGACAGAAAAAAGAGTATTGGTTAATCAGCCGGATATCATGGTAGTTGACAAGAACCAGAAATCAGTAGGAATAGATTAGTTAAATAAATAAATAGAATAGATAAATAGATACTGCAATACCAGATGATTGGAATATTATGAAGAATACTACAAAGAAGAATTAGAGAAATACTAAGTGCTGAAAGAAGATTTAGAAATGTGGGAAGGCCATTAATGATAATTAGAGTTATGAACTATGGTCCTTAAATTAAAAGATGCTGCGCAGAACTTTTAAGCTACCAGGTTACTGTTTAAAGAGCAGGCAGTTGCGAAGGACCGATACCATCCTCGCGAGATAAGAAAGGAAAGGTTCTTTTTTTGTACATTTTTCATGGAACTTTAGCTTAACCTTCTTCCGCTGACAACAATTTATATTCTATGCTCTGGATATTCCGCCTTTTCTATATAAGTGCCGTATTTTTGTGCTGATAAGCTATCTAAATATTTAATTTTATAAGAAATCATTCATATTTCATAGGATTTTTTTTCTAGTATTATTTTTTATTTCATTCCTATCAAATTCTTTGTTCCTCTTTGGAATTGAAATTTTTTCATTGATTTATGAGATTACTAAATGAAGCTACAAAAAGAAATTTTCTTTAATATATTGTAGTAATAATATATATATATTTTTTCTTTTATATAAAACTTAATAGTACAAACAAGAAGAATTTATTTATGATCTTTTTTTTATTATCTTTTTTTTATCATCTCTGATTATCACTTGGTGATGTCTTCTAATGAAGCAAAATATAGCAATTCAATTCATACAATAAATAAAATAAATTTGCCAAAACTTTAAAATCTCCCGGATGGTTCTGGAGGTCCACTTGCGCTTATATTCTCAAGTGATTCTATGAGGAAGCGGTCATATCTAAAATCCTAATAGAAATAGTAAGCGAAGTTTAAACGAAGTTCAGCAAAATAGAAAGTGCAAAAGTGGATCATCTCGAACTAAAAAAATGGCTCCAATAGGAGATTCTGAAAAGTCCAAATTACTCCTCTTAAATCGGGACATTTGACTGAAATCGGGGCATTTGAAACGGAATGAGCTGGTCGTATTTTTGACCTGCTTTAAGTAAGGACGAATTTGAATTTCATCGGGAAATTAGAATTACAAAAATCTTTAGAAATTCCATCATTTATTGCAAAAAAATGAAAAGCTAGAAAAAACGATTTGTTTTGAATCCCGCTTATTGAAATTTGTAATATTTTGAATTATCTGATTATTTTCTCAATCTTTCTCAGTTGGAACCATTGTCCAATCGAGCTCTTCTTGAGTATTATTGTCAGTATCATCTGGAGGCTTCGATGACTCTGAATTACTTGGTTGTGGTGGCTCTTTGGAATCAATTTTTGTTGGGGTCTCAGTTACCGTAATTTCTGGTGAATCCGAATGAGCCATTGTCATTTTTTGCAACTGTTCTTCAAGCATTACGTTTCCAGAATCGGATCGACTTGAACGATTTGATGATTTATTCGAACATCGTTCGATAGATGTTATTTCATCTACTTCTTGATCGTTTAGTTCATCTGATGTCTCTGCTTCTATTTTTATTTTCGGCTCCATAGGTGATAAAGATCTAAAATTCATCTTAAAGGTCTTTAATTTTTTCCCAAAATGGGATTTTTTTAGATGTCACCGTATTAACTAAAATATCGAGGTAGCGAGATTACCACTGGCATCTAAAATATCCATGCTATCCTTTGGTGGGTATCTAAATGGAAATGATAATCTTTTTTCTTCTCGAAATCTTCGCGATTTAAAATAGTGTTTATTTAGAAAGGCTCATGGCAATTTATTATTAAAAATTTCTAAAAATTTTATTCATACCTGCTAATGGGCTGTTCTATTTCATCGTCATTTTTAAAACTTTCATTTAAGGCATTTGAAATTGGAGCTTCTTCGACATTGGCGTTCCCACTTGGAGCATTAGATATTATGCTACCTTTGATTTTTCTTGCTTTTCTTTGTTCGTTGTAATAACCATCGCGTACTGAACTGAAGATTGTACTTGTTAACGTTGACCTGAAAATTGGTATTTTCCACATAACCGCTTTAACGACCATCAGTTTTATTCTTTAAATTTTCCCTAACACATATGATTCTTCCTTTTCTTCTTAAGAACATTAGTGGTTAAGCTCGCTCCACTGGCTTGTCGCATTGAGCAATATGCCAGGGAGTCCCTTGTGATAGAAATACAGGTGAGTCGCCAGTATCACCCGGATTTTTGTACAGGTTTGCTCCTGGGGGAATCGAACCGCAGCTTCGGCTGCTCCAAATTGAGCAACAACCCACTGAGCCATTGTATCCCCGAACATATGAATATCAAAGTTGATTATCAAACGAAATAAAAAATTATAAGTTATAAATTAAAAATTATAAGTTTGAATCATTATGCTTGGTAATCCCAGTTCTTCAACTATTATTGTTCGATTCTAACAATGAAGTTTAAGTTTCACTCACCAAGCAGCTAAAGTCTCTGACGTGGGATGCACAGATGCATCAAGAAAAACGCATTCAGTAGTTACGGCATCCGCGATCGCACCGAAGAAATCGTTTTTAAAACCAAAAACACGGAATTTGAGATATTTTGCTCCGAGGTCTTCAGAAAGTCGTCGAACTTCTTCAGCATCTGTTAATTTTTCGACAACTTTAGGAAGAAATTCACGTAAGGAAGAGTACAAATCTGATTTAAATTCCTAAAACAATATATTTTTCAATCAGAAATCTTAGAAAATAAAAATATTATCAGTAAAACAAAAGTGATGAGGCAGTTGTGCAAGGGCCGATCGATTCGCTGTTTAGATCCATCAAAAAAAGAAGATCTCACTTTAAAACAATTCTGACAAGCTATGAACAAATAAAAATAGATATTGTTTTACATCATTTCTCATTTGGCTCTTCCATTCGCCACAAGCATGAAGCATTTAGATAACCCTTTCGCCATGGAGTCGCTTGGAGATGGAGATTGATTTAATAACTATTAGGAATTTGAAGAAAGATGCTGACTTCTGGTAAAGAACATACGAAGATGCGAAATTCTTCTTTCTTATCGTAAACTCTTCTGTATATCCGATCGACGAAATCCTCTTTAGCACTATCCAAGCAGCCCTTCACAATTTGTCGTTGTGATGTGTTCAACAATCCTTTCTTTAACTGACTATTTAGACTTGGCCTGTAATCAGTTTTAATTTAAATTTACGTCAAGAAATCATCTTTAAATAGCAACAATCAATCATTTAAATATCGCTCATTGCTAAAAGTTCAAAAAAACAAAATATTAGCGAAGCTCCGCTGAGTTCTTCGACAAATCCATTCGTTAACTTTAATCATTTTTTTTTGTTTTCAATTTTCAACGATAATTTTTATTTCATTTTAATATGATATTTAATGTGATATTGTTGCAAATAAAATCTTTTGGAAGATTATTTTCAAATATTTTTGTTCCTGTTCGGCCTTTTAATAAAATTTTTCATCGCCTCCATCGACATTTATTTAACACAAAAAATAGACATTACATTAGCATTTTGTAGCGAACACTCTTCTTTCGCACTGCACCTTTCGCACCTAACACCTTTTGCATGCAAAACATGCAGTTTATTGCATCTCATAAGCACCATTTATCTTCATTATACGGCCTTTAATATTGCAAGGTAAAGTTTCGTTAAAATAACCATACATTCATATATAAATATTAAAGCAAATAAAAATTTATTAAAAAAATTATTTTTTACCAAACATAATTTTTTTCTTTTTCACCTTTCTCCAAACATTTTTAAAATTACAATTTTCCTCTCTTTCCTCTCTTTGTTGACTGCAAAATTAGAGTTTTCAACAAATGTTGAAATTTTTCCTCGCTAATAAACCGTAATTTGGATAATGAATCACAGTAAAAGCCTCGCTAAAAGGAAAAAGTTATTAAAGACAAATTATTTAAATCCTAATTTATCGAAGACTAAACTGATAAAAATAAAGTGGTAGCTGATTGAAAACAGTGTAGGAATAAGTCGATATTTAAAGAGATAAAAGGGCATAGAAAGCAAAAAAGGCTTGAATTTTTTAAAGTAAAACGCAGAAGATACTACTGTAATTTTATCCCTAAGCGATTCTCTGGCCTATGAATATAATTTAAGCAGAATTATTGGGTACTAAGTACTATCTGATAAAGAAAGAAGAAAAGGATGTCTTCCTCAATTTCAGATATGGAATCAGATCGAGAGCATTCATCTGAGAACCAAGCAAAAAGTGAACTGCTAAGCGAAGAAGCAAATATCACATTGAGCATTATTTTAGATTTTCCCCTACAATATTGATTGCTTTTTTCTTTTCCTGAATTCACTTAATTCTATCCAGCCAAAATTCAAGTAAAATTTTATATAACTAAGTGGATTTTCGAAAATTCCTGGAGAAGCTTAATGGAAAATATTTCCGGATCAACGAGGAAGAAATTTCAAGATTTCAAGATTTTTTAAAAGATTACCTCTTACGAGTATCCACTGAAATCTTGTCGCTTTCTGCTTGTAAATTTTTTGTTGTCTCACTTGATTTTGCGTTCCCCATTCTTCAATTCTTAAAACAATATTATTATGGGACTACGGTCGCTTCTAATAAAATTATCAAACAGATCGCGCATCGCAGGAAATTATAGATTCGGAAAGGTACCCTTCTTAACATAAGTAAATGAATGACGAACCAGCACAATAAAAATGCAAAAAAGCAATGCGACAGCATTTCTTCTGCAAGTTTAAAAGCAGGAAGAGACGAAGAAATAAGTGTGAAGTAAAAGATGTCGTCGCACACTGCTCTTGCTCGACTCCAGAAAAGCTTTTTAGAGAAAAATGGATGGAAAGTTCTTAGGAATAAATTTCGGGGCCATGTAGCGCTATTGGCTGCTGACATGATCTTCTGGAGCAAATAAAAATAAATGAGCTCTATTGCTGAAGAGAATTACGAAGCGAAATTAGAGAAGCACAACCGACCGACCGATTCAAACTGATTCGCTGTAATAAAACAGCTATAAAATTTCGAGGAAAAATCCGCGATTTAAAAATCTTTGGTCTAATTTCATACTTATGATAGATAGAAGGCTTTTCATTTAAAATTTTCTCGAAACGATTTCTGAAAAATTTTTAACATTTTGAAAGAATCGAAGCGGCCCTACGGCAATGTTAATTGCAAATTATTAATCATAAAAAATAGTGAGTTAGCACTCACAGCATAATTTCGAATTTTTGTTAGATTAACTCTGCCAGCTATTAATACCGTATGGAATGTGGCTGGAGAGTCATTTGGCTATAAAATAGGTGGCCAGCACCGCTAGGAATTTCGAATCGTCGACTTCTTCCTGTTGGAAACAGTCTACAAAGTCTTCCTTCCCAACATGATTATCCAAGTTAGAACGGCTAGACGCGATAAAGTTATCATTTGTTTGTTTTAATTTTATTTTGTTTCGTTGATTTATAAATTGCTAAACAAATTACTTCTAAATTATTTAAAAGGAGAAATTAATGCTACTTCTTTATCATTTCATTTATCTGCGTTCATTTTAATCAGCACCTCATATTTCTGGCTTGGATAGGTCCCCTCGCTTTTAGGATGTAACTCTTGCAATTTTCTTTCTTTCTTTCACTTCTAACAATCAGACTCAAGAATTAACAGTTTTTTTCTTTCGGATAATATCATAATGCAACTGTGATTTATTGAATCCTGAATACCAGCAGGACTCAAATCTTTTCGTTTCAGAACATCTTCTTCTTCTGGCAGCTCGCACCATTACTGGTTAGGCTGGTTTCAACGGCTGCAAGGGTAAGACGCTTCCAAGCGGCGCGGTCTGATGCCATCGTCGACAGTAATGGAAGCCATTCCTTTTTCCATCATCTAAGTCCATATATTGCTGGTCCATCTATACGTTCAAAATCTTTTCTGAGCGTATCAATCCAGACCTTGATTGGCCCACTTTGCTTTTGACACCACTCATCACACGGTCTAACAAGTAACGAAATATGTGTCAACTCTTGTGGCGATGAAGAAGTTCTAACCAGGGGCCGCTCTGCGATGGTACTGTTAATGCAAGTGGTATTTGAACGAAGATGGATGCGAGATATCATATGAGATCCACTTTGCGAACCCGTAAAATATATTTTAGATGTGAGTGATCAAAGGTTCTTAATATCCTTCACTTTCATGGGCCATGTCTCGCAGCCATATAGCAAGATCGAACGGATCATGGCTATAAAGATGCAGACTTTCGTTTTTATGGTGATTTCACGACTGCTCCATAAAGATTTCGTAACAGGAAGAATACATTTCTACTTGCCGTGATCCTGGTTGTAATATCGTCTTTTGCCTGGCCATTCGCTATTGGAGTGGATTTAGGGTATTTATAATTGGGCAATTCCTCAACAGGCAATGAATTTACAAAAAGATGCATTTTATCAGCTTCTTGCACATAAGACGAAAAGAATTTCGTTTTATTTATACTGACTATCAGTCTGATTCCAGCTGACACGTTAGCATTATTTGCATTTCATCAAAACTGTCAGCAAAAAGGACTATATCATCAGCGTATATCAAAGATCTGTGATAATACGATGCTCTGGACTAATTTGGATACTTCTTGAGTGCCGACAAGCGGTGTCCATTATCCAGTCTATCGCACAGTTAAATATTATAGGGGAAAGGACACAACCTTTAAGAACACCAGTTCTTATTTCGAAGGATTCTATCAGTTCCCCATATAAACAGACTTGCGTCGACACACGCTCATAAAATGCCTTGAGTCGAATGATCTTCTCTGGAACACTGTCGCGTTCCATCATCCTCCAAAGCTGCTCTATTAATTGAATCAAGGCAGCCGCAAAACACGTGGCAGTAGGTCGCGACGTTCTAATACCCTGAAGCGATATTCTAACACCCTTCTTAAGAAAGTGGCTGAATAAAGGAGATTTTTCTTTAGTTTGGACCAGTATTTATTGAGATGCTTCAATAATTCGATTTTAAATGTTACCGCTCACTGTTCTCGAATTTTTTAGTTTGAGATAGTTGAAAGATCTTGGGGGATGCTGTTTTTTGCGATTTGTTAATTTTATACGGATATTCGCTCGAACCATAACATGTTCAAATCCATGAAGATTGCTCGTGTTGTCAGCGCTGCGATAAGAATGATTATCTAGTGCTGAACTCTTCCAACGGCGATTGACTAAAATAATCTGGTTGAAGACTTGGTTGTCCGAGGAGTTCCATGCGACTAGATGTTTTCTACGATGCCGGAAACAAGTATTAATAGTATTATTTGCTTGGAGTTTGGAGTGCCATTAAAGATGAAGGATGCGGTGATGCGCATTTTGCTTCTGCTCTCCAAGTGATTTTCTAGTGAAAGGATCGCATCTCATCCTAATAATATGACCAAACCAGAAATAGTGAAATGAAGAATTACTGAAATTGTTAAAAGTTCCTGGGAATCAAAACTGTAAAAAAATTTAATATTTGAAATGATCGACAAATTCCAAGGAAGAGGCAATTTAATGAGGAAGATTTGAACTTTTGTTTTTCATATTTTTATTACTCTAAAAATTTTTTTACGCTTATTTCGCATAATTTCATTTCGAATTATTTCGAGCTAATTGATAATTTTTCGAGTCGAAAAGAGCTATAAAAATTAAAACTGATTTGTGGTGGCACTGCAGCGATCGCATTTTAATTGCTTATGCAGTCAGCTGATAAGAGCTATAAGAAGAATAAATCAGTCGAGAAATTAGTCGAATATGATAAAATGAAGGGAATTGCATGAATTGCATCAACAAATAACTAAGTCTTATTTTATTAATAACTATAAACTAATGAATTTTTATAAAAATATTAAAAACATCGTAAGAGATAAATGTTGAAAGACCATTTTCACGTCGCGGCACAGGTTTCGACGACGGTTATTTATTATACACACAGCTGTTTGAAACATAATTTATTAAGAAATTAAAGAACAGAAGAGGGAAATTATTACTACTTTATGGATTATGAAAAAACCTTGTAATCATCATAAAAATGATTTAGTAAAATGTGAAATGTTGAGCTAAATGCAACTTTTCGGTTATATGGACAGCATTTCCTGTCATCTTTTCATCCTTTTAACTTTTCCAACTTTTCCATTCAATATATCATTTCACCACAAAAATCAGTACAAAAATTTTATTATATTGCTATCCACAAAAGAAAGAAACGAACAAAGATGTCAAACTTCACTTCCGTCAGCGTCCTCGTTTAGCTCTTTTCTTGCTACCGTAGAATGGGCATAGACGTATGGCTCCAAACTCATATGTAACTTGGCCATAACGGGCTCCCTTGGCTCTAGCTCGGCATTCTTAGCTCTCCTACTTCTTTTTAACTGTTCTCTCTTCGCTCGTTGCATAGAAATTCATATCTTACAACGATTGTCTGGATACTATATTATGATTTTTTGGTTTGCATTTTCTCAAAGTTCAAAACCGTCAGGTATCGTCGGTCGCTATGGTTGGTTTATTTCTTTCTTTGGTCTTTTATTCGTTCCTCTTCAGTTAATTTGTTGTTCATTACGAATATCGTTGACAAGTATTTATGGAATTTTTTCGTAGTCTTATTTTTAAAATTTACTCATTCATTTTTTCCTTATTTCTTATTAAATCACTTTTATTAACAATTTTGTGTAGAATTTGGAAAATTTCTTAAGAAAAAAATTTTTGAATATTTTTTTCGAAAGTTTGAGATTTTTATTTCAAATTAATTTTCGTTTTAACTGGACTCTTTTAATTTTAATTCTCTTAATAATTGGTTGGTCGATTTTTTCGGGGGTTTGAAAAAATTTGGGATCGGTTTGCCAGCAGCTGTATTCCTCTTTTTATTTTTAGTTGGTGCTAGTTATTGGTGACTTTCATATTCCATTGCGAAGTCATGGTATTCCCGCAAAATTTCGTAAGCTTCTGGTTCCAAACAAAATGCAACATATTCTTTGTACCGGAAATATGTGCACTAGGGAGATTATCGATTATCTTAGATCTTTGGCCTCTGATGTCCATGTGGTTTGTTTCATTTTGTTTTGTTTTGCCTTTTGTTTTTCCGAAATGAAATCTAAGAGTTTTTAAATTTTTCATGAAATCGGAAAATTTATATTTCTATGAGAATTTCATGATTTTACTTGTTTTCTCTATTTTGATTCATTTCATAAATTCGACTGGCAAATCCTAGTCATTAATTTTTTAAACGATAATTCGGCGAAATTCCAGGTTAGAGGTGATTGCGATGATTTTGGCCTGGGCTATCCCGAGACAAAAGTATTGACAGTTGGCCAATTTAAAATTGGCTTATGTCATGGTCATCAAATAGTTCCATGGGGTGATATTAAGGTTTATCTGCTTAATTTAAAGGTACAGATCGCTTTTTTTTCTATTTTTTTAATAATAAAGTTTTAAGCGAATTGAATTATTGGCGAGAGAATTAAACGTCGATGTTATGGTAACTGGACATACTCACCAGTGTCGGACATTCGAGCATGAAGATCGTTTTTTCATTGATCCAGGCTCTGTCACTGGCGCGTTTTCTCCAATTCAGAGGTTAGCTATTGCTGACGACATAAACAAATAGAAACTTTTTTTTTTTGATCATTATCCATCGTCTTCTTTTTACTTTATTATTTTCCATTCATTTGTTGACCTCATATTTATATTTTTTTCTGTTTTAGTCTGAGAATTAAATCTGATTCTGGAATAACCAAACTTATTTAACTATTAATTTTGTTAATGGATACTTTTGCAATCAAAGTAAAAATCGTTTTTTTTTTTAAAATTATTGGTGCTCTTCGGCTTTCTCCATATTTCCTCACTTACCTTATCATCTTCTTCCTTCTTCTTTATCATTCTCCATTCATTTGTTGATCCTGTTGATCTTACTGAATTTTCCCTTATTAGCCATTTTTCATTAGCCATTTTTTACGCTGTCAGCAAAGTCTCCATGGTTTCTACCCGTGCCATTTTTCCTTATCTAATAGTTTACTTTGCTTGTCCTTTGTAATTTTATCAGCAGTAACAGGATCCATCCATGTAATCGAAGGGTACCTAAAATTCTTTTGATTGTTTATTTTTTACTTTTGTGTTTATAAATTGCAGTGAAGTGGTACCTTCTTTTGGATTACTTGATGTTCAATCTAATACAATTTTTGCCTATATTTATCGGTTAATTGATGACCAGGTCAAAGTTGAGCGAATGCAGTACCGCAAACAATCTGCATCTTAATTCTTAATTTGTTTTTGTAATATTTTTATGTTCATTAATTATTATTGGTTTCCAACCAGCATTTTACTTTATATACGTTAGTTTTTAATTTATATTAGTTTTCAGTTATCATTCTAGCATTCTCCTCTTAATCCATGGAGAAGCGTATTTTATAAACTCTCATCTTCATGAAAATATTTTTATGAAAATATTCCTGTTTCAGTTCTCAGATTCTTATTTTCCGAATCATGAAATGCATTTAGTAGTTAAATTGATTTTCTTAATATATTGACCTATTTTATTTTGAAAATTCTTCGATATAACTCCAGTTTCTCTGTTATTTTAGTTTTAGTGGTCTGAGGATTAGATCAATTGTTTAATTTTAAATTATGCAGGATTAGATCAATTGTTTAATTTTAAATTATTTTTTGTTATTTGTTTTGTTTTTACAAGGATATCAATTATGAAAAGAATCTCTGAATAAGCTTTTTTTTCCTCTTCTTGTGGTACCATTTCTGGTTTGGCTGGCTTTGCTGACTATTCTGATGAAGTACTTTTTCCACAGAATATGTAGATATAAATGCTGCTAAACTCGACCAATTATTCATACCCATCAAGCAAGCAGAGTTTGAAATGATTGCATCATTCTTCAGTGTTGTTACGAAGACTTGCTTGCGTTGGTTTGGCTGCCTTCTTTATCGTTCACAGGAATTGGTATATCGCTACTTTCTAAATTCCATGATATCACGTTGAAACGAGGAGCGCTAGTCAAGATATGGATAATTGCAATAAGACATTTAAGCTCAGCGATATATGGGCCGAATGGAAAGAAAGAGTGCTTTATAGGAATTATGTGGAGTGTGCCAAACCAACAATGGTGCGAGCTATTAGAAGAAGAAAAAATATAAATTTAAATATAAATATAATATAAATTTTGCAATAACAGCCACACTGCATGTTCTCTGTGGCAGATTTATTTGCTTATAAGGTGTAAGAATGGGACAGAATGATTTGACCATCGATCTTACAAGTTTTTTTTAAAATATTACTATAGAAAATACTGACGACGAAAAACTATCGACTTAAACGAGATCTGTAGTTCATACCTATCTTATATTGCTTATAACTTTAATTGTTCAGATTTCTCTTTGGTAAATTTGGCATTAAAGTTTTTAAAAGCGAATTATAACTTTGTTTTTTATTATTAGAGTTTATTTATCGTAAATTTATATTAAATTTCTGAGGTATGCAGTTGTAAGCTCGGTTAATGCGATTAATATCACTTGGAGCAAAATCTCGACTTTTGCCCATCAAACTTGTAAAGCGCCTTTGTTTTGCTTCGATAGTATTTTTTCCATTTCTACTGCCTTCAGTTGATTCATAATGCATTATCGAAAAGTAATCATAAGATTCACCATAATACGACAAACCAACTGTGGAGAGTTTATCAAAATCTGTATGTGCACCTGCAAATTCGTAAAATCCGAATCGCCATGTAAAAATTTTTCTCATAAACTTTTAGAAAACTTTTAAAAAATAATGGTTTATAATCATAAAATATTCAAAAGAGAGTTTGAAGATTGAAGAGTCTTCATTAACTCATATATTTATATAAAATTATTGCCTGGCAATAATTTTTTTTTCCACTGGGAGAAATATTAAGTGATTACACTGAGAGTTTATTATTAGAGTTCAGGGCGCGGTTGTGCTGACCAAATCTTCTCGCTAAGAAGCGTGCTGGAATTTCGATCGAACTGGTAATTTTCAGCTTCAGCTGATAGAATGGATTTAGCTACCGCTTGTCCTTGTTGTAAAATAGACGAAATGCTTATTTTTATAAATTCATCAAATCGGCTGTAAATTTCTTCGATTTGTTTTCATTTTTAATGGTCGTAAGGAGGAAAATTCTGGTTAAATCGAGAAATGCTTTCTTGTATATGGCAAGAATTATGTAGAAACGCTGTGAAATCAGAAATCTCAGAAGCCTCAGGACAAGTTTTGCATTATCTTATTGCGATGTACATAATCCCATTGTAAGTTGCTAAAATTCACCGGTGGTAGAGGAAATTGTCGAAAAATTGCCTTTGATAATTTCTTTTGAGATATTTGAGTATTTCCATGTGAAACGGTCCCCCACGTGCTCGCATCCATCTCTTTTCGAATACTATTTCTATCAGTGGTAATCAGTGTTCCTTGCCGGTCATTCATGGAAACTGAATGCGTACTTCGTTAAGACTCTTACGGTGTTATGGTGCCAAGAGAGAGAAAAGGAAATAAAGCATGGATCACTGATGAAAGAGAAAGTGTTTATAATTCTCAACGATACATATGGGTTTAGATGAAATTAGAGGTGGCTTCAATTAATTTTAGAAGTACTGGGTCGATAGGCTTGCAAACTCCTCACCTTTAAGACCTCTGCAGTCAGCCAAATTAAGGATGGTGCATGCTGCTAAGGCAAAGAAGAATTATCTAGGAAACTATTATCATAAAATATTCTCAAAACGAACGGACGAAAAGTCTCATATCATCTAGGGAGATGAGGAGAGTAAGAAAGCAATGCGAATGGATAATAGATGGACTAAGAACTGCTCAGCTCGAGATCCTGACAGGAGCCTAACCATTGTATATTATTTACACAGAGGAGCTCTAATGGAGAGAAAGTGTAATTATAATTCTCAACGAAACATAAGGTTTTAGATGAAATTAGATATGGCTTCAATTAATTTTAGAAGTAGTAATGGAGGTTTAAAGTGGCAAAGTCTCTCATCTCAAGCAAATGTTAAAGTGAGCGGGTGAAATGCACAGAAGATTAACTGCAGATTAACAGTAGATCTTTGAAGAAAATATTTCAAATTATTTATTTTAAATTTAAGCAAATAAATTAAATTTAAAAAAAATTTGCTAAATTAGGAAAATATTAGTAAATGTGAATTACATCACAGAAAAAAAAATTTATTAATCGAAAAATACCAATTTTTAGAATTTCAGCACATTTATTGGAACATGAAAAGAATGATAATGACGACGATTTTTTTCGATAACGTTATTCCTAAAGTTTATTATTTGGCCTACCTGGTATAATATTTTCCCATATTATATTAACATAGGTATCTCGATCGCCTCTTTGATGCTCGTGGATAAAACCTATGACATGCATAAATTCATGGATTATAGTTGAATATTGTAGACATTCGTCTGCTAATGACACTTGTTGTGGTCCACCTACTCTTGCGAAGTCGGCATAACAACTAAAAATATTAAAAATATTTGGCTTCCTCCAGCGATCGGTAAAGTTTTCACTAGAGCCAATTGCAGACAAAAATACGAATGAGCCTCCTCCATAACCCTGGTTCCACTTTTAATGAGATGGTTCACTCTCATCACGGCACAGAAATGATGATGCTTAAATATGGAAAGCCTTGGCGGAGGCTACTAAATTGCTGCTAGCCTTCGCTGAATCCAAGAAGAGAAAAATTACCCGTCCTGTTTCGAAATCACGATATAATCGCGGTCAAATGGTTGTTTCGGCACGAAACGTATGCATGTCCGAACTGCATATGCGCTAACTGCTTTGGCTATTGTTGCTCGTTGCACTCGCGCTAAATGCAATTTCTCCTTTAAAGCAAATAATTTTCGCCCGCAATTATCGGATATTTCCGTCGCTCGAATCAGTTTACTAATAAAACTTGCCATCGCATCATTTATTCACTAATGTCTCATTGGCGATTTATTTGCGATTTTTTTAAAAAAATTTGTGAAAAATAAGAAAAAATTTTTTTTAGCAATTTAGAGTGAAGTAAAGTAGTTCAGCTGAAGAAGTATGAAAAGTTGAACACTTCTTGTTATTCGGTTTTCGGTTCTTACACAAGCACGCGTCGTTTGACTGCATTAACTATCTGCTTATCATCTTATCATCGGAGAATCGTTCAGGAATTGGATAGCAGCAGCTAATCATAGGGCCAAGTTTTGTCTTCAATTTTTCGTCTTGTCTGCAGCCAAAGTAGCATGTCGCTGAACCATTTTGCCACTTTTATTCAGTTCGGGGCCGAATTTTCATAAATTTTACTAATATATCTCAAATCTCAAATATGGCAGTTTTGTTTTTGTTGATATCATCATGGTGATAAATCTGTTCTACTTTTTCACTGATAATTACTCAGTGGATTTCTGTTTTGAAGAACCTTCGGTTCTTTGTTTTTTTATCGTTCTTGGCACTAAAAATCACCATATTTTCGATTTATTCGCGGGAAGAAAATGATTTTTAAAAGATCTTACTGTATGAATTAGATAAGACATAAGGAATCCTTCCATTCGGCCATTTGTCAGTCGCAGATGTCACACCCGAACCTCGTGGAATTCTCTAAAATATGTTAAAATTTAAAATATGAAAAAATGAAACTAATAAGTAATCGCTCGGCAAAATATTATTCTGAAAAGGCTGAGGAACATTCGTTCGCTTTTTATAGCCCAATTCTATAAGGGAATCGGAGAATCGAGCTCATCTTGTTTGCTATCAGCTAAAGAAAAAGAATTAATGTCTTCAATAAAGGCGCTGCTGGAGACCCACTCGTGTGCTTCAACCGCCTAGTGATTGGCTCATGGAGCAAACCTAAGCAGATATGATGGATGCCGTTTATCTTATCTTATCTTAGAGCTAGTCAGCGCTATACTTACCGAAATTTCAAGCTGAAGCGAAATACTACAAAGAATGGACCTTCATTTGGAAATGCTGATCGTTGAGTGGAAACTGAGCATAGCGCGTCGTATCGATGAATTTTGCATTTAAAAAATCGACATAATTAAGGAAATCGGCGACGGCGATTGAATCAAATAGTAGCGAAGAGGCTGTAAGTAAATGTAACAAATCCACCATAACGAATAAAAGCGGAAAAAGTGTTTAATATATTTAGTATTCTTCCTTGCACAACTAGTTTTTCGCGAATCTCAGGAACTCTCGTTTTAAAATATTCGAGACAGGTGGGCTTTTTTATTTCCTTTGATACCTTTCCGGTTAGCGAATATAAGACTAGTTTACTCAATCCTTCACGTCTCAAGCTGCTTTCTTTTTTTTTCACTGATTGCTTTAAGCTCAGTTTTGTAAGCAAATAAAGCTCGTATGGTAGTTGAAGGACAGTTTCAGCTTAAAAATTTATCACTAAATGTTGAAACATTGTTAATTGATGAAAAAGCATGATAAACATGATAAAACTGGTGTATATATATATCTATGCGCAACTAATTATTGCTCTCGCAACAGGTTTAGCTGATGAATTTTACCGAAAAATTCGCTTTACGCAAAATTTTCACGGAAATTTAATTTTTCCACTAGTTTTTTTGTTCTAAATTACAATTTATTCTTTCGTCATAAAAAGTTTTTTGTTATCAGAAGTGTATCAATGCAATTCGTTATTCTCGTGAAAATTGGTAATTAATTGTTTAATAACCTAATCAGTTATGTTATCAGTAATAAAAATTTCAAAAAATTCTGCACTCGGAGCTCATTCACCAGTTATATTTTAGTTGCTGATTCTCTATAATTGTTGAAATGAAGTCTCGTCGCTGCAGAGTAATAGGAACAGAAGTACAAGTGGATCTCTAAGTCGTCCGGAGCCTTGGAGCTTTTGATAAGCCTTGAAACGATCAGATTTAAGATCTTTTATGAAAAATTGCTTCATTTTTTGAAAAACATAGCTCTTCGACATTATTAGACAGTAATGAATGGCAGAAATAATTTAAAATTTATCATGCAACCGTTTTGAGGTGTATCGCTATTTCGACTGTATTCTAGCAGTTCTTGATGTTTAGCATTTATTTCCAGGACGTAGTCCAAGACAAATCGCAAAGTTGAGTACTACTTAGATAATAATAATTTTATTTACTTTATTATAAATCTGTTTCATATATAAATTATATACCATCGGTTGAGAAAAAATAAAGATTCACTCGCAGCCGACTCCTTTACAGTTGATAAAGAGCGATGTTACCCCGCTCCGAAGGTCAGTAGTATTCAAATAGCCTTTAAGGAAGACAAAAGAATTTTTAAGGCAAAATTTACAAAATTTTAACTTACAAAATTTGAACGTAATATTGCCTGTAATAACAATTTCTATAAGTAAACAAAGCTTTTATGATATTAGACTAGTTTAATTAATCCTTCACGCCTCAAGCTGCTTTCTTCTTTTTCACTGAAAGCTCATAAAAACAATTTCTGAACATAATTTAAGATCGCGATGTGGCTGCCTAGTTCTTCGCAAAATCAATTTAGTTTGCTTGCCTGTAATTACTCTATTGTGAATGAGATTCCTTCGTAAAGAATCATTCGAGGATAAATAAACCTGGGTAAATAACTGGTAGATTTCGATCACTCAGAGATAAATAAGCCTTGGATTCCAATCATTTGGGGATAAATGAACTGGCATGCAGGTGAGTCCCGAACGCCCTTACCAAGCAAGTCAAAGTACTATCCCGTTCGTTGGCTATTTTCTTTTTAAACAAAGTAGTTGTAGATGAATGTATTCAATACTTGGACTTTCAGGTAACCACTGAAGAGAACATTTGTCGAATTAGATAATTTGGGTCAAAAAAAAAACCAAAAATACTTATAAAAGATGCCCGTTGTTGTTTGTAAATGATACTTTGCAAACTGAATGCTCGAAAATCAGGTTTTTTTGTTTACATTATCGAAGCGAATCTTTAGTTTCATTTCGATACAAAATTTCTTTGTCTGATTTTCATTTTTATTTCTTTAGCATAAAAAATTAAAGTAAACTTTGCGATGTATTTTCCTCAGGAATCACATAAATAAAAAAAATAATTGATTAGCGCTTATCATTTCTGGTTAGACTCGCTTAACTGGCTCGTTGTTGGTGGGGCGAGAAATTTTTGCCAGAGGCTCGTCGCTTGATAGAAGTACAGAATTAGACAGTGACTAAGCAATGAAAAAATTTAGATAAATCAGAATAAAAAAATCCCTCCGAGAACTAACCAGTTAAATGGGCTAAATGATGGGCATGAATTTATAAAAAAGACTACTTTTTTTCCATTCTCCTGGTCGAAATCAAAAATGCTTTGGTGGCGTGGACCCATCCGGGTCGTGTTTCCATCTTCAAGTGACTTTCCAGCAAAAGAACCTTATTCTAATAGTCAGTAAAGCTAGCCAAACCATGAATATTGAATGCTTTTGAAGAGCTAAACAAATCGTTCATTTAAATTTCAAGGTGAGAATTTAAGATATTTATGAACTATAAAACATTTATAATTAAATTCTAAAGTGAAGATTGTCGGAGATTTCAATGAAAATATTATTTCAAACCTAAAAAAATTAAGCATCTGAATCGTCTAAGAAAACCTTTCCTATTTTCAAAATTCGTGGTAGAAAAATTTTCAATAGAGCAAATTGTGTTTTTCGGAACGTAAAGTTTCGCAAATGTGGAAGTTTACTGGTACATCGATGCTCAATCACAATATAAGGGTCTGGTGCATTGAATGGTCCAACATCAGCACCACAACCAGAAAGTACAAATGATCCATTCTTTGTTGACCATGTTCGACCCATTTGATCATCGATTTCAAATGGAAGAGCTGAAAACCATTTATTATATATGCTTCTGGTGGCGATAAAATTCGGAAATGATTTTAAATTTTAAAAGCTCTTTTTTCTCTGTGGTTTATATGGACATCTTCAATTTTTTTGCTATAGGCCTGGAAGCTTGAGGCTTAGCTATTCCTAGCAGTGGTCTATTATGAACAAAGATCTCTGATGGATATTGTTCCTGGGATCTGTTGAAGTTACTTTTTTAGATAAGGGATCCCTAGTGCTCGTACCACTACTGGAGGGATACTTCACTTTCCACATCTCTAATTCTTTTTTCTAGATCTTCTTTTAGTACTTAATATTTCTCTAATTCCTTATATTACTTCGTCTTTATGTTCCACTCACTTGGTGTTGCTATATTCATCACCAGTACTTTAGTTCTTGTCTACTACCACGATGTCCGTCTAATTGACCACTATTTATCTATCTGTCTGGGTGGACAAGCCTCACGGAATCTTAGTCGTAATGTTCTCCATGTTTTTCTGAGGAATCTCCAACCTGATCTTGGGAGAGTCCAAGTCAAATATTTTTGTAAATAATGCCAGCTACTTGGTTATGCCCTTCATTGAAGCTATTTTTGTCTGCATTCGCTTCCTGCCACTATATCTGACAGCTTCTGAGGCTTTTTTGCGCAATGCATCTTGAATTCTGCTTGACATAAGATGCCAAATATATGCATATATAAAATTACGTAAATTATTTGCAAGCAAGCAATACATCACAAATGTTAATATTATCTGGTGGCGAATGCGCTTCCATCTTCAAGCTCTTATCAATCGATAATATCCAAGAATATCGCAAGTACCGAAAAACCAAAGTCTTTTGATCCATAAAACTAACGAAATTCATACCGCTGAAGGTAAAGAAAAAATTCAAAAAAAATTCACGACTAACAATCCTCATCTCGAAGATCAATTTTTACACGACCCGCTCGCTCTGGTTCATCAGGACAAACAAGCGCGCCAACAACTTGAAAACATTCAGTGCGACACTTCACATTAACCAAATATATGGTTATTAGCACAAATGAGTACACCATTGTGCATACCATAATGAACTTTATGATAAATGAAACGCGATCTTTTTCATTATAAACACTATAATATGAAAATCAATACTCCATCGCCTAACCTTCAGATTGGAACGAAATGGTAAAAGAATTGTTTTACATTGTAAGATTCAAATGAGCCCTCTACCGTCAAAAAACTTCCGAAATAACTAAAAAACTTATTTATAACTTACTTAAATTATTAATAAAACGCTGAACATAATCATTTATTTTAATCATAAATATGGGAATAAACAAATCTAAATTTTTCAGAGTACACTAATTTTTACCAAAAAAAATGAAAAGACAAATCATCATATGTGAAAAAAATCAGATGGAATAAAAAAATTTAAATTTTCAATAATCTCAGCAAAACATAGATAGAACTAATACGATTAAACTTTGTGGTAATATAAGAATAATACAAATATGACAATGGATAACGAAGGACAACTTTTCAAACTGATTCCAATTTGTGTCATTATCTCAGACAATATCGAAAAATATATTCCCGAACTCGATTAACGAAAGCGTCCTGAAAAAATATAACACATGTACATATGTATGCAAGACAGCCACGACCAAAAGTTCTATTTTTATTTACAGTTCTTTCCAAATGTTCCTCGAGATCCACCTTTTTTTTAGTATTCGATACTTTGATCACCAAGAACAATTGACGATCATTTCAATTATTGAAAGGTTTGGAAACGCCTAATTCTAATGGAAAATGGAAAAATAATCGTAAGAAATAACCTAACATCCACCTCGATATGCGAACTATATGCAACCACACGATGGATATCCAGTTAGAAGAATTAGATTCAAAGATAAAAGAATCAAACCTTGTTTGAATACCACATCTGTGCTGCTTGGGCATTTAACGCATCATCGAAATCGATTAAATCGCCAAAAATCGAATTAAGACCCAATATTACATCGATAATACGACGTGTTGGTAACCATCCTTAATATTACCATAATGAACTACAACATTCTTCCATTAAAAATGATAAAATAGAGAACACATTTTTTTTTGAACCAAATGAACAACATAGAAATTACCAAAGTTATCCAAGCTATTCTGACGAAGCAGTGATAGACAAACTGCTCCTTCTTCACTAATATTCGGATGCCAAATACGTGTAAGGCATTTCACGATTGGTGGTGAATAATTGTATTCTGGAGGTACGGTAATTGAAAACTTGAAAGATCCACCCTGGAATTTTCACGTATTAAAAAAAAATTGAAGATTAAAACAACAAATAGAATCCATGAAAACATATCGATTTATCATTAGTTCATACTTTTCATATCCATACTTTCATATCCATACATTCATAAAAATAAGATATGCCAGAATTAAAGGAGATTTGTAAATAAAAGACAAAAAATGCATTGGTTGCTTGCTAATAAAAAAAGCAAATAAATTTATTGCAAATAAAATAAAAAGATTTATGGAAACAAAAAAAAGGGAAAAAACTGGAAAGTTCACTGGCATATCAATTATTATTTCCAATTAGATGAGATGTAGATTCAAGTAGACTAAAATCAGTCTCATTCACAAAAATCTAAATAAAAAAGACTCAACACATGAAAAATTTTAAAAATACCTCCTCTCCCTCAAAATAAAAAAACAAATCCAAAAAATAGATACAAAAACACCCCATCGTAAGGGGGGGACCTTACAAATAATTTTTAAATACTAAAATTCCCAACAAATAAAAATTAAAAATTTCAATAAAATTAACTTAAATAAACAAAAACAATTCTAAACTAGAACTCGAAAAAAGGCTAAACCAAGTTATTAGACTTCTGATTCTTAACGAAATCCAGACTGTTTAAGATGGTCCTCATGAGGAGTTTTATTTCTATATGACTTGTGGAAAGGCCTTATTATAGCATATCCAAAATAGAAATAACGCGCTGTGAGAAGAAGAAGGATAATCTTTATTATTTACCTTATACATGCCATCGTTTGGAGTTACAGTCAACTCCATCTGATGAAGAGCAGAAGTTGAAGGAAAATGAAGCTTACATGTTGGCGTCTTCTTTAAGCTCGATTCTAACTCGCATAATTCTAAAAACAAACTACATAAAATAAATTTGTCAAACCAAAAAAACCCAAAATGAATCCAAAATTATAAAAAAGAATCCAGTGAAATTTCACCAATATATCGTAGAAATAGCAATCGGGTGCGATGCTGAAAAATATCTCTGGAAAGCTATATAATTTAATTTGTACCAATTCATAATTCGTTACGTGTTAAAGTAATATATAAGATGATATTACAATAATGTGAACAGAAAAAGCTAGGGGAGGTAAAACCTTGTGCAAGCAGTTTATCTCGAATGGAAATCCGTTTCCCTAAATAGGCTTTTCCTTCGTCGACACCATTTATTCGATCTTGTAGATTTAGCATAACTCACTCCTGAATAATTTTCAATAATTAAAAAATGAATTGCAAAATTAAAAACCAAAACCACAAAACAATGAATAGAAGAGTAAACACAAAAAGCAAATAAAAATTCTAGAAATGACTGAGAATAAAACAATTTTTCTGCCCATCGCTGATCAGTTAAATATAAATGGACGGGCCTGGTTCTTTATAAATTAGTGGTTACCACAACAAATAGGTTACTACTGACGGGAAGAGAGAGGACTTGCTGGAGAGGAAAACATGGAAGAAGACACGAGAAAAAAGGAACCACCGATAATCAACGTAAGCCGTTCGCGTGAACTCTGACTGGAAGGAGCCTCAATTCAAATATCTCTGAACACCATTCCCCTCCAATTGCGATAAACGCCGAAAAAACGTATTTGAAGAGACAAGTACAGTTAATTCATTCACTAATTGTCCATTAATGTGAATTTCTAATAAATTAGCCTCATTAAAAAAAAACACAATTCAACCACAGCGACACCGAAACCACAACAACGCTCCAAACCCACCAATCACACGACACACAACTAATGACAAATGCAACCATCTTGACAAGAATTATGAAAAAAATATGACAATCGTTTCGAGACCCGCAAATTTAAAGCTGATGGGTCTCCATCAATCGCGTCCATTTGACTTAAAAATTCAAAACTCTTACCTTACATAGTACTCATTTATTCAGTAAGAAATCCAGTAAGGTATTAAGCATCCGATCTGGAAAAGAGGAACTTCAGCCAACTCAATTCAGCCCCGCGAACTCAGTCAAATTAATGATGGTGCAAATATTGGTCGAAGAATTATTATTTCGAAAATTTTCCCATAAGGCCTTTTTAAAGTTCAGTCAGCCATTTTTTAAAAATATTGCGGCAAACTTTTCTAGAAAGGTGCCATATTGCAACATGGATTATATGGAAATCTGCATGTACCTGTTGATGCCCACGAATGTGCATATTTGATTTGCGCTGGTTCATGTGAACGGTTTACACCGTTGAGCTCTGATCGCCTCAAAACATTTAATATTCTTCGAAAGCGAGAAAGTACTAAGACGGACGATTGACTGACGGACGATCAATTACAACTATGTGTAAGGTCGCTCTTTGACTGATATCTTCACAATATAGTTTCGACAAGCACGACGCCAGTTTCCGATTATTTAGTCTGTTATTCAGTTCATTTTTAAATGTACTGAAGCCACGCTTTTTCACCGCCTATACGTTCATAGTCGAGCCGAGTCAGTTCTTGCGGCGGGCGACAAAGGACATAGACAAGCTAGTGCGTGTACTCTATATTCCTTATATGTGGTATTTGAGCAGAGCTTGGCGCAGCTATCTGTCACTTTGTCTGGTTGGAGAGGTTGGCTGTACCTTAAGCAAGAATGGTCAAAGCTAGATGGCTCTCTGATGTCTTCCACTGTCATTGGCTAAGTTTCGCAACTCTGTAATAATTGTGCGTATTAAGCCTATAGGTGTGAGACTGATTTCGTGACCATTCCAGAGAATTTTCGCCAGAAAAAAGAAAGAAGTCGCCTCTGTCTGCAGCCATCGAAGCTGGAATTTCGCCTGGTCATTAGAGAGTGGACTTGGGACATTTAAAGTCTCCAATTTCCTTTTTCACTTCCTTGATGATGAATTATATGGGAGAAAAGGGGACTTTTTCTCTTTTCACTGTCTACTTCCATTGAACAATGTGGTTGTGCCCCTTTTCAATATAATTTCAATATATTCTTTCTTTTTCGCCGTGATTCATTCTTCCATTCCTTCTTTGTTTATTTTCTAATATTCAGTCACACATGGTTTCTGAAAAAAATACTCCCTCTAACACTACCTTTCTTATAGTTTTATTGTTTCACCACAGGGCAATAAAAAAGTGGTAGTGATTTATTTTCTAATGAAAATAACCACCGAAGGGAGTTTAAGGCACATTTGACCCACGAGGACAAAATGAACTTAGAGTACTTCCAAAAAATATGCAGTGATTTTAAAAAAAGGCCAATAACAGTGACGCAAACGTCAGCGCTGGGAACTGCATAACTGGATACCAGGTTGTTTGTGTCACTGATGTTTCAAATTCAACAGCTAAAACTGGGAAATCCAAGATTCTTTTGCCTGTACTGTCTACTTTGGCTTCGATAGTAATACGGTCGACAAACGAAATTATTCTGCGAAGCAACTCGCCAGTACAGTGGCGCGAAATAACTTGTGGTGTGGAAGATAAACCGTTGAAAAACCAAAATCAAATAGTTCTCCTTGCAGATTAATTTGAACGATTAGCAGGATTTTCTAATGATTTTCTAATAAGGTTTTCAAATGGATAAGAAGCGGTAGTACTTTTTATAAGGAGGCTAGAAGAAGTAAAAGAATTTAAGGGACGCAAGGAAAAGACTATCCCATTAAAAAACGCTCCATGCTGCAGGTACCGCATCGGTGGCGAGCAGTTACAAGGTTTTCCAGAAAATTTCAGAAAATGTGCACCATCTCTGCGTCGACGTTTGGTTTCAAAAGCATTTTCAGCTATCATAATTAATTGTATTAAGTTTAATATTTCGCGAAATCGACTCTACCAACTTTGGATTGCAGCACTTACACACCTACCTACACACAAACCCGTTAGTTACCAAAGAATGTGCATTTTTCATCGAAAATTTGGCTTGATAACAGGCAGTTGGTGCAGAATCTGACATTTTCTTTTATTTGATAAACCAAATTTATCGAATAACCGCAAGAAAAAAATGCAAATTTGATTTTATGCAAGTATGCAGCTGCATTCTCAGTGAAACTGAAACTTTTCTGGGGTGAGTGAACTGCATATCTTAAATTCATTCAATTCACGTAATTCACGTCGCCGCAAATTTGAAAGTTACATATGGAAGTCCATTAATAAAAATAAAAAATTTCTTCTTTGGGATAGCTGAAGAAGTTTCCGAGATCTTTTCTGTTTGAATTTTGCTTTTCAACAAATTGACATCAAAAGCCGAACAGATTGGATACTGAGAAGAGATCCGCGGTTGCGAATATTGAACGAATCCCCAGCCAAACACAAAAAATTGGTTCACACCAGCGGTAGCGTTAGCAGTGAAAAACTCTGGCAATACACGTTTATTTTAAAATTAAATTCGTTCTAAGAACGTTTAAACAAGATTTTTCCAAAGTTAGGACGAAATTTGTGGGATTTATGAAACATGCGGTGCAATATTTTTGTGAATGCAATTTTTATTTATTCTATAAAAAATTTCTTGCTTAGTTTTAGTTTTTTCGATCCTTTAAAATTGATTTTTTGTTTTGAATAAAATAAATAAAATTTTTTGTTTTGAATAGAGCATTTTTTCCAAAAAAAAATTTCTATTACCTTGGAAATAAACATTTTCAAGCTTTTTATCTTATAGTTTTTACCAATTTTGAGTTCAAAATCCAACCGTTGCCTTTCATCAAATGCTGTCCACCTTTCATTAAAAATATAATTTTACAAATAAGATTTTGGAGGCGAGGAAGTCTCCCAGGAGTGCCCTGGAACAGAGAGATGGGCCAACCTAATCTAAAGCAATTCTTTTTAAATAAAATGTGAATATTAATATGATGTAAGGTAATTCAGTCTTCGGTCCAACAAACCGCGAACAACATTGAAACAACTCTTTTAATAGACTGAAGAGTTGAGGGTAAACTCTGATTCATTATTTGGGACCATATGTATTTCTACCACATATGACCTACGAATTTTTATTCTCGCTTCACCCTGAAAATAGAAGCCAATTGCAGCCAATCAAACCACAAAAAGAAGAAATATGAAAATAAATCGATCCAGCAAAAATTTTTTTAAGCTTTCGTTTATACCAATGAGAACTAAAAAAAATAAAAAAAAAGAGAAAACGAATAGAAAATATAAGATCAAAAATTAAAATTCTTAAAATAAATATATAAATATCAGAAAATAAAATTTTAATTATTTTATAGATCAGAAGCAATGAGTATTTTAAGACTATGGAAATTCAAATGCAATGTTAAAAAAAAGATCGATAAATAATTTAATCCTATGGGACTTTGACAAATAATGTAGGAAATTGGTTAAAGAAACTGCATTTTTCTCTTGCCGATTAGACCACGAATTGTAAATGAAGTCGAATAAAACCAAACACCATAATTCCTAACCATAATAAATATATAATAAAAGGATTTCCAACCAAATCTTAAATTATCCCAATAAAAATAAAATATCTACAAGCATGTGGGATATGTTAAATATTATTGCTATTACTTCACTTTTCAAAAAATCAAATGCCAATGAATGTTATCAATGTAAGAGAGCAAATTAATTATAGCAAAGTAGACAGAGGCAGTACATGGCGTTCGACTCGCTCAATATGGTCGTCTCCTTGTTGAGATAATCGTAAAAAAGCTTCTTCGAGGGTCGCTTGTGCAAACGAATAATCAGCAATACAAGAATGCATTGAGGCCAAATGATCTGCCTTCTCAAAAAAAACTGACCATCTAAAAGCAGCCAGATTAAAAAATAGTACAAAGAAAAGATTTTGAAAAAACCATTTGCTTTTTTTGAATGGTTTCCTCTTAGAATTTTTAGTGTTTAAAGATTGCAAAGTTTGCAAAAAAATTAGAAATTCACCTGTCGCCATCCCTTCTTCCAATGTGCCATACTAAATGGAGTGGATGCGTTAAAGTTTTAAATGATGACTCCGGAAATAATCGTTTAACAGATTGAATAACATCGTCTTTTCCTGCTTTACTTTTCAATGTAACCGTGAGTGTATAACCTTCACCAAACCTGCAAGTGATATCAAAAATAAGAAAAGAGGATAAACAAGTGAAATCAAATGTTTTTACATTATTACTTTTACCTCAAAAATACCAAAGAAAATTTAAAAGAAAATAAAAACCTTGACTTAATATGTTGTGGGCTGCCAATTGCCATAAGAGATCCATGATGCATTATTCCAATGCGGGAACAAAGAGCTTCACATTCATCCATACTATGTGATGTTAACAATATAGCACAACCTTTATCTCTCATAGCTGTAAGTACATCCCAGATCTGTCGCCTAGCTTTTGGATCGATTCCAGCAGTAGGCTCATCAAGCAATATTAAACGGGCTTGCGATATTAATGCTATACCAAGACTTAAACGTCGTTTTTGTCCACCGCTAAAATCAAGAAAAAAGAAAAATGCAAAATTTCACACTTCAAAGAAAATCTAGCACCTGTAGCATCTGACAATATTATTAGCTTGTGGTATTAAATGAACTGCTTCTAGGACACTTTGAACGCGTTGATTAACATCTGTAAATCCACAAAGAGATGCCATTAATTGCAAGATTTCTTTCGCAGTAAGATAGTCCAAAAGCGCATCAAACTGTGGGCAAAAACCAATTCTCTATAAATGTATGATAAAGAAAACGTGCAATACCGAAATACTTCTTTTATTATTTGTAAATCACGATATAGATTTAAAAGCTAAAGAATACCTGATTACCATTAAATGAATGCCCATTAAGAAAAGCCTTTCCATTTGAACAAAATGATGTTCCAGTTAATATATCGAATGTTGAAGTCTTCCCGGCTCCGTTAACTCCTTAATAAGTTAGAAAATAGAATCAAAAAAAAAGACAAACCGTCTAGATTAAACTCTAAAAATTTTTTAAAGTTTTATAAATTATGTAATTCAGAAACAAAATATTTAAAAGCCCATAAAATTTCAAAACCTAGTAAACCGAAACATTCATCTGGTCGGACACCAAATGTAAGATTGTTAACAGCACAAAAACGGCCATAATATTTGCTTATACCACGCACAGCTAATGCTAATTCGCAATTCGCTGTCCGTTCCATGTGTTCACGTTCTGTCATAACATCAACATCTTCTTCAATAAATCCCTAAAATTAAAGTAGGCCTGAAATCATAGTTAACACTAGCTTGCGTTAATAAATCCAAGAATGATTTTCCAAGTTGGAATTAAAATTTAAAATAATTGTAAATTTATTATAAAACAAGAGAAAAATTAATCAACTTCTGTTATAGTATTACGATGAAAGTTCATATTCCATATTGAAGCCAAGAATAAACAGAAACGACGAGACTGAGATGCAGCAAGTAAAAACCAATATGCAACACCTGATATACACATAAAAGTAATTGTCCTACCAAGCAACTGTAAATGCATCAGTTATACGCAATATAAAAAATTGAAAAAAAAACTAGACAAGACTATTACTTATAGACTATATAGACTATTTTCACTATTACTTTTATTCATACTGAATCAACAAATAAACTAAATATAATCCATATGAATCGAATAATGAGAATAACTTTCATTCCTTCTTTTAACAATATTTTTGATTTGGTTCATTCCACTGATTGCTAGAGGATTTTAGATTCCTTGAACCATTTGAAGATGAAATGTCATCAGCTATCTGCATTTCCAAGTTTATTCCTGGGAAGTGAAAGGAATGCACTTCATGCCATGCCGATTTACCACATACGAATTATTCTAAATAACAACAAATATGTTTACCTTCCATTGATAAATATTTTCGACTTCTGCAAACTCTGCTTCAACCAGTGAAATTAAAGCATTCAGATATGCATAAGAAGGCAATAAAATAAGCAATGGTGACTGAAATAGATTTAAATTTAAAAAAAAAATAGAACTGCGGATTAAAATGTGAATTTGAATAATAATGCCAAAATTATTCAATTAAATGCATCCCATCTCAGCATTAAAATGAAAAAATATTTTTGAAGAAATTGATATAATTTTACAAGAATCGTATTTAATAATTCCGAAAGCGAATAATAAAAAATGTTCTCACTACTGTTAATACTGCTTTTAAGAATGTCAGCTTATTATTGATAACATCAATTGATTATCCTTTGATTAATAAATATGAATCACTTTACTTACATCAATATACCCTATAAGAGAAGGGTTGTATAATGATAGCCCTTGTACAATAAGAAGAGCACCCAGCGATACAACCAAGTTGAGAGACATCACGGCAGCATAAGCCTTGGTAGAATTTAAAAATAATAGTGAAGCACAATAAGTGAAGGGCATAACCGACCAAAAATATAACAACCAAAGCAGCATGACACTAAAACACTGTTTTTTAAGGAACAATGGACCAAATTTCGAAATATTGCAAGCGACAAAAAGATAAATTTTTATATTGGAATAAATTTATTTGGAATAAAAACAGGCGAGAGAAAAGATATGGAAAAACGTTGAATGTATGAAAAATTTCCCCACCTTCTAAAATAAATTTGAAAAACTGGTTAATTCTTTTACCATCATTAAATATATTAAAAAATAATTATCAAAAAAATATCAAGAAAAAAAAACTTACGCGACTCTGTAATTAACCAACCAATTTGAAATAATAAAAATTATCAAAAAGCAAAAGCAAGTGATGATGTAAAAAATAAAATCACTTAGTACAACAGATATCCAGTAAGTAAGACGACTGAGGCCAGTTAAAAACTGCTTAAAAAATGCTAAATCAATAAGTAAAAAAGAGGTTATTTAATAATTTAATTTAAGAAGTTATAATTTGGAACACGAAACTTTTAGTTAATGATTAATGATGATTAAAACAGAATCATACGCTGCAAAATAAAAAAATCAATTTCCTTCAGCTACGCTGAAATGATTTAAAAAAAAAAAAAAACAAGAAAAAGAAAACCTGATAAAGAAATTTACTGCTACGTTCATCTACAAGAAATGAAATAAATCCGGACGAAATGAGAGAGAGAATAAATATTGATATCCAATAAACTATTACTGACTGTCCATTTTCAGAAACGAATATCGTTGATCTTTTTTCCTGCTCATAAGGTAAAAGTGATAATGTTATTGGACCTAAATTGTAATTTAATTAAATAAATACTATAAGAAAAATAATACAAATATATTTCCTAATATTTTTTTCCAAAATTTTTTTCCTTTTCCCACTAACCTGCTTCTTTTGAGAGCAAAACATTGTGAACCAGCGACATGGCAATAACCGGCCCATGTATAGCTTTCCCATTAAAAAAAGCTACGATTTTTATATGATCGCCTTCTAATGAAGTTGAAAAAACAAGAGCAAGCGGCGGCAATACCTGAAGGATTATTGTTTTATTTGATTCTCATATCATGAGTTAAATAAAATTTAAAAATTAATTTTCCTCTTTCTTTCTTTGAATCTTATAATTACTTCGTTAAATTAAAAAAAATTATCATTTCTGAAAATACAAAAAAAAACTCAAATACCTTAGGCGTTTGCAGAATAATTTCAGAAAGGTTAGCTTGTAAATTAGCATATCTCGTTTCATATCCCTTAATACCATTTAAGAAATTTGTGAACGAATTCTCAAGGAGGGGCAACTTTCGATCGAATTGCAACAATACCACAGATGGTACAAGCTTATCGGGATTTAATTTCACTTCTGAATTAACAGGCTTCAAAAATCAATGAAATAAAAAGCTTTCCTTAGGAAGAATTTTATTATTTTAAAGTTTTCATAGTTTTATGAAATATAAGCAGCAGAAACAGCAACCATCCTATATAAAAACTTACCATAGCTTGAAACGATCCTGATTTAAACAAAATTCATTCTTACTGATTTATTTTGCGATCCCATAAGGAATAGAAAGCAATAGAATAAAAATCGAAATTTTCATAATTTATAAGTTCTAAAAAATTTATTCCTTGGAGCTAACTTAAATTCAATTGCTATCTTATTGATATCATAGAAATTTACCGTTCAGTGTGTACACTGTAGTTTTCATGGCGAAAGATGTCATAATGAATAAAAGAAGTGGAATAAAAAATTGAGAAATTAGACGAGAAGGCTTGCGAATATAACATACGGCCCGTTTTCGAATAAGTGCAAAAATTTGAACCAAAAATAAAACCATATGATTTTCGAAATCTAAAAAAAATTGGTTAAATAACTGAAGATAAAAATATTAAAAATGGATGATTTCAATAAATAGGAATGAAATATATAGACAGCAACATTTTTGTTCAAATTTCAAAAGTCATTAATAAAAAAAATAATAAAAAAATAAAAAAATCCACAATGAGAATGATTGCATAATTTTGAAGCGTGACGTTTTGCGAAATCAATTCCATCATAATTTATTGCATCCTGATTCGCAAATTCACCAACTCTAAAATAATAGAATATCAGCCATTCTTTTCAAATGGTGTTATGTACAAAACAAAATGCCTTCTAGAGTAGAGTTTTTTAAAGTTTCAAAGCAAACGTTAAAAAAACTTGTTCCAGCGTGTTCAACGAAACTCCAAAAGAAGAAATTCCAAACTGACATGCATTTGCCTCCAAATATAAAAATAAATCGGAAAATCTAAAAAAGATTTAGGCTTCATCTTTCCTTAAAAAAGCACTCTAATTAATTAAATCAAAATATAGCTTAATAATAAGTGAAGCAACTTATGTAAATAATAAGAATAAAAAGAAAATAATTAAGAAAAATCACTTTTTTTTGTGTTCAGTTGGTAGAAGTATCGTCAACTGATGTGCTGAAGCAGATTGGATCCGAGCACTATTAACGAAACACTGAACTGCTTTCATAATGGAATCCCTACGGTTTGTAATATTTGTAGGATCCTTAACTTTCCTCATTGATGCCGACTGTTTTAGCAAAAAAATAATCTAACGCAACAATAAAAATATTTAACTAACTTTCAAATCGACTGCTAATAAATAACCAGTGCCGAAACGAGCTTTCAAGAATTCCGATGTACCAGAACAAACCAATTTACCTTTGACCATGATCGCAATTCTATCGCCCAGGGCATCTGCTTCATCCATATAATGCGTAGTCAATAATATAGTTCTAAATATTTTGATAATGATTAATTGAATTCATATTTTTAAATTAAAATTAAATGCAAAGTTGTTTGAAAGAATAACCTATCACATTTATAACGTTCTAACAAATCGCGAATCATATGTCTTGAGCCAAGATCCATACCCGCTGTCGGTTCATCTAACAATACTATCTGACTGCCTCCAATTAGAGACATTGCAACGCATAATTTCCTTTTCATGCCACCGCTTAGATTCTTTGCGATCTATAATTTCCGCAAATATTTGCAGATGTGAAATATTCATCGCATCTCAGCTTGAATAAATTATCGTCGAATGGAGAAAGCGAAAACTACAAAATGTTTTTTTGCATCTTTTAACCTCTGACTTCAATATTATTTACTACAGCAATTAAAATTTACCTCATTTGCTTTATCGCCAAGCCCTACTTCATTGATTAATGAATCAATAAAGTTATCTCGATTATTCTTTAATTTGCGAAAAAATTCCAAATGTTCACGCACAGTAAGTAAGTCAAATATGGGATTATATTGCGGACAATAGCCAACGTTCTTTTGACAATGTGTCAATGACGATGAGCTAAGTACTTCTCGACATATACGCACGATACCAGATGTTGGCTTTGAAACACCCGTTATCATTGAGAATGTGGTACTTTTGCCTGCACCATTATGCCCGAGAAGAACAGTGACCTATATTAGAAAAATATGGATTATCCATCTCAATCCAACTGAAAAAATAGCAGCAAATGATAAATAATGAAAAACTTACATTTCCACGATAAGCTTTAAATGACAATGCATCAACAGCTTTTAAAGTTGAATACTTTTTTGTTAGATTTCGTATATCAATATCGGCAAGCTCAATTCCCCGTTCATCAATCTGGATATTTTCATTCGACACGTTCATTCGATCCGTACTATCATCCATTTTTTCCAATGTCATTTCTTCTTTTTTACAGAATGGCTGGAAATTTGTAAATTTGTAAAAAAAATAAAAGTAAAATGGGAATTAAAAGAGTCAAACATAAAATGCAAAGAACATATAACATTCTAATATTAAATATTGAAAAATTTGATGAAATATATTTCTTTTTTACAGAATAGCTGGAAATTTGTAAATTTGTAAAAAAAAATAAAAGTAAAATGGAAATTAACGAATGATTCTTTGCCTTCAATAAGTAAATAAAATACCAGGAAAAAGAAAAAGCTTTTGGCAGGAATTTCTCCGGGAGGATATACTTGACTCAAATATGAAGCAAGCAGAATCATCCATATTATATCAATAATCATCATAATCAGCGATAAACCAAAAGGAAATGGTGAAGATGAGCCATCAAAACAGTTTTCCCAACCAAGATACGTATCTAAAAATATTTTAATCATTATTTATACATAATTTTTTTTGTAAACATTTTAAACAAACATACCTCTCTGTAAATAATTTTGTACAGCTTCAATAGCTCTGTAGAATGCAGCATTGATATTTAGAGAATGAAGAAAAATACCATAGTTAGTAGAATATAATATTGCTAGATCTCGATTCAATACTGGAATAACATATGATATAGAGCAAAAATATGTAGGAAAAGAGCAAGAATTACAAAGTCAAATATAAAATGCAAAGAACATTCTAATTCTAATTCTATAACATTCTAATATTAAACATTAAAAAATTTGATGAAATCACTTAATATAAGGAATAAAATAAAATAAAATAATTTAATAATAATTAAATAATAATAAAAATAATATAATATAGTATAAATAATACAAATTTAATAGTAAATAGAATTTAATAATAATAAAAATAATAAAAAGAAAAAATAATAATAAAAATACGCCAATGAAAACAATGTAAGAAAAAATTTTCAGAAGTAAATAAGGTAAAAATTCCACAAAATTAAAAATTAAAAATTTACATAATAAAAATAGGCATTAAATGATTGGAAAATTGATTGGATATAAAATGGCAGACCTATGGACAAAAACCAGATGAGAAGAGAAGCTTTCAATGCTGTAGTAGAAGAATGGAACATCGTTGACATAAGCATCACGAAACTTACCAACCCAATTCCATAGATTAAAATTGCAATGATAAAGAGACTCCATGATATCAGCTATATTTTTTCAATAAAGATTTAAAAAATAAAATTTAAAATGAAAAGAAAAAATTTGATCTTGAAAACAGCAACTAGATTTGAAAAAATTTATTGGTGCACATTCTTCTAAATGTATTTTGTTTGGCTTATTTCTAGAGTGAAGGGCCTCTAAAAATGATCCCTCTGGCATTTATAGAATGAGATGGTTTGTAATAAATTCATATCGAAAATGCAATTGATTAATCTGGAAAATTAAAATAACTTACGATAAGACCAAACAAAAGGATAATACAAGGAGGAATTAATATTAGGAAAACTTCAACAAGAGCAAATATGAAATGCGAAGTAAAATAAACAGATGGACGAAGTCCCATTACCATCAAATATGCCTGCAAAAATTTATACAGGAAATTACTTCAAATTAGAGAAGTCAAAAGGTCCTTTACTGAAATAATAATGAAGTTAAATATAGCGCATATCACCTAATTCAATTACAAATATGAAAAAAACAGCGTAAAACAAACTACATTAAAATTACTCAGAAAAGATCAATCAAATGAGTACAAATAAGATTAATTAATTAATTAAAATAAAAAAGAAATTACCATCATTCCTGACTCCTTTTCAGCTACAACTTTTGCTGTAGAATGAATAACAAATGGAATCAAAGCAAGAAACCAGAAAAATACCAACAAGCTTAAAAAAAAATTTATCGATTTATCAAAGTGTTCTGGTTCCGGCATTCTTTCCAATCTAAGAATATAATTCTGCCCAAATGTGGAATTCCCTCGCTGAAATCAGGATAAAATTTAATGTAATTTAAAAAATATTTGCTTAGAAGATTATTTTATATGATATAAATATTCATTTTTTATGTAATATAAAATAATTGCCCCATATTTCAAAATTCATATTTCAAAAACCGAATTTAAATTTGAATACGTAATATATAATAATTTTATTAAAAAATCGAATTTACTGATAGAAAAATTGAATTGACTGCAAATTGCAATGACAAGAATCCACTTGACCAGTAACTGGGAGTGCCAGGGACAGGATTATGATCATTCAAAATTGTAAATGGATCGCCATATTTCCAAATTTCATTACCAGTATACCACGATCCAAATGGACTAGATAATCGGATTTTGTAAGATAATCGTGAGTTGAATTCACTAAAAACAATTCCACCTGCAAAAAAAACAAAATTAAAGACAACAGAAATAAAAGAAGAAAATAATTAAAAATAAAAAAAAAAATTATTTCTTGTAATTTCTCTCATTCCATTAAATAGTGTTCCAAGACAATATTCTATAAAAAATTGAATTTAGCATGCATTGTTTATGGCACTCAATCTACTCAGCAATGATATCCAAATATTAACGCTCAATTCATCCAATAATGAATGATTATATTAGCGCTCAATTCATCCAATAATGAATCGAGTGGCTGCTGGGAACCCACCTGTATCTTTATCCCCAAGTGACTCTAAGGATCTCTTTGACGCGATGTCCCGACGCGCATGCTATTCTTATACGGTGATAAATATTAGCAATGGCGTCGGACCCAGCAGCTTAGAGACATTGTAGTCCGTGCAGCCAGCCTAACCAGTAATAGTGAGAGCCCTTAGAAAAAGAATCCAACAGTGTATACATATGGTAACTAGTGGTCATGGCACAGACAATATTCTTTTAATTCGTATTGCAAATTATAACTGCAATTTTTGATGATTGATAGTATATAAAAAATTTTCGATAAACAAATGGATAAAAAATCAAAAAACAAAAATCAAAATCAAAAAGAAGTTAAAAATGTACCCATATATTTGCCACATGTTGCATTATCTTTGACAAGTTCTGCATCAAGCGTTTTACTTGTGTCAAATATTCTTACTGTTATATTAAAATCACCCAACATTTCATTATTATATCTTTTTTCCAGTTTATCCGCAATAAATCTTAATTCTTTTTCATTTCCAGTCCCATTACTGCAAATTGTACAATATAAATTATATAATTTGTTAAGGATATTATAGGTATTCTCAATCAAAAAACTAATTCAACTATTTTTTTCATCATTCTACTTCGAACATGAAACAATTTCTTGATTTTATTTTTTTATGAAAGAATACGAAATAAATTTTTAAAACCTGAATGCTATTCCAATATACTTGCTTCTCAAGCACAAAGTCTTGTAAATTGTCGATAAACGACCAACATGTCTCTTAAAATCTCTCCAGTCACCAGTAACACGAAATGATTCGAATGTTTCGGCTGGAACTATAGCAGGTTTCTAAACAAATTTACGTTAAAGGGAAAACAACTGCATATCCATTCATTCAATATAAGAAAAAATGGTTTAAAATGATTGCTTAAAAATGGTTTAAAAAAATGGTTTTAAAAAAACCAGAATAAAAATTGAGAAAATCATGATTTATCACAACCCTACGAAATTTCTTTCCTCTCAACCTATTCTTTCACGATTTTTCCAACAAATGAGATTCGCTTTGAACCATACAACCGAAAAGTGATGATGATGTTTTCAGTTAAACACAAAGTCATAATCAATAAGCGACTTGCTTTGCTAATTAACTGGCGAGTACATGTGTGTAAGTATTGTGTGTGTTGGTATTTGTCTTAAAAAGAAAAAAATTGCCGGAAACTGCGAGGCTAACGAACCGATTTTATGTAAGAATAACAGATAAGCAATATTTTACTATTCGAACCCTGTTGATTTCCATTAATACACCTTTCTTCCATTCATAAAGAGTTACGTAACATGGTAATTTATAATGTTAACTGTAAGAATTCTATAAGGACCAGTTTCTTGCATCATGGATTAGAAATTTATCATAATAATCTGCGCATGTCGGATATTCAGTGGTATGATAATTGCCATCGAGAACCGAGGCATGGGTTCGAATCCGCCAACGCACCACAATTTGTTGGGCTTCCGTGTCGTTGAACGGAGAAAAACAAGGGACTGGTCAGTGGATTGTTGCTCAATTCGGAATGCCGAAATTCTATTCGAGCACAAGCAAAGCCGTCCGAGAGTCGGGGGCGACTCATTAGCACTTCTAAGCCAACGGGCTCCCCGGTTTGCTTGTCTGATCAGACAAGCCGGCGGAACGAGTTTCTCCGTAAAGGTGGGTGCTCTTAAACGAAAAAACACTCCGCGCGCACCGATCTGTAGGCAGTGCCTTCTCTGAAATCTATTTTATATTTTGCAATAAAATTCGTTTGTCAATTACAGAAAAAATACCTCAAATCCGAAATAAGTGTATGGAACCATCAACAAAAGCGGAAGAAAAATTTCCGCAAATATCCAAGCCTTTCCACGCCACGCTGTTACAATATTCTTGCGCAACAGCAACAATAAAAGCTTTAAAAACATTTCAAAGCAAAAATATGGTCCTCCTTAGCAATCGTCGCCCACTAAAAACCTCGTGCAACAACAACACAATGCATAATTTGCAGAAAAAGGTCGCATGGTTGACACCAACGACCATCACTACCCATTTAAAAAAGCGTTTCGAGACCAGTTTTTGATTAATTTGATTTAACAGCTCGAAATCTCGAATGGGTTTGTTTCAGCACATGAGACATTAATAAGCTAAAGGTCGTTGCGATGTGCGATTCGTTTCTCGAGCTATTTTATTTCCTCATCAACGGTGATTGTAAGGCAAATAAGGTGGATCTTGGTTTGAGGGAGAGAACAAACTTCATATTGAAAGACTTCGATTTCTTCTCCAATTTGAAGAATTTGGGTTTATTTTTTCCTAAGGATTTACCACTTTGGAAATATATGAGTTTCTGGTTCGGCTATTAGCGTGGCGAGAGGCAATTTCGCCAGAGAATAATTTGGAGATATGGCTCGGTACTCGTGGGAATTCTAGCAGCCATTCAATGATTTTACTTGAGAGAAAAAGGGTTTTTATTGAAATAATCAGTATTATCGCTAACAAAATGATCTATTTTCAATGTTTTTGCTTAAATTGTTATTAAATTAATTTAAATTAATTATGAAATTAATTATGAAATTAATTAAATTAATTTATTGAATTATATAAAAGGCAAAAAAATTGTATATAAGTAATATCAAAAAGTAAAGAAATATTGAACTAAGCGAGGATTTTAAATATTTTGGAATAAACAATCATGATAAATTCAGTATTCGAAATTATTCAAGAACTTTGTCTACATTACATAGGTGCGACGATTTACTCTGAGAACCTAAGGGATATCCTATGCTAAAGTTAAGGATCACAGGTGCAAGGAAAATGCATTGAAGGAAAAGAGAAAAAACATTAAGAAATACGATCTGAAGAATGTGAAGAACGTGATAAGTCATCAACGTTATCAGTGTAAATCATGGCCTTATCATCATGCGTATCGAGACATTCTTTGCACTGAAATTTATTCTATTTATTTAATAAATCAAAAAATTTTTGCTGAAATTGAATTTTAGAATATATTAGTCGGAGGAAAAGAATTAGTCTTCGCGTATCAAAAAACTTGAAAACATGCCCGGGTCACCAATGAAACCAGCAGTAGTGCGAACTTTAAGAGAAGAAGCGATACGTTCATTCCGAAATAACTATTTATTTTTAAATGCATTAGTACATTAATTCAGCGTAGCAGGCATCGCCGAGAACCAATATATTAGAGAAGTGCAAATATTCCAAACAAAGCTATTTGTTGCGGTCACCTTCTTCCTAAATCCAGTAATGTCCACTCTATCTTCCATCTTCACGCATTCTCGAAAGGACCCTTAGGCTCCCATGCTTTCCCTGAGAGTCACCGAGGATCTCACGCGATCTCTATCAGATAGATTCAAATATTCCAAATATTATTGCAAATATTCCAAAAAAACCATTTGTTATGACCATCACTTTTCCACTGAAAAAAACAGAATTAGTTGAAGAAAGTAAAAAAATTTCTGGAATTTCGTTAGCCCCATTGCCATCTGACTTCATCAACCACCTTTCCATAAGAATTTATGAAAGATCTGACGAACCCTTCAGGAGTCTCGTTTACTTGAAGACTTGCAGACAACATATAAATTTTATAAAATTCACTTTATCAGACTCAGCATTCAGCAATGCTTAATTTACTCTGATGAAGATGAGCTGTGGAGAACCATTGTAGTGGTACTATAGCTTTTAGCTTTTCTGGTCACACTGTAATTAATATTTTGATAGAACTGGTTAAAATAAGTAAGTACCACTTTATGCGAAAATGAGTTCCAAATCTTAACGCAATTATATGCAATGGCACCACCCTCGACAAATGTTCCAGCAATTGTACGGGTGACTAAATCGTTGACAAGTTTCGCATAATAAGAGCATCTCGTTATCATAATTATATGCCAAGATAATTTGACTCTGCGACTGACTTTTAGGATTTTCAAATTTTTGCATTTAGTTTGAGATTTGAGGTATGGGAAAAAGGGGGTGAAGTGGTTTGACGGCAGATTGAACCTTCATTATAATTCGCGTGTGCCAGTGAATATGGTGTCTCATTAATCTGGGAAATTGCGGCTCCTGTTGCACCACTTCGAATCCAGTCTTGCTTCTCCTCTAAAATTGTGGTACCTCTTCAAACCTTTTTAGCTCCTTTATGTCCGAAATCCTTCTAAAATTCGATTTTGTGCCGTGATTTTTTTGGAATTTCGCTTATTTCGCTTATTTCGCTTATTTTGTCATTGTTGCTTATAATTTTGTCAATTTATTTTGTCGTGCAAAAATTCTTTATATAAACAGATTTTGGTTAATTTTAGACGTAAAAATTGCTTTATTAAGTATTAAACGATTTTCGCTCGATAATTTGTCAGAATTAATGAAACGTCGCAATTTCGAGACAATTGTCGCGGAAAACGATTCTGAGCCAAGAGAAAAAAAAGCGGATATTACACAATCAAATAATCTTGATTGGAGGGAATGTTTGGAAAAAATCGCTCAAATGCGATTAGAAGGTGATGCACCAGTTGACACAAAAGGATGTCATATGCTCGCTGATAAAACTGCTGATCCACAGGTTTTATTCACTTTAAGCTTGGTTAGATCGTTTTGATGACTGCAGATTCAGAATGTTTAAATGGCATTTATTTAAGTAAAATTTAGATGGTAAATGATCAAATTTTATAGGGATTAAAATGATTTATATTCAAATATGAAATGGAATTTAATTAAGTTGTTCCGTTGCATATATTGATAGGAATCCAATGATAATAAGTATCAAGGAAAATGAGCTTGGCTATTATGAATATTTCTTTTGTGAATTTTTTTTAAAAAATTGAACTTAAAAATGAACTTTTATATATCATTGGAAATCTCTAGCAAAATCTTGATTTCAGGTTTTTCGATTTCAAATTTTACTTGCTCTGATGTTGTCAAGCCAAACGAAGGATGAAATTACTGCTGCAGCTATGCATGTATTTCTTTTTTAGTTTTCATTTGCTTAATTATAGAATATCCTTGGATTTCTTCCTCATTTTTCCATTTTATAAAATTTTCATTTTTCTAGAATTTTTTTAGAATGTTTTTAGAATTTTTGTTTTTCTGGTTCAACACCGTTTCGATTTTACTGATTTTACCAATATGAGACCATTTCGCTGGGTTTGAGAGATTCTTTTGATAATAGAGTATAGAAAAGAAGTGGTGATGACCCAAGCGTCTTTTTAGTAAAACTTTTTAGTCCGATAGTCCAACTGAGCAAACCTAACCAGAAATGGTTTCTAAAAAAGGATGTAGATAAGTTTCAATACAAAGATTTTTTATTCCTGGCGGAGTGGCACAGTATCTCTCTTTTAGTTAAGATGAAATTCTTACTATGTACATCAAACAAGGCAAACCATCATCCGATCATCCTTACCCGGTATATTTTTCTCATACTAATAATAGAATCATCTAAATCATTTAGTTTTTCAGAGATTGAAAGATTACGGCTGCACAGTGGAGAATATAAGAAAATTATCTGGGTTGGAACTTCAAAAGCTGCTTATTCCTGTTGGATTTTATAGAGTCGGGGTTTTTTATTGAATTTTTATTATTTTTTATCAAATAATTAGGTGTTACGATTTATTTTTTATTTTTTAAAAAAACTGTTCTACTTCTAGGATAGGATAATGCTGAATATTTTTCAGTTGTCCGAATTTTTCAAAATTAATTTCATTTTCACGGTAAAATTTTCGCTTTCTTTATTGAACTTAATTGTTTTTCAGTTCCATTTATGAAGTAGAAATTTTTATATAAAATATTTATTTTTTATTTATTTATATCGTTTTATATTATCTTTTAAGAAATAGAAATATTTAAGAGGAAAGCTGAATATATCAAAAAAGTAGCTGAAATTTTGGTGGAAAAATATGGTGGAGATATACCCAACACCGTTGATGGTTTATGTTCCTTACCGGGAGTCGGACCAAAAATGGCATATTTAGCAATGCAGTGCGCATGGGATATCGATGCAGGTATTGGTGTGGATACTCATGTTCATCGAATTTCAAACCGATTGGGATTGGTATTTTTTTGTTGAATTATTATGTATTTTAAGAATTAATACATTTATTACTTATCAATAGCTGTTGTTATTACAGAGGTTTTAATTATTATTTAGGTATTTTTATATAATTATATAATATAATATATAATATATAATTAGGAGAATATAAAAAAACTCACAAGTTAATAAAGTGTGTTTTAATTGCACTAATAATTTTCGTTAGTTTTACCATTGTCTTTTTTGTTTGCTTAGGTTCGAACGAAAACACCTGAAAATACACGCACGGACTTAGAGGATCTCATTCCTCATTCTGAGTGGCGTAGAGTAAACAAATTATTTGTTGGTTTTGGTCAGCAGATTTGCCTTCCTGTTTTGCCGAAATGTTCCGAGTGTTTATTAAAGGATAAATGTCCAACTATTGGTGTCAAAAAGGCTCGTTAATTTTAATTGCTTCCAACACATTTGCACTTTGATTTAATTTATTAGTTCGATTTATTGTCATTTATTTTTAGCTCATTTTTTTGTAGATCTCTTAAATATTTTTAAGTTGAATATATTTTAATCTATGTTTATTGATCTGATTTCTTTACATATTCTCCATTTTTTTCGACTATAATTTTTTGATTTATATTTTTTATATGATTTATTGAGAAATAAGCAATTTTCTTTTTATTTTCTTCCTCTTATGAAAATAAATAACGGGTTCGAGTATTTTTTAATGTTTTTATTTGTTTTGTATTTTGGTTTTATAAATAATGATGATGAAATAATGATTTTTTAAATTATTGGAATTCCAATGTTATAATTTAAATTATTGCATGGATAATGTTATTCGATATATTAGTTAAGAATCTTTGTTATTTTTTAGTTTGAATTTAATGTTTAATTGTTGATTTCCAGAGTATATAGTATAATCGAGTGGTATATGATTGTATTGTATTATCATAGTTACATCGTAGTTATCCATTCCCTTTGATGAGGATTTTGTCATTTAAAATGAAATCTGGGTGATACTGAAGTCCCACTTGTCATTTCAAATGACTCTACTTCAAATGAAGAACCAGAAATATCTAAATATCTGTATTCAGATATATTCAAAGTGAAAATATAAATGTGAAGAAAATTTAGCCTATATATCTATATAGGCTAAATTAAAAAATGTACTTGAAAGAAAGCATCGAAATAAGAATCACAAAACTAGGTAAAAAAGTTAAGATTTGGGCGGAAAATCTACTCATATCAACAGTGTTCATGAAATAAAACAATTCGCTTAAACAGGTAATCTCAGAAGGGCATTTGAAACGACTTTCTCTTCTTGCATACCTGAAAATATTTATGAATAAGCATCATAGTTATCCATTCCCTTGAATAAACTTTCATTTTATGACGTTTGTCATTAGTAGATTTATTAAAATAACCTTGAAAGAGCACTTTCGAAAGGTTTCACTGAACGGAAAACCACTTCTGTTGAACTTAAACATAAACTGTGGGAATGCTGTCGACTTCCAGTTTCAAAACTACAAGTGCTGACGTAATACAATTAATATTTGTTTCTATCAATTTGAAATCAGTTTTGAAATATGAAAATTACAGGTATTTTGTATCATTTTGTAAAAAATGAAGAGAAATCTATCAATCGAACAAAAATATTCTATTGAAATGCTCAAATTTTTTTAAGAAATTCTTCGAGAATTTCTTTTAAACATTTTCTTACCTAATTACGGCACCAACAACGGCTTTTTGGTGAATAGCAATAAGCAAAATTATACGAAGCATCCTTTCTTTCTCATCACTAGTATCGAGTGAGAAATTCATTTCGCGTCTGACATTTTTTATTTTTTAACGAATTTTTCTTGTTTATTAAATTCCATTAAGATGTTACTTTGAACTATGTGTCTGATAAAAAACACATATGATAACATAACAGAATAGCAGTACCTACCATGCATAAGGGTTGGCAGAATGTGTCCCTTGATAGGAGATTCATTAAATTCATTAAAAGTAAAAATAGGCCGAAATAGGTGGTGTCTATGAGACAACTGTAATTCTATCATACTGATGAAAGATGTCGTCTGCCATCCCTATTTTAATGCAACAAGCCAAACCAAAAATAATTCATCGCATTAAAAAGATTGTATATACTTTGTAATTATAATTTCGATAACAATAGTTTGAAAAATTATTTTAAAGAAAAAATGAAATAATTATCATCATAATATTAATTCTAACATTATTTTTGTATCGCAAATTTTGCCACTCTTGTCGCAGATACTCTCCGCTGCAATTTGGCTTGATAAAAATTGTTTAAGCCTCGTCCTGTTGCATTTCTGTAATTTCTAAATAATATATCTGCCAAGTGTTTACCTATTTTATTTGTACGATCTTACGTTAAAAAACTTATTCACATTCCATTATCATTTGTATAACTCATTTGTCACTACCAACAATTTTAAAAAAATGTTTCATATTGATTGTAAAATGACTAAAAAAATCATCTAACCTTATCCGAAGTTATCGGCAAGAAACAGGAAGTTGTAAGATTAATTCCGAATCGAACTTTTATACTTTTATTTCGATTACATAGTCCATTTGAATCTAAAGGATTTTTATAAAAAAAATTAAGTAAAAAATAGGCGCTTCACTATTTCTGGTTAAGAAGGCTCCACTGGCTATCATTTATGACACAATTTTTCACAGAAGACTCATTTGAGGACAAAAAATTTGCTGGTTTGCCCTAAATACTATCAGGATTTTTCTACGAAGAATTTATCTGTTAAAGACAGCAGTTGAATCAGCATGACAAATTTGTCAATCTAAGGAATTCTATGGAATTATAAGAAAAAAGCCTAAGGTGCGATAAATGCTCAAGCTGAGTTCAGGACTTCTGAATGCGTTTATTTTTAAAATTATTTTCCGATATAAGTTTAACGATCCCGATTCGATTTCAAAAGTTTACTTTTTATTTTTACAATAACATAATGAAGCCCTGATACGAGTAACGAATTAAGCATAAGAATTCTGAGTACTGAGAGATATAAATTAAATAAAATATGATACCAAATTTATTTAATTATAGTTTACTCGCAAACATTGAAGGATACAATGGCCCAGTAGATTATTGCTAAATTGGGAGCGCCGATCCTGAGGTTCGCCACAGGACTAAACTGTCCGAAAATCCGGGTGATGCTTGTGAGTCACCTGTGCTTCTATTGCCAAGGGACTTCCTGGCATATTTATCCAGTGCCACGAGTTTAATCAGTAATGGTGAGGACTCTTATTCACAAGTATTACCAGGCGGAATGATATTTATAGCACCATTTACCAATAATTCATCGCCATCTTCATAAATTAATCCGGAATTTGATTCTTGTCCAACGATTTCTTGATAAAGGGTTTTATTCTTAAATTATTCTTTTAAATGATTGATGATTGATAATGATTCCATAATTTCAATTCTTAATATTTTGCAAATGAACCCAAGATAAAAGTAAAAGTGGCTATTCATCATTTCTGGTTAAGCTCGCTCGGCTGATAGCAACGTCCAATTTTTTCCAGATTTTCATTTGGGGGTATAAACACACGTGCACTGCTTTGCACATTTTCTAATGGTGGGTTAGATTTAATTTTAAAGGAGATCGAATGGCAATGGAATTGAGTGTATGAGAAAAGAAAAAGTATAACCTAAATAACGACTATTCTGCCGCTTATTATATAACCGAAACATGTTGCTTGAAAAAGATTGCTTATTGTTAAGTCAACTTTATGTCAACGACAAAATATCGAGGAATCAGACTACTAGACGATTCAGCGAAAATTTTTCCTTACCTTTTATTCAATAGATCCATGGCATGATGCATCAAAGCTGGATTCAGGCCAGCGCGTCGTTGTGCTGACCAAATATTTATGCTAAAAATGGTGCTGGAATATCGTTTCAAATACCAGCAACCCACTGCCTCTTTATCGATTTTGCAGCTGGAAAGTGATGAAACGGACGGTGTTTCAAAAAAGATCATTCGACTCATAAAGGTATTTTTCAGCATACCTTGGCACAGGTCTGTATATTTGGAGGATCGACAGAGTCCTTCAAATAAGAACTGGTGTCCGTCAACGCTACATTCTTTCCCCTCCAATATTCAACTATATGATAGACTGGATAACGGATATTGCTTGTCAGCATTCAAGAGGTGTACAAATTGGCCCAGAGAATCTTGAACGCTGATGATGAACGCAGTCCTTTTTGGTGAGTTATGACGAAATAATGCTAAACAACATTCAGCAGGTGCAAATGAGAATCGCATTCAGGGTCAAAATGTAAATATAATAGAATATAATATAATAAGAAGCTGATAAAATGCCTCTTTTTATAAACTCATAGTCGACTGAAGAAATGCCGATTTTAATCACCTTGGATCCACTCTAATATCGAATTGTCAGACGAAATTAAAACCCGGATTACGACAGTTAGAAATGCGTTCTTCCGTTCTTCTGGTTAATGAAATCTTTATAAAGCCATTGTGAAATCACAGTAAAAATAAAAGTCCACGTCTACATTACTCGATTCACACAATTTTGCTATGTGGCTGCAAGACATGGCCAATGAGAGTGGAAGATAGGAGCCAGCTTAACCAATAATGGTGGGAGCCGTTAGAATAAAAAGGAAAAAAAGAGTTCAAATCAATGGTAATTAGTAAAAACTGTGGAAAAAAACTTTTTTGAAACTAAATAAAGAAAATCTAAAGGTTTTCCCAGCCAAATTTACTTATGAATCAATTTTATCTGTCAAATCTTACCTTATTCTCAATAACGGACCGTTCTAATTCATTAAAGTGCATCGTTTCATTTCTGAAATATGCATATGCACCATTTTCATCGTTAATGTTCCGTTATATTTAATAAAACTATAAACAGGAGAATGGATGTGTTGACATTAACCAATCTTCAACTATCCGCTAAGAATAAGTCCAAAAACCCGTCAATATACTGGCTAAAGATTACAACCAATCAGTGTGATCAACTGAAAAACAGGCAGATAATGAAAAGTGAACACTCCATAATTGTGGAGAATAATGTGTAGGCGACTTTTAATAAGATTTTTGCGATAAAACCATAGTTTAGGTGGTGGTTGCTAATCATCCGATAAATATTCTTCAATCTTATAAATTCCAATTCTTTTCAATATTGATAAAGACAATCGAAAGAGCCGGAAAAGCGCACAATGAATGTCGAAATGTCTCGACGATCGCCACAACTTTTTCCCGTTTATATGTTAATGCTTCACCGTAAACCGTTCTAACATGCGATGGATATCCTCCAATTACATCGAATATATGCAAACTGAAATAACTGAAATAACTGAAATAAAACTTTATAATGACAATGATAAGAATATTGAAAATCAATTAAAGAAACAAGTCTCTTTAATTTAAAACTCTCTCCTAACAATATTTTTGGTTTGGCTGAACCACTGAAGAAGGTTTGTCGCTAATGGAAAATTCTGGGATGAAATTCAGATAAATGGCCAATATTATATGAATTTTTAATGAGTGATTTCAGGAGGATTAAAGAGGGATTAAAAGAGGGAGTAAGAAGCAGAAACCTCATTCGAACTATCGTATTCATTATTTTATTATTTATTTTCAGCATTAATATTTCGAAAACAGTTACCGATTAAGCACTTCGTTAAAAATGCAGCTGATTGATATGACATTAAAATTGATAATAATGATAACAATGATAATAAAAAACGATATTTTAGAGGGCATACAATGAGAGAAATAGGCAGCTCAGCGATATATAGGTTTAAACAATGAAAAACGAGTGACTGCAGCCACTCTTGGATATAATATCAATTCGAGAGAGCCGAAAAAACTTTAATCACGTAGCTATTGGGACCAGCCTAACTGATAATGGTACCAGCTAATTAGAAGAAGAAGAAATTACATCCAAATACGAACCGTACCAAACGCATTCACGTTTCTATGACAGCAAATTTTTCAAAAAGTTTTGTCTCGAGCCGAAAATTTCACTACGATAACTTTCAATTTTTTCAAAGATTTGAAATATTTTCGGTTTTCATTTATTTATTCGATTTATTTAAGGACTTTTTTTAAATGTGAGTTAAGTTCCTTGTGGTGAATTCGATTAGGCTTGTTGGGTTTATGGTACTTTTCGACCATCCGGACAACAGCTTCAACTGTTGGCAAAGAGGCATAATGGGGCTATTAGAGGCTATTAGATTTTCGTAGTATTAATATAAATTATAAATTATAATATAAATTAAGTAGATTATAAAGGAATGTATTAGTGAATACATTGAGGAAGAGAATAATTATATGGTTCAAGGGACCTTTACTAGCAAAATGTAGGAAAAGAGAGGAACAGAGGAAGATATTGGGAGAAATCAGCTGAAAGAGTAAAAAACGGAAATAGCATGCAAGCATGAAGCCTCATCGGTGCTGTCCATCTGATTTGAAATTTAACCTATTTGCTGAAAACAAAAATAGCCGTGCACTTGTAAGCTTAATGAAAAATTTTTTAAGCACTAAAATTTATTTCTTTTTTTTTAGATTGGAAAGATCAAGAAAGAATAGAAATTTTCCAATAATAGTTCAGTGAACGTTAATGGAAATTCTTTTGACAAGCGGTTAAAATTCCTTGAAAATTTATCGTTTATGTTTGCACCCATTTAGTTTTTATTTAAAAATATTCTATATTCATTTTTTTCGATTACACTTACTATTTTTGCTTCTCTTTTAATGGCGGATTTACTCCTGGAGGTGCAACAGTCGAACACATGTTGCTTGCGGTAAATGTAATCAGCGTTTGACTGAACCACCGCATATTAGTATATTAAAATTATATCATTGTGCAATTATATTTTAGTAATTAATTAAATTATATTTTAAAAAATTATATTTTAGTAATTATTGAATAATGTATAAATAAAATTGTAGTGTTTATAAAATTTGGGTTGAGAATTTTCGAATATATTTTAGAATATGCAAGCAATAATCGAGAAGAGTAAACCAGTTTTACAAAATGCAGTTGCATTTGATCGCGATGGCAAAAGGCCTGAAGCGATTCAGAAATATATCGATGGTGTTACATTGCTGATGGATGGATTATCATGTTATTTTTTAAAATTTACAAGTTTTATGCAAATCTGATTAAATAAACGAACCAAATGGCTCTTTTATTTTTTTGCAACAAATTCTTTTTTTAGCACTTTTACTTTTTCTAATTTGGCTGGTTGCATTGGCTTCTGCTAGTCTATAAGCTTCTTTTATGAATCAAAAAGTTATGAAATTTCACTTGATTTAAGCTAAGGCAGTTGTTTTAATTATGAAGTGCATTGTTTCATGAAAATTAAATTTTTTTAATGAATTAAAAGATTTCTTTCACAAACAAAAAGAAAGTTAGCAAATTTCGAAACGAAGAAAAAGAAAACTCATTTACTTATATATAATGTTTGCCATCAATTGACATAACGTTTCTTTTCACTTAAGGCTTCACAAAGCTGATTCTTGTAGTGAATGGAGCTAGCCAAACTAGAACTATCAGAACAATAATAAATATTAGTTTCATTTCCAGTTTTAAGGTGAATATATCTCTCTGGACGATAAGGGAACTTTAAGGGGCATTATTTCGAAATACATGGCTCGAGCTGAAAAGCTCAAAGGTCAGAGCAAAGTAAATGTTGTTTCAGTCGATCGAATTCATATCAAAGAAAATTCGGTTAGATATTTCATTTTAAATTAGAACTTATTTGTAATAAGCGAATATGTCTAATAAGCGAAAAGAAACGCTATATCATTGCCAATATTTAGCAATCAGTTGTTGGTTTCCTAATAAATTATCGAGCTTTATAAATCTTAAGTACAGCTGCATAATTTAATGATTAAAAAAAATTTTTTTTACAGACTGGCCATGGCTATGAGGAAATTTTTTCACGATGTTTTGATGATTCTGTGACAGAAGTTTTCGTTCAAGATCCCTATATTATCGTTCGTCATCAGGTGTGCTAATTTTTTTTTCTAAATTCAGCAGTCACTCTTGCTCGAGTGGATATTAGCTTAGATTTGTCGAGAGTCACTGAGAATCATTGCGCTGGTAGGAGTAAATTCGTCATTTAAAAATACGAGTAGCATTGGCATCTCATCTGTACTTTTAGTGCTTAACTGCTTAGCGAAAAGTTTCTATTCGTGTTATAACCAGTGAAAGTAACCTAACCAGAAATGGTAACCAGTTACTTGCGAACAAAAGTAAGGCAGGCCTATTGCAGATTTCAATTTTTATAACAGGTTTACTCCCATCTAAGGATAGAGATAGGATAGAGGAGAACTTTTTGAAACCGAACCTGTGCTACAGGTTATTTTATTTATTGTTAAAAGTTCTTAAAAGTTCTCTAATTCTCTAACTTTATTTTTTTTCTTGTTTGGATTTTTTGATCTTCATCTTCTTTTATCTTCTATGAGCTTCCTCCATTGCTTGTTTTGCTCCAGAGAGAAAGACGTTTTCTTCGGATCTTATACCACTCCTGAAACAAGGCAATTGCTTCTTCCACTTTTTTTTTATGCCGTTGGCCTGCATATGTGTTTAAAATCTACCATGACCGTATCATTCTAAGTTCTGATTGGTCCATCCTCCCATTTTTTGGCACCACCTATCAAGGTTTAGATAGTTGCGAGATTTGCGTCAGTTCTCGTTAGCCTAATCAGCCGTGGCGATTCTTAATGCAGACTTGAAATATGAAGATTGATGAATAAAAGAGATGATTATTTTGAAGAAATTTTGAAGAAAGAAATCAGGAAATTTTTGGTCCTAATTTTTTTTTCCTAATTTATCTTATGAAATCAAAAAAAGCAATTGAATGATCCTTTATGCTCTGGAAATTAAGTATTAAAGATCCAGAGTCTTGAATTCGATGGCCTGTGGTCATCTTTGTTAACATTATTAATGATAAGAAATCTGATTCAATGGTTGCAATTTCGAATTTTACTAATTTTTGCTGATTTTCCCATAGTTTGAATAAAAGCATGGATGGGTAGTTCTGAGTTTAGATATAGATTGCTTTATACTTTATATATACTTACTTTTGGATTTTATGTGAGTTTTGGTATGAATTCTATGTTAATTTTTATTTATAGATTAGAAATTTTATTCATTTTTGCGAAATTTGTTACGTAAATTCACCGAAACTTTCAAAAATACGGTTGAAAACATTGCAACAAAACAATAATGCGAGGGACTTAAACCAGTTTGGTGAATGTTTATCAGAACATGGTGTTCAACTTCAAATTATTTTCGATGAACATATCCACGATCGTGAAATTGTGTAACTATTTAAATTTAAATCTAGAAATATAATTTTGATATAACTACTTTTTATATTCTACTTTTACTTCTACTTTTTATTTTAGCGAAACCATTATAAAATGCAAAAAGTTTGGTCGGAAGGAGTCTTTTAAATATTCATTTTTTCTTTATATCTTTTTTTCTTTCTGTGAATTTAATTACAGAAATAAGTAAAAAGCAAAAAATATGAGCAGGCATCCTAAAAGTTTTTATCATTTTTTGATGCATGGCTTTGCATATTTTTGCTGCATTTTCTAATTTATTTTTATATGAGACCTTCTGGTATTTTATAGGTGTAAAGTGGAGTTCCGAGAGACGAATTTGCACCACGTAAATAAATTTTGTTGATAGTTAATACATAAAAGAACAGTACAGGATTGGTTAGCGAAATTCGGGTTCGGAAATACAGGTTTCGCCCAAAGGCCCTAAAGATAAATGGTTCCATGTAGGTTGGTTTGAAGTAAACGTAGAATGGGGAAGAAGAGAAAGTTGACAAATAGGTACTTCATGAACTGACTGAGCGTTAAATGAAAATACTTTTGGAAATTTGTTGTTCTATTTTAATGTAGAATACAAAAACGATATCTTGGATTTGCGATAAAAAAGATTCTATACGACAACAGATGCGGACGCCACATCAAAGAGATCTGATCCTTTCACCATAGAGTTACTTGGGAGTTACTTGGGGTGGAGACACAAATCTCCCGCAGCCACTCGTCTTATTTAAAAGATACTGATAAAATGCCTATTTTTATCAATTCGTTGCCGGTTGAGGAAGTGCTAGATTTTAAACATCTTGGATCTGCTGTAATACCGAATGGCCTGACAAAAGACGAAATTACAACCTGAATAACGACAGCAGAAATGTGTTTTTCCGGTTAACGAAGTCTTTATGGCATCATCATGAAATCACCATAAAGACGATAATCCACGTCCATATAGCTGTATTCGATCTTACTATATGGCTGCGAAATATGGTCCGTGAGAGTAGAAGATAACAAGAAGCTATCAGTGTTTGACCACTCATGTCTAAGATATACGCATATTTTGCAACTTGCCGAACGCTTTGATGGTTGGCATCAAAAGCGAGATGTTCCAGTCAAGACCTGGACTGATATAGTCAGGAAAGATTTTGAACGTATATGTGGAGCAGTAATATAAGGAGTTAGAAAAAAGAGCTGGTTTTATTTCTACTAGCATTGGTATCGAATCAAGCAGCTTGGAGACTCTTACCCTTAGCCAGCGAAGGAGAAGTTCTTTGGAACGACCACATCAAAGTGGTGTTCTATCATTTGAATTGAATCAGCTGTAAAATCGATTAACAATGTGATGGTGGGTTGCTGATGTTTGATATCTGATTTTCCAACATCTTTCTTAGGTAAATCTGGTTAGCACAACTACAGCTCGACCTGAATCCAGCTTGATTACGGTATATTTTTATCTCCCACTACCATAAGTTTATTCAGTTTATTCAGCAGGAGGGAAGCAAAAATTTTCCCAGAGTACTAGGAAGCTAATTTCTGGACAATAGTCACAGTGTTTCCTATCATCTTTCTTAGGTGCTTCTATCTTCTGATATTTTTTCATTCTTTCATCCCAGAAAGTACATTTGTTGAAGGTGCATTATGAATAACATAGATTTTTCTCTTCTACTGGCAGTTCATAGTTCCACATATGGCTGGACAAGTGAATTAGCTGTGTCGGACAGATGACATATCGCGGTTAAAATTGGTCTCAAAGAATTCCTTTCACCTTATAAGGCATAATCTTTAATAGCCTTAACAAGCAACCATTACTATCCTGTATCGTTTCCGAGTTATAGTTTTTTTATGGAGAAGGCGAAGTAGTTTCCTGTTATCGCCTAATTAAGTCGCCCTCTACATTCTTAAGGCCATATAGCTCCATTAGCGGTTTCTGTTCCGCCATGCTTCTGTTGTTATAATTTTTCGAAGTACCCAATAGTTAGGATCTCCTGATATTCGAGCGTTAGCTTTTTCAGACAGTTCGACAGTTCCTTCCGATACTCAGCAGTTGCTATCCAACTTCCTATTAGTGTGCCCTAAAGTGGAAGTGGCTAACTTTCCGAGACATTTTTTCAATTGGGTCCAGTATTCATCTGCCGTTCCAAAGATGTCACTGAGTTTCATTTCACTGAGATAATAATTATTTGGTTTGAAATGCGTTTATTGCTTCGAATTTTTTAATTTGAGATTGTTGAAAAATCTTGGGAGTTTTCTTACAAATTGTCAGCGAATCTTGAACCATAACATGGTTACCGATTTACATGAAAATTACCAATTTCAGCGCTCTTGTCGGAAAAAACAGAAAGAATTTATTTAAAAAAAAACGCTATTTGAACAAAGTACTCTAAGAGATCTTTCGGTTTTTCCGACAGCCTCGATAGGAAAGGCTTTCCAATTTTGAAATCTTTCAACGGCGATTAAGTAGGATATAATTATTCTGGTTGAAGTGTTGGTTGTCCAGAGTTTACACGTGAAAAATGTTTTCTATGATGCATATATTATAAGTATATCACAAAAAATTCATGCCATTCGGCAAAATGAGGTGTTCTTCATTGGCACTCCCTGATGCCGTATTTGCCAATTACCGAGCTCATCATAGCGCTCATTTCATTCTTTCCCGATTATGACCATGTTTTGATAGAGATAAGAGAATATTATTCAATTTATTTTCAAAAAATAACTGAGTTGAATATCGAAGTTCTTCCTTATTCACCATATTCACCATATTCCATAGTTCTTTCCCCAGCAGAATTTCTTTCTCGATAATTTTCTTGGGGCGGAATAGTTTTAAATCAGAAAGGTCTTTAAAATATTACTAATTTAATTCCGTAAACTAATGGACTGCACTTGAATCACTTTTATGTTGATTTTCAGTAAAATTAAAATTTCTGTTCAAAGAATTTTCTTATAAATTAAACAACGTAAAGTGGCAAGGATTTTTAGTATGGTTCGGAGATATGGAATTTCGTTGGCAATAATTTCTAAATATTATGTTTGCATAAGTTCCCAGTGGTGACTTTTTGAGACGATGGCAGGAGAATTACTGCATGGAAATTTACAGTTAAATTACTATTACTTACAAATTATTATTCTTTATTCATCGTTTATTGTTAGATTTCACTGTTTAAAGTTTTATGGTTACTGAAAACAAACATGATATTCTGTCTACTCTTGATGATCTACTCTTTCTTTTTCACCTTGGAAAGAACAGCTGCTGAAACGAAGAAATAGATTTACGAAGTTTCTGGAAACAGAAGAGCTAGGAACAAATGCAAAGAATGTTTAACATGTTTAAGAAAGGAGATTTTGACCTTCAAGACCAAAAGCAATCACAGATCGCAAGAATTCACCTCTGATTACTTCTGAAATTACCACAGCGCTGCGATTATTGTTTATAGTGCAGTGGAAAATAACTTCAAAGCATGAGAAAAATGAACTCACCAAACGAAACACGGATTAACAATTGTACTCGTGTTTATCTTTCTGTTAAACATAAGAGAAATCCTTTTCTTGCGGAAGGTTATCACTAGAGACTGGGTTCATTACTGCAATCTTATGCTCCAAATATCATGGATTGACCCTCAATAACTTGGAACACCAGTGTCGAAGCCAACTTTTTTTGAAAAAGTTCTTCATGGTGAAATTGCAAAAGTCTTCCATTTTAAACTGTTGAAATAGTTACTACCTAATGTTACCAGCTTTAAAGTTTAAAAACAGCAGTGAAAACGATAATTTTTCATGGAAATATTCATGTAACAGTGTAAACGCAAAGAGTCATTTTGGAGTCAAAAGTTCTCGGTTGGAATGTTCTTCCGCATATTCGCCAGATCTGTGTCGGATTGCTATTTTTGAGTGCTTCTTGTTTTTGTCTTGAAGGTTTTTAAAATTGAAATTCCATCGATGTCTTTTTTGAATTAGAATTAGAATCACTAAGGAATTTATAAATTGCCAGAATGGCTCAGTGGATTGTTGCTTAATTCGGAGCGCCAATGTTGAGGTTCCATTCCCCGAGGAATAAATTTGTCCAAAAATCTGAGTAATTCTGGCGACTTCCATCGCCAAGGGACTTCCTGGCATATTTTGTCCAACGCAACAAGCTAGCGTCGCCCGTTTAACCAGTAATGGTAGGAATGGTAGCACTCTTAAAAAACAAAGTGGAATTTATAAATTCAGATAGATGGTTGGAAGTGGTAGCAAGCGAAGGAAAATACTTTGATAATTGGACCGCCTTTTAATTTAATTAATATAAGCTAAAAACTTATGCAAAACACTCACAAATAAATGAACTTTAATCTAAATCTTTAATCGAGCGATTTAATTATATATATTTTGATATCATGAATGTAGAATATTTTTTTTATAGATTCGATAATGGATGGATAATCAAGATCGGACGTGGTTTAGATTATTTGAAGGATCCCGGACCTTTTGCTTTGGGCTTATATTATTATCGGCTTCGAAAGTGTCGTGAAACATGTGTGGACATATATAAAATGGAATAATTATTTGCTTTGGTAAGCAATGAGCCGTTCGCGGTTTCACCATTTAAGGCAGTATGAACTTTGACATGCATGGCTTAGCCTTTGAGATAAGCATATGACCGCCGACAGAATCAATCGGGGACGTTGGATTATCTTTCTTCGGTTTTAGTTTGTTTTTATAGTAAGTTTGACATGGATTAATTTCCTGCTTCTACCAATTTAAGTGGAAATTGCAGCGGTGATGTAGATCAAAATATGTCAAAAAAGCTTTTGGTAACTAAATTTTGAAGATGGTAAAGAAAAAAGAAAAAATCGTTCTTAATGGTACAATCGTACACATAAATCTTTAAAATGCTGGTGCCCTCAAAATCTTTAGATGATATAGTTAAAATAGTGATTTGGTGGACTTGAGGTAAAAACATTTGAAGTTTATTTTTCTTTGTTATTATGAATTTCTTTTTCTGGAGAAAATTTTGCCTGAAAAATGCTTGCTTCATATCTGTCAGATTGATTGAACTTCTCCAACTTGCGCCAAAATCTGATTTGCTCCACTGTATGATGGTGTGGCTTTACGGTTAATCCATCGTATTTCTTAAAATCTTGTTTAAAAATTTAAATCCTCCTTATAAACTAACTTTCAACCTAATAATTTCGAGTTGTTTTTATTTAAAATATTGATCTGTTGTTGCTTGCATTCAGTGACTTCTTGTTTGTTTAGGAATTTTTCTTTTCTCGTTCGAGGGTTTGTTAATTTGAATTAATTTTTGTCCAATTCAGAAATCTACCAAAAACTGCAAGTACCTTCAGATTTATTCAACAAAAAAGATCCTATTACTCTACATGACAAACCCACGTGTCGAAAAAATGAAGATTCTCCAGTTGTATATCTAAATTCTTCATTTCTTATCAGAACCTTGAAAATGCCTTTCATTAGTTGTCCAGATTTTTTTTCAAGTAGATTATTTTTTAATAAAGGCAAAGACATGATCTTCAATTGTGTTATGGTTTTTCAAAGTGTAATTGTTGGAACTTTTCGTATGATTAATAAATTGATTTTAATTTTGATCCGAATTTTATTGGTAATTTAATGGCATTATTAAAAATTATTGAAAATTAAAGCGTGAGAAATACAAAAAGTGCTTACACTTGAAAAAAATTTTCATTATAATTTTTATATATTTAATATAAATTCGAGATGAATCTGGAATTTTGGAAACTTGGTGAGTGGAGGGGGGCCAATGGAAATTTTCGGAAATTTTTCGAATTTGAGGTCTGAACCTTGCAGGCCCTCGCTTGAAATAGATCCTTGCTGTATTCCACCACATTTGCATATGTGTTTTACGATGTCATTATTGTTAAATAAAAAATGGGTTTTACAAATGGCCAAACGAAATATTCATAAAGATATTGTTTTTCAAAGAAATTTTTATGACCATGCAGGTTGGTTCGAAAAAACTCGGAAGGTTTTAGAAGTTATATTGTTTTCGCGTTCATTTGTTTTCGGTTTCTAAGTTTTGTTTATATCATTTTTTTTGTTTTCTTTGAGATTTATTAATTTAATAAAATTGCGAAACTAATTATTTTTAAATTAGGTTGAATTTTACTTGATTAAATCACATGTTACTTCAAAATGTTTGAAAAAGGACCAAGCCGCACCCTTAAGTAACCCTTTGGTGAGGTCGTTTCATCCAAGTGATTGGCAGAGTTGGCAAGACCGGAAGTTGTTACTGATGAAACAATTAAATCGGGGCTTGAAGTTACTTTTTTTTTAAAAACAACTAACGGAATCCTCAGCAGCAGCCAAAAAGTAATGGTTGTCGATTTTTTTACGTCTGCAACTGGGATTCTTTGCTGCGGTTACGATATTTTTTTCTGCTTTTGCTTCCGCAGCTTAAAGTTAGGAAATTGTGGTTTTATTCTTCTTCTGGCGATTATTGCACAATCATTGGTTAGAAAGGCTTGGATGCAACGATTTCCGAGCTCCAATATTTCGACGAAGAAATATTGTTTATGGCTAAATTCTCGTTGCAATAAATAAGCGTTTCGATTAATCTATTTTGTCATTTAATGCGGATTATGCGAAATATGGATTAAATGGATTAAATGATATAATATTAGCGGAAAATTGTGACTGAATTATACTGAATTATAGAGTTTGCACCAAAAAATTGGTGAATTCGGTTTCTGTCTCGAGAGGAAGAAGTTGCAGCTGAAAACAAGAAGGGCAACACAAGTTCGGTTGCTTCGATAGTTTATTGTTCAAATAGAGAAAATTATGAGGTCCGAATGCACTTTTAAATAAATCTTATAAATTCGGTGAATAAATGTAGGAGATTCTCTTAAAGGTGAAAACTGGGGCTTTTATTATAAAAAAATCCGAAATGTCTTAGTGATAGAAGCGAAAAAAAGAAAGAAATAAGAAATTGATTGAAAAACAGATTACGAATGAAAAATACGATGTGACCTGAAATCGCGTGCAATTTTCATAATCCAGTTTAACACTGCGATCAAAATGCTTGAACTGCAAAGATTTTTTCCTTTGAGTTCGAAGCGTGTTCCACAGTTTTCAGAGAAATTCAGAATTTTGCAAGCATAAAACTAATAGTCTCCAAAGCAGCAGTTCTGTTAAACGATTTTTGAATCCTTTGGCTACGGTCAAAATTTTATAATTAGTATGGGATTATGTGTGCGTTACCATAGTATCTTATCATTCCAATTATAGCAAGTAAATAAATAAATGGTTTGCGCTCAGTATTTCTGGTTAGGCTGGCTCTGTTGGCTGTTAATGCAGCTTCCAGAGAGTCGTTTGACGGCAGAAGGTGAGTCGCCAGTAGCATCAGGATTTTTCATTGATAAGTTTATTGCTTTAAAGAGCAAGGACGGAACCATTTCCTTCAACATGACAATGAGCCACAATTCACCGCAGTCAATCATTTGTGAATTCCTAATGAAAATCTCCAATTCTAAAGAATTCTTGACGGATTTGCTCATCCATAAATTGCAATAAGTAAACTTAAATAAATTTGGCAAAAGCCTTTGCACTGCCTAATAACGAATAAAATCGTGTAAAAAAAAAATTTGGAATTGTGTTAAAATGGGAGAATCATTCGAACTTCTTTTTTTGCATTTCGTTTTTATTTTTCCGAAGATTCACTTGAAAACAAGCTGTCCAATAAAATACAAATCGAACAAATTATGAATAATATTTTTATCATTATCACTACAAGTAAATAAGTAAGTGATAAGCGCTAATTAATCCTGCTTAAACTCGTTCGCCTAATTGTTAATTATTAATTGTTAATATGATAGGAAATTCAAGAAATCTTGCAAATAGAAGCAAATTTCCAGCTACACCAGTGTTTTTTAGTGAAATTAATGGTTTAATGTGGAGGTAAGGCCTAAAGCTTACGTTCGAATCGGAAATCTAAACGACAACCACTCGGCTATCCGCCTGCTAAATTGCAAAGCTTTGGTAAATATCGACTAATATTTGCATCAAAATTCGAGCGGAACTTTTTTTTCGAATTCTTTTATATATATATATATATATTTCAGGTTCGGCAAATCAATTAAAAGTTTATCCTGAAAGGTTTATTTTACTTTTTATCTTTTTCATAATTCGTAATTCGCATCGAATAAATGGCATTTACGAATAAATTAGCAAATCATTTTATTAATTATCTCCTTCGGGAATCAGATTTATTTATTATTTTCAAGTAAATTCTTATTTTACCTTAATTAATTAAGACGTAGATTAGCATTTTCATTCATTTCATTAAATTCACTAATTTTCTAACAAAAATAATAGAGATCCATGCAAACTCACTTTTCTTTTCTACATCTTATCATTGTCTTATCATCTATTACTTTGGTGATTATTCACATTCTAAAACCTATTATTGACCAATAAACTGTCATTTGATTCATATAAAAATATAGCCACAGTTTCTAGCAAACACCTTAGAAACTTCTTAGAATGTGAGTCGCAAGCGTAATTGGATTCTTAGGAGTAAAGTCGGATGCCTTGCCTTTTAATGCTATGGCCATGCCACGATCGGGCGTGCCTGCATTTGATTTCCATAAGGAGTTATTACGGAAAAATATATGATTAATCTTTTTTGTTCTTTTTGGATATCATATATCAATTAGATCATTTCTGTTTCTAACATTTCCTCTCTAATTGAAATTGTCTTTCAGATGAATACTTATTATATAACTTATCAAAACTTTCATTAGCAGAAATAAATTTTTATCAATAAATAATTAATAATGGTCACTCGATTTTATGTCTATATTATTCAAGGATTATCTTTGATGATTTGCGATGGATTTATAACTTTCATTATTTGGAGAAATTCCTTACTAAGACATCGTTATATGGTCATTTTAATTCAGGTATTTGATACTTTTCGGTTATCTGGTCCACAATGAAACAAGGCTGCTTCGATTCCATTCTTTTTCGTTGCCTTTATCTTTTCCTTCCTTCCTTTATTTGTTTTTTCTCCAACGCTACATTTTACTTCCTCATAAGTAATTTTTCCTAAAAATATATTTTAAGTTTTCTGCATTGAATCATATCTTTGAAATCACATCACTTCATAAACTATTAAGTTACTTTTTCTTTCTTCCCACCTCGAATTCATAATTTCTTTTATTTTTCTTTCTCCAATAGTACCCTGGTAGAGATCGATGTGGATCAGATAAGTGATAAGTACTGCTTTTTATTTTTCACTTTTTCACTTTTAATGCAAATCTAATAGGTTAGTTTGATAAACTCACTTTAGAATAACCTAAATTTATGGATTTAGATTGCTTGCTTTTCATTTTAAATTGCAAAAATGGTGCAAAACATGCCTCTATTATAATAAATTTTATCGTAAAATCGGCTGAGGTGGTATTATTGTTCAAGTTCAAATGACATGGCTTCGTTCCTATGGGAATAAACCTTGCAATCAATAGTCTTACTTATTTATTTTAGTATATTATTCTGGCACCTCACACGATATTTTTAGGACATTTCGACTAGTCCAAAATCTAATCTTGCGAAAAAAATTTCAAAATCATAAAGGGAATTTATCACAGTAATTTTAATCCTAAAACTAAAATATATAGGACCTATTCATTTAAATTTTAAATCGAAATATGAATTTTCGTAGGTATTTAATGACGCTATATTGGGTTTTGCACAGTTTATGGCTGGAGTAGGTCGTACAGTCATTCTAAATTCTGGTTCTGGTGAAAGTGAACTAAAAAGCACTAGATATTGTATGCTTATGCCATGGAATATAGTATATGCATGGTTAGTTATTCATTTGAAGAATTCAGAGATTTTTTCTGTGAAGATTTCATGAAAAAAATTAAATTTAACTAAGCGAGATTTCGTCAATTAATTTGATTTTAATGGTATTTTGCTTCGACTAAGCATTTTGGGTTGTAGCTATGCCCATTGAGAAGGTGGTTGGAAACCAACCAATACGTCTATCTTCCCACGAAAGGTAGTATTCAGCGGAGTCAGCCACACCATATTTGGCATTTGGTGAATGCCATCAGAAAATAAAGGAGAATTTGGTTGAGAAAAGTATAAAAATATACAATATAAAATATACAAAAATATTTTATATAAAAATATTATCTATCAAAGCTTTATATTCATTCTTTCTTTCATTATTAAAATTAGGCAAATAATTATTTTAATAAATGGGAATAATTATTTTAATTTTAATAATTTTAATAATATTATTTTTATTTCTTGACCAGCAATGTGGTAAAGAAACGAAAATTGAAGAGAAAAAATTTTCGGCTGCGGTTACGGTCACTAGTAATATTTTAGCACTCCGGCATTTTATCTTATAGGATCCAAAAAATTATTATTTATTAACAGGACAGAGCCAATGACACCAATTTGTCAACTGATGGTTAGCGTTGATCGTTTTCTGGCAATTAAATTTCCCATTTCATATTCAAGAAGCAGTAAGAAGTTCCAAATTACTCAGGTTATTTTTCTTATTCACTAATGTCATTACAAGTTGGATTAACAATTCCACAAAATTTACTAGCATTAAAAAGAAAAAATTTTTTTTGCTAAACGCAATGAAATTATTTAGTAGAAAATGTCACAAGAAATTTCAGTTATTGAAGCTCAGATATTTATCCACAATCCGTAATTTTTTTTATAAATTCAATTCATACAAAAAGTCAACATCTTCTTGTTTCATTAGATTTGTGTTTCGACGAGTTTATTAGGAACGTTTGTTGTCGTAAATTGGTGCATCGCCTTCATGGATACGAAAAATGATAAAGATCCTATTTGTTGGTGAGTCGGAGACTTTTCCGATAATTTCTTAGGAGATCTTTAAAAATTTTTGAAATTTGAAGTTTCTGTTGTCGAAGAGTTCACAAATTCTAAGATTTTTTGACTTGCTCTTGTGGAAGTTTGAAAATTAGTTTTCTTTCATTTTCGAATTATGTATAAAAATGTTGCTTGTAGGACAACAGACGGGACTGCTGTATGTTTTCGATCATTATTGCTTTGCCTATCGGTTGCTGCATCTATAGGCAGTGTGTTTATGTATGCAATTGTCTACATACTATCCCGCAGACTTATTCGCCGCTTAAAAAATAATCAAAGGGTACAAAATATTATTTCATTAAATGCTAAGTAAAATTTTTAAGATAATCTTAGATATTTTAATAATTTAAATAAACTTAGAAGAACAATTGAACAATTGTTACTTCAATTTAAAACAGGTTGGCCATTTGTCGGAAAAACGACCGAAATCCGGGATGTATTTCTGTTCTTTTCTAAAAGATTCGTTAGCTGAAGGGTCTCATTCTATGGGAATAATAAACCGTTTTATTTTCAGACCAAAAACGCTATAGCAGCGTTTGAAGAACGTCAACTTAAACTTTCCTTAACGACTGCTATTTCAAATGGATTTACTCTAATACTTTATGTTTTTCCATTAACAATTAAAGCTTTGGCTCAAAAATATGCAAGTCAAGAGGCATTTCAAGTTGTCATATGGTATGCAGCGATTAGTTGTAATTTGAATCCATTAGCAAATATTGCTGCAGTTGTTGTGAGGCAAGAAGATATACAGTCGTTGGTTCGGAAAACCCTTTCATGTATTTATAAACAGCCTAAAATCACGCCTCAAACAAGAACGATAACTAAGGTAAAGCCGAAAATATCACCTTAGAATTATCGGATTCCATGGCACAAATTATAAATTATCCGAAAATGACTAAGTTAAATCTCTTATTAGTAGAAAAGAGTCTACCATTTAGAAGTTTAGTTCACATTTATCGCTGCTGCAGTCAGTTGAAGAACGAAATGGTTCGTTCTATTCGTTAAATACATAAACTAATTCCGTGTTGATGTTGATTTATTTTCGCTCTTTGGTTCATTATATTATGATAATTTATTTAGCGATGTCTTTATGGTAATTTAATCACAACAGAATAATTTCAAAGCAAAATTTTTGCAATTGCAACACTGAGTCCCTCGAAAAAAGTTGATCTATTATTAAAAATAAAATCCACGTCGTTGGTGAATCGTAGGTTTTTTTGGGCTCATAAAGGAAACAATAGAAGCAAAAAAGAAACTCTTGATTTATTAGAAATTTTCTAATTAGTGTTATCATCAATATCTCTTCGTATACTTCATATCTCTTCATAAAATCTGGCAATATTAATTTTCTGGATGCTCTGGATGATGCACTAATGATTTAATCTGAGGCTAAAATGATTTGATTTACTTATTTTGGCTCACCTCACTAAGATTATTTGAGCTTTATTATTTTTATTACAATTTTACTACAACTTTTATTGGATTTTTGTTTTTTCCACAGTAATCATTTTTTATGATAAACTTTTCATCGAAAATTTCAAGCAAATTTCCCATTTTTATTTTTTTAAGCATTAAAAAGAGGATTAATAGCTATGAATCGTAAAGTAAAAAATATTTTTACTTAGGCTAACCAAAAAGCCAAAAAACAAACCTAATTTCAAAACAAAGCGCAGCTGCGACACTGAACTCTCGTCAAATGTTGGCGTGCCATTGAAAATAAAATCGGGCTGTTGGCTTAAAAAATCCATTAATTTGAATTTAAATCAAATTGCGTTTTGAAAAATTCACTTTTCTGATTAAAAATAACTGGTCGTTTAATAATTTTAAATCAAACAATTGCACTTTAGCAGATGCGCGAAATTCAGTATTTCCCAGTAGATTTGTAAATTTAAAGATTTATTTGAATCCGATTTAATATACTTTTTTTTTTCGTTCTGATTCATTCTCTATAATTCTCAATAATTAAAACTTGTGATTTGTTATAAGTTTGAAAAAAATTTATGGAAAATCGTGAAAAAAAATTTGAAAAAATTTTTTAATTTATATTTTATTGATAAATTTCTTCTGAAAATTTGAACAACTTTAGGAGAAAATTATCTCTTTGATTATTTTAACAGTTCTTGCCAACGAACTGTGTTCCGCAGGATGTAAAATGTTCTGCAAAAATCTCTCTTTAATTTTATTTCATAAGATTATATTAAAATAAAATGTAAGGGCAGATTTGGTTACACTTTTGACAAAAGGAATTGATTATTGCATGTCTGAATTTCTAATCAAAAGTTCCAGAAACATCGACTTTTGCTTTTTTTCGGAAATATTTTTAGTCGTTATTCTATTCTAACATTACATTCAAAGGCAAACAATTTTTAGTTTTTTTTTAATTTTCATAATTCATAATTCATAATTTTCATATACAAATAAATTGCTTTGATTCTGCATAAATAAAAACTGATGAAAGTATTTATTCATTATTTTCCTAATTATAATTACTTTCTAACTATCATTCTGAGAATTGGTGAGAATTAACCACTTATGAACAAAAAAGCAATTATCGCAGTTTCGTTTCATCTCAAAAATATTGTCAAATTTTTATCGAAAATTTCAAAAATTTCGCCTGAATATCGAAAATTATTTTAAAAAATTACGCAGCATTATTAGATCACCCACAATCAGCCATCAAAAGATAACTGCCACCGAGAATCGAGGTTTGGGTTCGAATCCGCCGACGCACTCACTCTTCGGGTGGTACTATCGCCTAATGGAGAAAAGCAAAAGAGAGAAGAATGAATCAGTGTACTGTCACTCAATTCGGAGTGCCGAAGGACTTCTTGACATATTCGTCTAATCCGACAAGCCAGCTGAGTGAGACCAATCCAGTATTTGAGGGCTCTTTCAAAAAATCATCCAGCACATAGAATCTTTCGACATGAATATTGAATTATTGTAGCTTTGTTCCTAATGGCAACCATTGTTAAGAATTATCGCGAATTATCTTCACTTTTCATCGCCATTAACAATTCTGTCCAAACTGTTTCCTTTTCCTATCTAAAAAGAAGCGAAAATATATATACATTGACGATTGTGCTCTTTGCTTGATGTAAAACCCAAAAACCAGCCTCATATGACTTTACGATCCTTGATCATGTTGGATTATTGTTTGCATGTCAATCCATTTTTTAGCGATTTCATTCAATGTATATTTTGAAATTAGCATTTACCATGGAGCACAGGAAATCTTTATTAACTTTTGAAGTTCCAACTTCGACCCTTCCTCACAGCCGAGTTATGCTATGTTGCTGGCTCCTGTCATTTCATTTTTATCCGATGAAATTCATAGAGCATGCGATGTCGCAGATATTCATATGGTATTTCACTGAGCCACTGCAAATTTCTATTAAACTCATCCAAATGAAACACAGGTCACACTAATATAGACATAAGAAATGACTTGTTTTTTAATATATCATCACTAAAAAATCACCACAGAAAACGATATTCTTGAAAAAACCTATATTATTTAATAAGAGGAACTTGTCCAGTAATATGCTGAGCTGTTGGTTCAAGCATGACAGGTAATTCAACTTATGCCTTGATGATGATTTGTCATTTAAAAAAATCCACTGCTGGAGATGCCCTTGCACTATTACTCCCAATTGTCGGTGGATCCAGGCAAACCAGAAATGATGAAATGAAAAGATTGTTCAAAATCGTTCGTTTCAATCGTTCAATCGTTTTTTTTGGAGAAATTTCCTCCGAATTACGGATTTTAAAAATTGAAAACAGTCAAATAATAATAATAATAATTTTCCTTTATAGGCATCATAGAATAATATTTGAATAAAATTTTCCAGAGAAGACTAACTTTATTATTTTAATATAAAACGTGTGAAATTCCCAAACAGTTAGATATAATTTTCCATTTTCTTCAAAATATTTTGTAGTAATAATTAATAGTAGTAATAGTAATAATAATTAATAACAATAATAATAATGACAATAATAATAATAATGAAATAATAATAGTAACAATAATAATGAAATAATAATAATTAATAATAATAGATAATAATATAATTAGTAATAATAATTAACAATAATAAATAATAATAATCGAATGATAATCGAATTTCATATTAATAAACAAATATTTGATATATATAAATGAAAATAAATTGAAACTAAACGTGCATCTGTTTTTTAAAAGAAATTATACTGTCTCATGAAAATTATCCACAGCAAACTTTATTTGAAGTTATAAGCATAGATTTACTTGCATATTCACTTTGAACTTCTACATTGACTCCCTTAACCTCTATCATAGTCAATGTGCAACGAGAAAGCTGCAAGTGGAAAGTGAGAAGGTGAGAATGCCTCGGTATTTAGTAATAAATTTACCAGATTTTTATACTGGCTAACAATTCCAAAACTTGTAAATAAAGCTTAAAAGTCTTGGAACTCAAAATCTCTAAATGGTCTTTAAAGTAATATTGCTTTGACTGGGCCAGAGACGAAGACATTGAAGAAAATGTGTCACATTCCTATGTCACCTATCCATTATCTCATCTCTTTTCTTTTCTAAGCATTCATTATTTCTGATATTTACTCAATTGGTTCATTAGAACAAAATCGTTTCGCCAAAAAGTCATTTAGAAAAAATGGTGGAAGCTGTGGTTCCAGCCGAATTTCAATGATAAATTCATCTCTTTTAGGGGACGAAAAAATCACATCCATAACCTCAATCGAAAGAATACATCGCACGATCATGTTGTGCCATGCCTTCCAATTGGTAATTAGTAAAATTACAAGAAAATATGAATTACAAAAAATTGAAAAAAAAAAAGAATGGAACTCTCACTGGCTTCTCACTGATAATCGCCAGCATCACACACCTAATTGCGTTCGCATGTGACAGCAGCTGCTTTAAACCGATTTGCTCATGCTTATGAATACCACTTATGAAATTTCAGGCTTTGTCGCGTTTCAAATTTCGAGAAACTTATGAACCAATTCGATTTCACCGATCACCTAGCTAGATGACCTCATAACAGCAACAGTGCACAACTCTGTTTCCTTTTTTGAACCTGATTTCTATTTTCTCATACTTCTATTTTTGGTCACTGCAATCATTTTTCTGAATCCTGGAAACTGTTTTTCCAATCTCTTGCAGCAGCAATCCTTGCACTTCAACGCAAAGCAGACGTATTTTAAACCAGATGAGAAGTGCTTCTACAAAATCCATACCTACATATAGAATACCAGAGTACTGAGGCTCAAATTTACGCAGGTAAAGTATCATAATAAACAAAATCCGGATGTTTTTAAGAACCACTTTACCTATCTCTCAGTAAGTCTCTGGCCCTAGTGCGATTCTGATGGCCAATGGCCAATGCCAAATTAGAAACGGTGACAAAACCATCTGAAGAATCGCAAATCTCGACAAAATGAACCGCTGCGAAAATGAACACCTTTACATTTGAAGCATTAAATGGAGCCGATTTCGAGCGAATTTTAGCAAATTGTTCGAATATTCCCGAACAGTCGTCGAGAAGCTAATTTGCAGCTAAATTTTTGCGCTCTTTTGTATCAATAGTTTTATGCGGCTTCACCATCGTTTTCTTGAATCTTATGGAATTGGGCTTCCATGAAGTTAGATTAAGCGGGTGGGAGCAGCACAGGCCTAAGCCAGCCGCAGCCACCCCTACACGAGGGAATCTGCTGTTTTATGAAAAGTAATGAACCATCATTCGAGTAGAAGTCTGGAATTCGCCAAACTTTTTCTGGTTCGTGGAACTCTAAGAAACTTTGGTAGTTAGCGCTGATAGTTTTGGGCAGAAAGCTGCAAGGTGGCGCGGCATAATTAGTTAACTGAGTTACGCTATCCATTAAGCTTTCGAATTTCTTAGCTTATTGCCGAGATTTGGTTTGAATTTTAAAGTTTCAAAATTTTCAGAAAACTGTTCTTTTTCCTTAAATGAACAAAATTTATTGAAATATCGAATTTATTGTTAAATAATATTTTAATATTCAATTTTATTGGAACACTATTTTTTTGATTACAATCGATTTATTTCATTCCTTCAATTCAATGATGCAGAACGATTTAATAGAGTCGAAATTTCAAGAATATAAAGAGAAAAGCGATTTGCCGAACGCAATCATTGTTACCAATGTTCCCTCCGAGGTTCGCTTTTTTATTCATTCGCTTCCTTTATTATTTGATGTTTTTCATTTTTCCATGTTCTTCATTTTCTTCTTCTCCGCACAACGCACTCTTTCGATCGGTTGCAGTGACTGCTGGCTAGGGTGCACTCTAATTTTGTCCCAAATGACCCTTTAGGAAAATTTTGTCGTCCTACCGATGGCCAGTGAAGTTAATTTAATTAAAAGTCGTTAGTTATAGTCATAAACTTACTTTCACGTACTGATAGTGTTGAAGTTCCCAATCCGATGTTCCCTCTAAAATTTGCTGAAGGCACTTTTCCCACTTTTCGCACTGCGCGTATCGTTCTTACTACATTGGTTCTTCTAGATCTTTGTTGTACTTTTTTTCTCTCCTCTCTTTTGCATTTTTCATCCATTTCTAAATATCTGAATGCATGTCTTATCCTTATTTTTCTCCATATTTACATGTAACCTAGTATCTGAATTATTTACATATATCATCTGATTGTTCATATATGCCTGTGCCTATTGCTTGTTAGGAGTATTACATATTGCAAAGAAAATAGAAAAATGTGGAAAATCTATAGTTATTCGCTTAAAAAGCAAGGAAATTTTAAAAAAAAAAACAATAATTTTCTATTTTATTTGATATTTTGGAGTTTTGGCTAAGTAAATAATTATTCAAATTTTTTACCATGAATTATCGATTTATCGAATTATTAAGCCGTTACACCTACAGTTTTGTTGTTTTTTTCGTATAATTCAAAAATTTGCGCCAAGAATGCACGGAATTTTATGTAATCAATCTTCATGGGAAAAGTGAGTGACAAAAACTTAACCTTCTGTGTTGAGCGGCATTCATGGATGAGGCAAATTTTAAGCGAGGAGGTATTTCATTTTACTAAGTACGAACCAGGAGAGTTCAAAAACAAATACCTGAAATAAATACGTGTGCCATCTGTTTAACTTCGCAGGAAAGCCCAAGCCATCTCTAGTGCTTAAGAATATAGGTAAAATTATATTTATTTAAAACTTTACACATGTCCTAATCTTTACTGAAATCTTGATAAATATTAATAAAGTTTGTTCTTAATGAAGCTTTCGTGATTCAGTTTGGTCTTTGTTATTTCTTATGCTGTTCTACTTCAACCGATTGGTAATTTGCTTTTTCAGTACACTGATCCATTTTAATATTCGCAGTAGTAGCGAAAATATTTTTTTTGGATTTCAGCAATTTTTTTCTTGATTTTCAGGATTTCGACTTGTTTTCTGAAATAGAAATCGAATTTTTTGCATTTTTTTCAAGTATTTTCTAAAACCACATGATATGTATTCTAACTTACGGCCAAGATTTTCCTTTTATCCATGACACGAGAATTAAATCTATATTAAATCCAACTTTCTTTTCTTTTCCTAATTTTGCAGACATTCTTGATTTAATTTATTTTTGATCTATTCTATATGCTAAAAGAGACTAAAAATGCTATGTGCCCGTAAGTTAGTAAATGTGTTTAATTTTTTTAAATTTTTAAATCTTAGGGTTAGTTGAAATGCATTATTTTTAAATTCATCATCAACTTATTACAGCCATTTCTCATTTCTCTAATTCCATCGTTTAATAGAAGCACAGGTAGATCGATTGTTTCAAGATTTTTAGATTATTTTCGCGACTTAAAAGATTAAATAAGAGTTCCTGTTTTATATTTTGCATATAATTATATATTTTTTTATTTTTTATTGTCATAATTATCATTAATAATTAATTAATTATTCCAGCCAATTATCTCTTGAAAGTGATTTTAAAAAAAGATTTATTCTTATTTTTTAAATCTAATTTTTCTTAATAAATTTCAGGTATTTAATAATGAACAACAGAAAGCAAATTTTTCGGATCTTTTTTTGCAAATTGAATCGGATGCACATTTTGATTTTTTACGTAGTTTTCGACGTGTTCGAGTTATTTTTAAAACACCAGAAAGTGCCACTGCTGCAAAGTTATTGACACAACATTTATCATTTAATGGAACAATTCTTAAGTCATTTTTTGCGCAAGTTCGTTTTCCTTTTTTTAAACTTTTCTTCACTATAATCATTTAACTAAAATTATCTTTATGGGATTAAAATACAAAAAAATGAGATTTTTTTGATTTTTTTCAATGAATTTTTGCTGCATTGCTTAATATTTCAATTTTATAAAAAGAAGAGTATTTTCCTTAAGAGTAAAGAAGAGTATTTATGGAAGAGTATTTTCCTTAGCCATTGATATGTTGCTTCAATTAAAATCAAGTATATTCCCATCCCTTGGCGATAAGCCTATCATTAAAAATTAAATCTAGTTACTAATAATGGAGCGAGTAATGGTGATTGCTGCAAAGTAAAGAAGGTTCCATTCTGATTAAAATTTTATGGAAATATCGAAAAACAATTTCGTGAATTGTTTTTTTGGTGTTTTTTCCCTGAGATTATTATCTTTCATCAGTTCTTTTCAGTTTTTTTTGGAGATCGAAATTCAACTTATTTTAAACTCGAAAATTGTGCGAATATATTTCATATACTCATATATTTTTTAGAGAATTCAATTACATAATCCAATTGATGATGGTTTATTGAAGCTACCGCCAATAGAAAAACAATTTTTGATTTCGCCACCAGCTTCTCCGCCTATTGGCTGGGAACAATGTCGTGAAATGGCCCCCGTTGTATGTGATTTCGATTTAATGGCCCGTTTAGCAGCATTTTCTATGGAAGATACTTACGAGGTGAGTTTCTTGATGAAATGTATTAGTTTCTTTCTTTTAAAATTTTCCTATTTCCTGTTCTGACCAAAACTTTTATGTATAATAATGACTGCCATAATATTTATAATATCAAAATTTAAAAATTTATTTTATATATTTCGAAAAATTTTGAAAATTTGAATTGCTTTTCCAAATCTTTAATTTCCTAATTATATCCTTGCTAATTTAACGTTATAAATGTTTTTCTTTTCTCCAAAAATTGAATATATTTTGTAATTTTCTAACAATACATCTTTTTTTAAAATTATTTTATGCTCTATTTTTAAATCGCTTAAGGTTTTCGGTGGTGCAGATGATAAACCAAAAATTATAATCCATCCAGCAGATAATAGCGAGGAAATTCCTGTTGCTCAAACATCTTTACCGAAAACTCCGCGCCCTCCTGCAAATTTCACTGTTCTTCCATCTCCTAATTCCTGAAAAAACAGTGGGTTTATGTCGATTTACCAAACGATTTTTTAGTTTTATTTATTTAATATTTTACATTGGTACAAAAAAATATATAGAATTGTAAATTAAATTTTTTTTATATTAAAGTCAAATAAAATAAAATATTACATAACCGAAGCAGAAAGTTTTTTGTGAAACATCTGAAAGCGTGGTTATTTTCGTATGGGAAATTTTTCTTTCATTTGATTCTTGTAAAGTTGCCAATTATTATCGTTTTCCATAACGTTCATTCTATATTAGTTGTGTTAATTCAATTTTCTTCCTTGTAAATTAAGTGAAACTGCCATTTTTTCATTTATCATTTTTTAGTTTTATCGTAAAGAATTCAAAAGATTTATAAAATTATTACTTTCCATTTTTAATATATCTTTGATTTTATGGCAATACTGAACAATTTCCAATTTTTTCATCGAATCATTGAAATCGCTATTTTCTATTCACAAAACGGGGTGCTGGAAGAAAAAAAGGGGAATTGTTTATTTTGTTTGTATCCCGGTAAAATTTAACTTCCTTTTCTTAATAAAAACTAGAAATATAATCTTTGTACGTGCACCAAATTCTACACCAAGCTAAATTGGTTGGATCTAAATTGGTGAAAATCTGTTAAATATTTTTAATATTTAATTGGAATTTAACAAAATTTAACAGTGTCTTCCGCATTTCTGTCGCTCAATTTACGTTCTTAAAAGTGCACACATCTACTGCATAGGCTCATTAAGTCGAAGCGTTTACATGATTCTGTCATAGCGTTATTTGAGAAGTTATAGATATGTTACAGCAGATGCCTAGGTTTAATTGCTCCTTTCAAGCAAAAGGGATCGAACAAGCCACACTATTTGCATTCGGTCGGATTCATACATTCCTCTGTTTTTCCTCTTTTTTATCTTTAGCAATAAATTTTGTTATCTTTTTCAATTTGCTTTCATAGACTTTCTTTCCTTTCTTAATATATATTCATATTTTCAAATTAACTATAATATAATCATTCATCCATTCCGACATGATTACGTTCTAATTACCAAACGTTCTCTGTTGGTAATTTTTGCTTTTAGAATAATTGGTTGTATCCAGAGTTTTTGAGACCAAGAGTTTGAAATGGCTTTTCCATTTCATAGCCCGCAAAACTCTTTAATAAAATTGATCGGCAAATCCAACTAATATTATCTGGAGAAAGTGGGTAATTTTTAGGATCTGGGATTAAATTTGCGATATTAAGCCGAAGAATCTGCAAATGTTTATAAGAAATATAAAAATTGCATTTCCCTCACGTTAAAGTTAAAAGATTAAAACAATAATATAAAAATTATAAAATTAATCGTCAAAGTTAAGAAAACAAAAGCAAAAGTTTTACAGTTGGAGAAGCACTTAATGATCTTACTAAATTAAAGACAATAAAAGATAGTTTGCATCACTCGAAGTACTGCACTGGTGCGGAAATTTAATTTTTGGTATATGAAATGATTTTTCAGAAGAAAGCGCCTCCCACAAAAGTTAAATATAGAAAATTAACGACTCGAAAATTCTGACCAGAATAATTTTTTAAAAAATCTGAGAATTTTAAAAAAATGGATTTTGAAGTCGAATAAGGTCAGAATTTTTTACCGAATCGAGAAAACTAAAGCCCAGTGATTAAAAAAAATGAATATTGAGGTGAAAATAAATGAAACATATGAAATGAAACACAAAGTTTCCTTTGGTTCCAGAATCTCCATTAAATTGATAAAAAACTTAAATCTCATCTAATTTTGCAGAATTAAATTTGTTATTAACACTTCGAAAAGACTATCAAAACGCATCCCTGAGAATTGGCAAAAGTTTCGCTTTAAAGTCACTAATGATGTCGTCATCTTTCTCAGTAGCGATCGATTCATCAGGTGCATCGAAATCATAACCTTTTCTTAAATTTTCGTACCTATCTGCTTCTATTTTAACCATATCATATTCATCGATATAAGCTTTCATCATCGCTACTAAAATTCGATCGCCTTTTTGAACATTTTTATAGTTTTTATAATCAGCTGTATCTCCATCAGCAGTAACCAAATGAAATTCCACTTTATCGGCTGAAAAAGTGATCAAAAAATATTATAAAAAAATCCATTAATTACAACTTCGCTAAATTAAAACTAATGTCATCTTCTAAAAGCACCTTTGGTTGGTTCCACTGACTATTAAGATAAGACCATCGCCGGAGAGTTATATGAGAATGATATAAGTGAATTAATTCCCAACGTTTTCGACTTGATTTTTACTCTTAAATGAGTCAGGATGAAGAAATCAAAGCTACAGTGGGTGAGTTAAAAATTTGATTAAATGTAAAAATAGAAAAGTTTCCCAGATCATTCCTAAATCCATCAACTTATAAGAAAAAAAATCAAAGAAACAACCAGAGTGCCACTTCCAACTATAAAATAAATAAAAATTCAAAAAGAGCGTGAAAATTAATAAAATATTATACTAGAAAAACTAAGAGGTCAAAAGTGAATTGACCATAAAAAGCTTTAAAAAATCACAGTTGAAAAGCCCTGTTTCCACTAATAAATCTTTAATGCCGGATAATTTGGTCTTGATTTGCTCGATCATCTGTTTAACATCACCTTGACGTTTTTTATCACCTATGAAATCGTCACGATCAAGATATTCCTAGAAAATTGTCAAATTTACTGATTAATTTCAAAAAGTAGACCTTTAATAAGAAAATTTGAAAGAAAAAAATAAAATAAGTTTTAATTTCTAAAAAATGTTACCTCGATTTTTGCTCTTAAATTTTTCCGTTTCGCTCGTTGAAACATTCGTAATTTCGCATTCTCCTCATCATCAAGTACATTTCCTGAAGAACAGTATTATGCATCAGCCATGATATGTTTAGCCAAAGTGATTCTGGCTTAAAATGAAAATTACCTTGCATCGCTTCGTTCATTTCAGATTTTGGTTGTGGTTCTCGAAATGATTCTAAATTTGTCTTCTTGCCATCGAGCTCAACCGTCCGTGCCTGATAGATATCAGTATGAAGCAACTGGATATTTTCCAGTTTAAGATCTAGGACATAAATGAATATGACAAAAGATAAAAGAATGGGATAAAATTAAAGCGTATATATGAATAAATTTTTTTTAGATTGATAAATTACTCCACAAACGCTTCTTCCTATATCTTAGAGATTATTATATTTTTAAAAGAAATTATTATATTTTTTTATTTTTCAATATTATTTTTCTCATTATCTCAGTAGGAAGAAGAAACGAAATTTTACTTTTAACTGGATAACTATCCACCATATCCATATTACCATTTTTAAATGCATCTTCGAATAGATGTTCCAAATGGCGCATCTTAATATCGCTAAGTTTTATTCCTCGGTTAAAAGACTGCTGAAAATAAGATTGGATTCTTTCAAGGAAAATTTCATTATTATAAAACACGAGTAATTCATAATTCAAATCACAAAGAAAACCATGCATAATACGTCTTTTTCACGTCTTTAATGAACCTTACAAAATCTTAGATAAAGCAAGAAACAAATATAATGAATCAAAAAAAAAACAAATTGAAAACAATGACAGAAACCTCAAACTTTTCATACAATTCTTCAATTTTCTTATAGGTGAAAAAATAATCGTCTTCAGGACTTTTGCTTTTAAGAGCCTGAAACTGCTTATATAAATTTAAAAAAAAAATCAGAAATTTTAATCTGACGAAAATTAATAGGAGAAATAAAGATATTAATAGCACGATATTTATAAGGCGAAATCTTAAATTTTTTAAACAAACCGATTTAATTTGAAGTAATTGCCGAGCTATTTTCGCCATTATATCATCAGCGTCAAATATTGACTGATCAAGATTATTATTCATAACATGCTTTTCAAAATATCTGAAGATTGGTGCTTGAACTTCGGAATCTGTCCAAAAAGCAGAAGATCTTGACGTATAAATAGAAGTATCCTTGAAAAAAAATGAAATGCCTGGTATATAATTACATGACTACAAAATAATTCACAGTTAATTATAATTATATAATTATAATTATTTAATTATAATTATATAATTTAAAATTATATATTTCAAAAAAAGGTAAGAAAAGTAAAATATTATATGAATAATAACATCCTGAATATACTTACAGCCAAATTTGGCATTGAGAGAAGTAAGAATTCAGAAAATGCTTTGTTGAGAGGACCAATCAATTCTTCTAAATCTTCCTCCGAATAGAAACCTTTATCCACGTCAGCCAAAAATTGCTTATAATTATCAGTTTTCTGGCCACCATATTGTATAAGGAAATCGAGAGGACCTTTGCGCAACTGCAGTTGAATACCAAAATATTCTATGGATTAGAAAAGGCAGAATAAATACTTTATTTTTTGTTTGCACAGAGGGTAAATTAATTAATCAAAACCATTAATTAAGGAAAAATTAAATATCTATCGAATAATTAAACGAATAATTAATCATAATTTAATTGAAAAAAATAACCTAAAACGCACAAGATTATTGAAGTTTCTTCTTGGACGAGCATAGGCCACTTTGACAGGATAGAAGCTTCTATCCCAAAATCGATCCATGAAGTACCAGTAAATGTTACCACGATCTTCATCTTCATCACTAATGTACTGTTCTGCAAATTTTTGAAATATGACCTTTCAAAAGAATCTGTTAATTAGTCAGAAATTTGCACTATACTATATTTCGAGAAAATAAAATGTAAATCTCAATATAATAATAAATCTCAAGAAACCATGAAATCTTACGTTTGGTCGGAAAGAGACTGTCGGATATTATATGTAAATCGATCTCCAATCCTTCTGCTAAAACAATAAAATGATAAATAAATGCGACAACACTAAAAGTTAAGAAATAAGAAGTTACAAGTTGAAATGTGTTGAGTTGAAAATTAAAAGCAAATCATTAAATAAATTAATTGCATTTGCAAATAAATTAACTGCATTAAATGTATAAATTAAATTAATTAAATTAATTGCATGAACTGTAAAACAGTAAGGCAAAATACCTTTCGCACGAAGAGTAGATGCTTTGCTAGCAGCAGCCTTATACTCACTTACTAATTTCAATTCAATTTCACTTTCCATTTTTTCATCACCTAAATGTGCTAATGAAAGGCGTTTCCGAGCAAGCCTTTGTCTTTGGATACTATCAGCTTTTAACAACAATTCATTAGCTTCTTTCAGCATACTTTCCTGAAAAGAAAATTATTTTCAAAAAAATTTAAGAAAAAATTATGAATATAACTAGTTTAATATGGTAAAATAAATTTTTAGAAAATACTGCTTTCGAAAAACAAGTAAAGCCTAAAGAATAAAAGTATTATAGAAAGGATATCAAATATATTCAAATTTTAAAAAATATTTTCGAAAAGCATTTTTAAGTTTAGAATATTAGCAAACATTTAGAACCTTCAATTTGGCTTCATTGATCTTTTTTTGAATATATGCATCGGCTTCAACTTGATTCAGTACTGGATGACACTGGATCTTAAGTTTTGGTCGACGTTTATTTACGGAATTAAATGGATGTAGTTTACAAAGTGAGCCTGTTTTGATTGCTATCTTATACTGACATAGTGACGGCTCTTCAACTGAAGCAATATACGCTTCGTTTGTCTGAAGGTTTTCATCACACAAATACTGCAAAATAAATATGAATCGCTTTGAACAAAAGGAGCAATAACATTATTTCTTCTTCTATCTGAACAAAAAATTCATTTACCATGACTCGAACTTGCCGCGCATGATTCGTTAGATCACAAACCGATCCGTTGGAATAAAACTGTTCATAATATGGGCCTTTCTTCGATTCATCAACATAACTGTCATTCCCATAAAAACCCAAAAATATAGCTGAATTATCGGACAATGAACCTGAAATTGTTATTTTTTCTAAAAAAGAGAAAAAATCCTAAAAAAATTAAACCATTAACCAGCCTTCTCAATAGTTTTATTTCTGGGAATAAGATCTTACCATCTCCATGAAACTGACGGACTTCTTGTCCAAAACATACTTCATATGTCCACCAGCCATAATTCTAAAATATCGCCAGTAAAAATATTTAACGCCTTTGATGTTCATGGTGTTAATATTTCATAAAAAGAGGTGAAAACATACTCGACTTACACAATTTTTCACATAAAATGCTGCACTTGCTACTTCCGAAATAAGATTAACCGTCAAATTTTGTTTTTTGAAATTTTTTTCTGACTCACTATTTGAAGGTAATTTTGGTAGACGGCAGAAGAATTTTTTGCCATATTCATTAGCTAAAAGCAATGATTCTTTCGAAATCTGAAATCATTTTTCTTGTAAAGCATTTTTTAAGGCTAATTTTCGATCAGTTGTCATTACTGGAGCACTGATGACTGAACTGTATGTTGCTTCGACTACTAACAAGCAAAATCGGTTGTATTTTTGTAAGGGCAAAAATTAAAAATAAAATCCTAGTATTTGTTTGAGGACATGCCAAAAATTATCGCAAATGATTTTCTAAAGGAACAGCCTCATCCTTATAAAGCCGGTAAAATCACGCTGTTGGAAGGGGAAGACTTTTCACTTTCCCTTTGGTTTATTAAAAAAATTGGTTAAAAAAGATTTTTCATACAACAAAATATTTAGAAAACACAATAAACCATAAAAATTATTTCTTATTTTTATATTTCTTATAATATTTTCATAAATGATAAGCCGAAATCTCACAACTAAAACCAAAAACTTATAAAATTAGTGCAATCCACCATTTTTAAGTATTGTAAATCTGATATTGTTGTCTGACACACTTTCAACGTATCTGATTTATTAATTATACTCCGAACACCCAGTTTATCAGTTAAAAGACCGCATGCACGTGTTATGAAAGCATCGTCAAATATGCAACTGCCATAAAATACTGAACAAAAAAAAAACAAAAGTTTTAATAAAAGAAATAACCTTAATTTCTGGAACAACGAATTTGAACGTGGAAAACTCGTTATTTAAATATGATTGAACCTTGAATTTATCGAAGCCAAACGGTGAATCGTCAATAGCAATGTCATACGCGATTTCATTTAGTTCATTAAAATCAAAATATGCCATCGCTTTGGACAATAAAAAAAATGAAATAATTAATAAATTAGAAGCAGCCATAGTCTCTACGATACCATTAAAAGTTTTATATATTTTCACCTGTAATTTTATCATTTTTTAAATAAAAGAATTTTAAAGACAAAAATATATCCAAAAGAAATAAAAATAAAATCATCCCACAAGAAAAAATTCCCACGAAAGTACCGCGGGTCAAGAGGGCAAAGGTCAAAAAAGGTCAAATGCCCAATAAATTAGTTACAACGGCGATATGACGAATTTTATCGCAATCTACCATCTACAGTCTAAGCATAAAAATACGTAAGCATAAAATTTCAAAAACTGTTTTGAACATATCTCGTCCTCGTATGAACCAACTGAGCAAAGCTCGACAACGAAAGTTCGGCACTGCAGCGCAAATCTATGCAAAATTCGGTTGCATAATTTAGCGAGTCCTTTGAACCGACCTGGTAAATCATTTGTGGCAAAGTGTTTTTTGAAACTGTAGGGGAACTATTGAAAAAGCTTTACTTATGGCTATTTGTAGGACTGCTTCGCACAGATTGAGCTTTCGATTTTCATGCAAAATTTGTCTCGAAGCATCGCACAAATTTCTTCTTAGTGCAAATCAGCTTTCTTTGCCATTAAAAGCCAACAGAGAAGAGGAAAAACTTCCTTTGACAATAAATAGATTTTTGCCCTTTTTCGGAACAAATCTGCCAATTAATTTGTTTTCAATGCATACTTCTCGTGACAGGAAAGAATGAGAAGAAATAAAAAGATTTTTAAAAAGATAAAATGATTTTGAATTACCCTCGCAAAGCATTCAAAAGCAGTTTGGTTAGCATATTCACCCTTTTTTATTCTTATCAAAATCAACATTCGGCATGAAAACTCTCAATGAGAATAAAAGAGCCAAGAAATTCTCGGACTGCTTTTCATCCAGGATAAATACTTATGGACGCATCTCTCTTCAACGATGGCTCAGTTTCTCGCTGCAAACGGCTTCATCTGCCATCACCTACCAGTGTGCTGAAGAATCGAAGTCCTTCAAACTCTTGTAAAACTCTTCTCTCTTATCTTACTTGATATTTATAAAGTACATTACTAATTACTGATAACTGCTTATTTTAATTTTTCGTCATAACTCAACAAAATACCTTTTACCTCTGTTTCTACTAGATATTATCATTAGATACTTAAGGTGTGGCTGGTGGATCAGTGGTAATCAGCAAGATAATTGACCGAGAATTGAGGACTCAGTGAAATCTGGCCGGCACCATGCTTTATTAGGCGTCAGCATCACCCAATGGAAAGGAGAGTAGAGTGGCTCCGTGGATTGATACTTAACTCGGAGCGCCAATGTAGAGGTTCTACGCTCAACTAAACTTGTTTAAAAAGATCTTAGTGAAACCTGCGACTCACCTCTGTTCTATCACCAAAGGATTTTCTGGCATATGACATAACAAGCGGAGCTACCGGACAGGAAATCCTTCCTCCAATCCAATAAATATCTATTTTCCCGCCATTGTCTCGGGAACTCGACTCCTTCAGTGCTGACTTGTAGGTACCTATCACACGGTATTTGTTTGTTCTGACTCAAGAGTACCTAGCTGCGGCCAGCGTTCCTTTTATAATAATTCACTGCGAAAATGGTCGAAAACAATAGCGTGCAACGAACCCTCAAACTTGGGTATTTAAACCGTTTATTTATAATATTTACAAAATATAGAAAGCATCGCAAACCTTATTGACAAACCTTCATGTATAAACCGATGCACCCGAATGGTAAACTATTGCGAAATGAAGGAGGCACTTCCAATGCCTGGGCTGCAGTGACAACGGCGAGATGACAACGACATCGACGACCCTACAGAACACCTCCCAATCCCCTCACCCTCCCTTCTCCCTCCTTCATTCCCTCTCATCTTCCTCAAATCCCAAGTGACCACAAGCAGATTCATCTTCTTATTTTTATCTTCGATTCTCTCAAAGTAGAAGATATTCTTACTTTTATTATCCTATGATATTTTTATTGCCTTTTCCAACTCTCGTCTCTTTTACCTTCTGAATATTCTCATTGCGAAAGAGGTATGTTGTGACGCAAATGGCCTCCCCAAATTTATATGCTTTCGCCATTCCACGAGGGGAGCGAGCGTAAGCCGGAATGGTAACTCCTCTCAAAGAAAAAAAAGATATGACTAGACTTGTTTTGCTGCCTTTAATCGTTTAGAAGTCTTCGTGGCTTAGCTGACACAAATATTCTTTTAATTCCAAAACGATGAGTGACATTGTGCTTGACTGGAGATTGTGCGTATTCAAAGTGATCCTTGAGAAATCGTTGGTAATGTTGGCGAAGCTTAGTGAAGGAATAGCCTCACCGCAAGAGCAAAATTGACATTAAGCGATTTTTGCCAACATCACCGTCCATTACTAGGTTGAAGTGATGTAAAAAGTAGTTTCCGATCACTGAATGCGCTGACAGTGTAAAAATTCAACATCGAAGGCCAAGTGTCTTAATGGGTGTTCCAATGAATTTGAGTTTTGAGTTCTTGAGTTTTTTTTTCATGAGTTTTCGCAATCTTTTTTAAACGTAGGGGAGGTGCTGATTTCGGCACCAACGTCCCCTGGTGTGCTTTATTTTTATCAGTGATGACATCGAAAGTGAAGACCAACAACGTCGTCATTAGGTGCTAGTCTGGTCTTTTTACTTGTTTTCGTTTGTTACAAGGTGGAGGGAGTCGATTTGTTTCTGTTTATTATAGGGTGGTGTACAATTCTTCGCCATGTTTCGGAAACGTTCATGATACCACATTCTTGTCTGAAGCGTGGAAACAAACGCCGTTGTCTTTTTGAAGTGAATGTTCGAGTTATTTCCCTACTCAAGGACATCAATATCACACGAAGGAAAAATACTTATAGAGGAGACCGATGTTCCAGTGCGAGTTGAGCGATGCATTTAATGTTAAGATGTCAATGGTCGAAGCCAATAATTCCTATATGTTGGCGGAAGGCAGAAAGAACCGTTGCTGAACTGGAATTTTATCAAAATTCGACAATTTGTCACCAAGCAGTGCTAATTTTTAAAGAGCTTTTGAGTTCTAGCTTCAAGTTTAATTTCATCACCAGATTTTGCAATTAATTAGAAAATATCTCTAATGACTTGATCAACTTGTTTTTCAACTTTATTTGGTTGAGCAGATTTCCTTGCGAAACAAAATCGCCCTCTAATTATGTAGCCACACTTTTTTTAAGGGTGCATACGGATAAACCACTCTGACCAGCACAGAAGAATAGTAATAGAAACGAGTAACACTCATAATTGCTTTTTAGATAGTTCCTATTTCGCCTTACCATTTTTTTACACGTACAACAAAAAAATTACTGGAAAACGTTTACGTTTTGTCCACGGATAAAACGTCCGTTTTGTGACAAAATTTGGTGTTATATTTAAGTTTCTCGAAATCTACCGCTAAGGCATAAGGCACGCTTCACTTCTGCCTTTTCGCCTTTTTTTCCTCTACCAATCATTCAGTTTTTTCTTTTTGCTTTATCTATTAATGCCAACAATTATTCAGTCATAATCATTGTTTCATGTAATTTATGCATTGCTGTGATATTAATACAAACCTCCTGATTTCCCAAAAATTTTTTTTAGGATCATCGTTTCTCTTTCAAATTTTACTACATGCAACGGAGGCGCTATTTAGTGGTAGAAGAATAGGACCAACCTAATTTTTGAAAGGTTTGCTACTTCTGGGATTATAGAAAACAAAATATATTTTCCTCATAAGCAGATGATCTTTTCTTGCCATTAAAAGCTCATAGATAATAGACAACACTCGTGGCGAGTCGATCCCCGTCGCTTCTTCAGATTATCTAAGTGAAATCTAAGTGATTTATTTTATTTTATTCGATTTGCCTGAATTTAAAAAAGTTTTACTTAAATTTGCAGCAAAATATTTCCGCGATTAAGGATGAACAAAGCAAATTTTTTAAAACAAAAATTACATTACTTTCTATCTAACTTCAAAAACGAGTTAATGAATCACTTTTTTAAAAATTAACATTAAAATAACTAAGAATAAAGAACAAACTAAATAAAGAATTTCAAAGCAGGAATTGGAATAATGTATTTTATGAGAAAAGTTGGGATAAAGAACTGATGTGACTCCATCCAGAATTATGATATTCAAACATTTATGCGTGTCGCTCCTAGAGCGTTGTGCATAACACAGTTTTTTTGTTACCTTCTGCCAATCTACATCACCATTTGCTGACAAAAGAAGTTCGCCTCTACATCGACGACTGTAAACTTCGAGATTAAAAACCTATGTAAGATCGGCGATGGAAAAGAAATTATTGGAAAGGAAAAGCAACATACAGCATTGTTCGAAAGTTGTTTCGTCCCCTCTTAGCCCATTCATCAGCTTGATAAATCGGTTCTGGAATCGATACTGATAAATATAATCAAATTGAAATTGAAAACAGAAACATAAAAGCAGAAAATAGAGAGGGAAAAATAGTCGAGTGATATGCTTCACCAAACGAAGTTAGTTTCGTGGCTTCTATTTCTATCAACGATGGACAAAACTGCGTCGTTGTAATCGAAATGCGAAATGCATTTATGATTCTCGTTGATGAAAAAGCCTCATTCCAGAAATCAGTGAAGCCAACAAAGCACATTTTCTTACTGTCTTATATTATAAGAAGGAGAAGAAAAGAAAGTATGAACATTTGGCGAAAAAAATTAATAAAATAAAATTGCTTCCGAGAAATAGCACAAAATATGCAAATCCAACTTGTCTCTCTCGCCTCCACAAAGATCGAATTCTTCACTGGAATTTTTCATAGTGAATAATTATACATCATAACGATAAACAGTACGATTTTCAACCTCCAGTGGAAAGAGGTTTGTTGTTGCCATGAAATTTCTTTTCCCATCTGCTGATGCTAACTTTTTCGCTATTTTGCATCTTTTTTTTCATTCATCGAAGGAAATACGCTAAAAG